TGGCACCCGGAGCCACGACGTGTGCCACGTGTATTGCGTGCAGAGGCTGCTCCTCACGGTTCATGTCCTCACCTCGTCAGAGATTGTATAAAAACCAACATACGAGATTTGGTCTTTGTATTGAAAATGAAGAGTCATCTACCGATGAAAGGTACGAAGTATTGAAATTTTAACCAATAAGACTAATGTCGGATAGAATTGTCGTATTCGCCAAGTTACCCATACATATTTTTTGACGTTAAATCATTTTTTGTTACGGTTGTTTTACCTGGTAATTAGGTTAAACATTGTGAATAATCCGGATACAATGGAAACCTTCATACGGATAAGTGATGTTTACAAAGATCAAGATATACTTGATGCTCCGTTTCGGCCAAAATGTGCCTGACTCCATATATTTCCACACAAAAAGGCTGGTTGGTTTAAATTATATTACTCGATCAATTTTTCACCAATCGAAAATCTGAACCGTAACTTCTGTTGGTCTTGTCCAGTTCTATCGTTATTACGGCTTATTTTCCTAAAAAATATCAATACAAAGTTGGAATAGCTGTCGAAAGACAAGGCATTTTTTTGTAGTCTTTAAGTATTGGTAGCACTCTCAGATAAATTCTATTATTAATACTACTGTAGTACTACAGTAATAGTAATACTCACAAAAAATCAATAAAATGCCAGTTATTAATCGTACTTCGGAGCATTATTACTGGACATTACTGGACAGTGGGTACAAGTTTTAGCGAATCAAATGGCGTCATTTTATTGCGTCCTTTTGCCCCACTTCATCATGGGACGCAAGCGCGGCGCCGTGTGGAACGAATTTGTGGAGCTTCCAGAGAACGGCGAGCCGCAGATGAAGATGCCACGCATCGAGTGCAAACACTGCAAGGCGACAGTGTCCAAATCTTCCAGCAGAGCTGTATCCCATATTCGTTCGTGTCCAAAGTTCACAGGCGAGCTCCCAGAATCAAACGATGCAGACGATCACCATCTCGAAGCAGTGTACATGATGCGTGCACCTGCAGTCAAGGACGAGGACGTGAAGAAGTTTCATCCCATGAGTCGAATGATCGACCACACCCTGCTCAGGGTACACATACAGTACTCGTCCAAGTAATGCTCAACGTTGTTGATATCCAGGCCGACGCCACGGCCGACGATGTTTCCGTGCTGTGCAGAGAAGCCTTGGAAAACGGGTTCTACTCTGTATGCGTCAATGGCATATTCGCTGCCCACGCCCGTCAAGTGTGAATACATACATCTATCTTCTCGTTGTCCCTAAGCGAACTCCTTCCTAGGTACTCAACCTCCATGAGAAGAAACGAAGCAAGCAGCGGCACTCGCATTCCGTCAAAGTGTGTTGCGTTGTGGGGTTTCCCCTTGGAGCGTCCACGTCCGAGGTGAAGGCGTTCGAGGCAGCCCAATACATCGACGCCGGCGCCCAAGAAATCGACATGGTGATCGCCGTGGGCAAGTTGAAAGGCGGCGACCACGCGTACGTGCTACGCGACATCAGGTCCATCTTGTCCTCGTCCCCGCCACTTAACTCATGACATCAAGCCTAGTGCGGTGGTCGCAGCATGCAAGCGGCCCCACACGAACGCGGTCACGTGCAAAGTCATCTTGGAAACGGCGCTGCTCACGGAAACCGAGGTCGAGATCGCGTCGCGACTGGCCATTTCGGCCGGCGCCGACTTCATCAAGACCTCCACGGGGTTCTCCACGCGCGGCGCGTCCGTGCATGATGTCCAGGTGATGGCGCGACTGGCGCGACCCCACAACGTCCAGGTCAAAGCCAGCGGCGGCATCCGATGCGTTGAGGATGCGCAATTGATGCTCCATGCAGGGGCGACGCGGTTAGGCACGTCGGCAGGCGTGGCGATCACCAAGGGTGCAAATCCCACTTCCCAGTTTCAAGCGTAGATATGACTGACACACATGTGTTTTGATTAACATATTGCGCGTGGGTGGTGGTTGTTGGTGCTATTATTCCTACAGAGGGGCGGCCGTGGTCATCAAAGCGACATGTTGTAGTCCGACACGACGGGAGGAGGCGTGGGAAGGTGGGCGATGATCAAGCCCGCAGACGTGCCCAGTCGCGTGGCGCCTGCTTGGATCAAGAGCTGCGCCTGCTCCATCGAGTGGATGCCGCCGCTTGCTTTGACCTGGACGTTGCGAGGGTGTGCGATTCGCGCCATGGACTGAATGTCGTGGACGGACGCGCCGCGCGTGGAGAAGCCCGTGGACGTCGTGACGAAATCGGCACCCGTGGAGATGGCCAAGTGACTCGCCGTTTCAATCTCTGGGTCAGTCAGCAACGCGGTTTCCAATATGACTTTGCTCACGGCGCTGAACTTCTTGCACGCGGACACTACTGCACTGCACCACACGCATATATATGACATTTAAGCCAAGATGAACGACGAGGTAGATGGATGCACCTGATGTCTCGCAGCACATAAGCATGGTCACCGCCTTTGAGGTACCCCACGGGCACCACCATGTCGATCTCTTCCGCACCCGCCGTGAGACAATTTGTGGCCTCAAGTGCCTTGATCTCGGACGGTGTCGCACCAGAAGGAAATCCGACCACGCACGTCACCTTGACATGATGGCCATTCGTGCGCTTGGACTTTTTTTCAAACCCGTCCAGGACCTATGCGGCATATGAGCAACACGTCCAAGTACACTCGTGCAGTACTTGACGAGCATGTGAGGCATACACGCTGCTGACACAGACGGAGTAAAAGCCGTTCTCGTGGGCTTCGCGGCACAACGCGGCAATGTCGTGCGGAGTCGCGTCGGGCTATTTGTCATCATCATGGAACTATCGTATGCGATGACGTACGCACCTTGAGGAGTGTGTGATCTATGTACCGACTGAGAGGATGAAACGAATCCCCCTTGCCACCGTCATCCTTGACGAGTTTCGGGTCCTTGAAGTCGACCACGCCATCGTCGTCGTCGTCATCGTCCAGTGGTGGCATGAGGGCGCCGTCAAAGTTGGGGCAGATACGCAGGTGGGATCGAAGGCGACTAGTGCTCTTGACGACATTGCCTTTGCAGTACTTGCACTCGACGCGACTCATCTTTAGGCGGGACGACTCATCGTCAGGCAGGTCGTTGAAGAATGACCAGATCACTCCCTTCTTTCGCGGCATCGGAATGGCGTTGGGTTTGAATTTTTGGCCAAGGCGGCTTGGTATCCGTATTTTCCGGATAGGTCATTTCCACATATCTACGCGGCGCCGCGTAAGGGGGCGTCGCAGCGGCAGAGCGTCACGGCCCTGCCGTCGTTCCATCGATCATGGCGCTTCAGCCCATGATACTATTGCATCCCACCATCGAACAAGTCATTCATCGCGTCGATACTTGGTCCTTGCGCTCCAAGATCGGTCTAATCTTAGAAAACTCATTTAAATACACAAAAGCCAATCAAATCAGTTTAATGAGGTGAATGGTTTGTATTTTATCCAATCAATGGATTTCTAAGTGCATTCTGCTGCAAAATTGCCCACGTCAGTTCCAACGGTTGTGGGCTGGTGTGAGCGATGGTTGCTGAGGATGGCGAATCACTTGGTCGATACGCGTCATACGGGTTTGTACTGTCCTCGATGTTGCATGCGACTGGCAAGGACGAGTTCATGGCTACGTCAGAGGTATACCGATGGAAACTCCGTTGCATTCGTACGAAGATACGCCACCAGCAGTTCGATGACGATGTGAGCTTTCTGCGCGACGTGCAGGTGCTGCTGATGTGTGTGTCCTCCCAGTTGGTGCGAGAGAGTCTTTCATGCAAAGTCCTATCGTCCATGGCAACAGTGGGTCTTGGGAACGAGCTCCCTGTGCCAGAGGCCAGACACATTCCAAACAAACACGTCCTCGCCACAGGTGCCACCCCAACGATGCCACTACTGGACAGCATCCTACGTCGTGATGTTCAATTGGCCCTCAAGCAAAAAGCGTACAGCGCAAGTGCTCTCCAGGCGTCCATCGCAGCTCTGGAGGCGGTAGAATCCCCGAGACCTTTGGACCTGTCCAAGGTCCATCCGTCGCTCCTCCGTCGAACGTCGTCAATGATCAAACCAAAGAAGCCAGCCGATCCGTCAACGAGAAAACCATACGTCGACGGCAGAAGAGTCTACATCCCGTTGGAACCCGAGATCTCGGACAAGCGGGAGCTCAAACTGTTGCAGTCTCGGCGACCGCAAGTCGAAGTCAACATGTGTCCGCATCTCCAAGGGCAGCTCGTGACAGTGTACTCCGCCAAGCGTGACCGCTTCGTCAGCGACCAAGCCCTGGGGGAGCTGCGGGGTACGTGCCCAACTTCTGGCCCATCGTTGTGACATGGGTGGTAGATGGTCGCGTGTACGACATTCCGTCCAAGCGGTTGCTGACACTTGAACGTTTCTTTGCGACGCATGTGAGGGCGAATCGAAATGGCCGCCCTGCCGCCCAACACATTTGCCTCCTGGCTCCAACTCGACAAAGCCTCGACCTGCACCTCTTGGCAAGTGTCTTCGAACGTGTTTCGGCTCATGCCAAATCTCTAGACATGCGATCACTACGACGACTGCCTCGACGGGGACGTGAGCTCCGACGTGATCACCGACGAGGATGTGCCGCTGTCCAAGTTGCTGGAAATAGCCCAACAGACAGGGATCGAAGAAGAAGGTACCACCCCGACGAAGAAGCGGGGACGAAAGCCCGGTCCATTGAAGAAGGCTCTGGACACGTCGACGGAAAGTGTGCGAAGGACGTCGAAGCGTCGGTTGGACGAGCCGTCGCCGCCTCCTCGGAAGAGTGCCAGGTCCCAGGTACAGTATGCTGCTGCTCCTGTTCTTCCTTGGGCAATGAACGAGACTTGATATATTGCGGCAAATGTAGAAGGACGTCGTCGAAACGGCGTTGCCGCGAAACGGCACTACGAAACCTCATGTACGGCGTAAGCTACGAAATGGCTTTTGAGGATGCCAGGGTTTAGAATACTTAGTCAAAATAATAATTAAACAGAAAATAGTATAATCCGTCGCCAAGTAAATTGCGTCCGGATAATGATGGAATATGTAACCGCCCACGTAACCGACGGGCCCAACAGTCACCTGTTCGACCATATATATTGAATTGAAGATGGCAGATGAAGCGGACGACGTGGACACGAACAAGGGAGACGAAGGCAGCAAAGAGCCTCGCACGAGAGACGTACGATCATCTCAGCATGCATGGACGTAGCGCGCCCTCATGTTGTTTCTCCGGTGGTGGTAGGATACCGCTGTGACGGCCATGGGCAACGCATTGGAAAAGCTTCGCATTTTGGGCTACGAGAAGGAAATGTCCAAGAAGAAGAACTTTGTCGTGTTCACAGACACGTCGTTTGCCCTCGCTGCCCAGAATGCAAGGTACGAACCCAACCTTGGCAGCATGAGCATTTATGATCACACTGAATGTCCATAACGTTAGTGCGCAATTCAAGAGCTTCCTCGAGATCGTCGTGTACTTGATGAAGGTGTGCGAGCAGGACTTTGTCGTGGACAAGTACGACGACCCGAACACGAGCGTGAACAAGTTGATTCTGTCGCTCAAGATCATGGGGTTCCCACTCGACTTTCCCGCGGCCAAACTCAAGCAAGGGTTTGGCGAGGCCGTGTGCTCGACGCTCGAGTTCATCTGCGACAAGGCGCTAGCAGCAAAAGGGTTTGCGTGGGCGAAACCGAATTACCCGAAAGAAGAGTACGCCGAGGAGGCCGAGGTGGACGAGAACGTCGAGGTAGAAGCCGACGACGAAGTGCCCGTGGAGGAAGAGGACGAGGAGCTGTACGCGATGCGCGGCAAGGCCGAGGAAAACGACCTGGACGAGTCAGCCAAGCAGATCATTCTCACGAGTGTGGACCCGCTGCTATGGAAGACCGAGCTGGAGCGCGTGGGACCCAAGTTGAAGGCCAAGACCAAAGAAGACGAAGGGAAGGAGTGGCATGCGCACATTGAGCAAACCAAAAAGCACAGCATGGTACTACTAGTAGTAGTACTAGTAGTATGATGGAGTACTCGTGACGTAGACGATCACAGAGAACCTGTCGGGCACGACGGCCCAGCTCAAAGCGATTACGACCCAGCTCTCGGAAGTGATCCAGCGCATGGCGGAAAAGGAAAAGCACATCAACAATGAGTTCGATCATTTGGTAGTACCTGCCTATAGATTATTATAAACGCGATGGTTTATTCCAACTTGGTGATTTGTGTAGCGCCAAGAGTACCACCAAATCAAGGAAAAGCTCCAAGGGGTCACGGAACGGTGCAAAGAAGGGTCGGAAAAGGTCAATGCGATGACCACCCAGCACTCGGACATCACTGAGCAATTGCGCGAGACCAAGGTATATATATATATATATAGCGTCATCGTCCGATAGCTGACGTCTGTTCCATCTTGTTTAGTCGGATATGGACAGCAAAGGCAGCAAAATGACCGACACGTCGCCATTGGTGCAGATCAAAGCTGCCCTGCAAACGCTCAAAGTGGAAATCAAAAACTTTGAATTGCGCATTGGGGTCGTGGGGTACATATATATATATATATATATATATATATATATATATATATATATATATATATATATATATATATATATATATATATATATATTGAAAAAATCATACTCCTGTCCAAATATAAGTGTTGATCGTTGGAGTGACGTAGACACACGTTGCTGCAGTCAAAAGCCAAGCAAAAAGCAGCGCACGGAAAGCGCTCCAACGAGGCGAGTTCCGTGGACCCCGAGTACGACAACAGCGACGACGACTTGGACTAAAATGCTCAAGTAATATCCCACTGAATGAAATTAAACGTTGCCATCCCCCCAACGACATAAATATACACCTACAAACCCTACACGGCGATGTGGTACTGTGCTTGGTTGTACATGTACGCGTGCCCTGACGTGGAGCCCCACAGCTCGAGCTCGTCGCGGAGTCCCACACTCACTTCACTGCGAAACATTCGCTCCACCTCTTCCCATCGCCAGCGCTGCAAGATGAATGTCACACATCCGAGCTTGAGAGACTTGAGGCCGTGGATGTCGGCAAACACGAGCATCGAACCGACATTCGCTTCATCTAGCAAATTCACGGCGATTCCCTACATATATATATATATATATTCAGTTTGGAATGATATTTCGTGGCCAAAGTAAAACGTACCTGGAGCAGCATCGACAGGATGGACATGTTGAATGAATGGGCCGTGTCCAGCAAGTCCATCAAGTCCCCGGGCAGCACCCGCAGGCGGTCCGTGTACACGAACTCGAGGAGCGCGCGGACGGTGGACTTGGGCTTGTTGAGGGACACGGCGCCGCAGAGGCTTTCGAGCATGCCGGTGTGCAGCATGCGCCGCATGTGCAGGGACCTCGTGAGGAAGAGCGAGTGTGCGTGCAGGGGGCCATCGTTAGTGTCGAAGCAGAACACGACGTCGCTTTGGACGGGCGAGTCCACGAGGCTCACAATGTCCGTGTACCAACTGGACTGCTGAACGATCACAGAGTGGTCCAGGTTGGGCTCGATGGTCTTGACGGTGCTGTTGGCCCACTCGCGCGTCTCGAGGTCCAACACGACAACAACGTCCGACGTGGAATGCTTGTCGCTGTCGTTGCCGATGCCGCCGCACACCAGCATGTGACGCGCGCTGGCCGAGAGCACGGCCGTGTGCCGATACCGCGGGGACGGCGGCACGCCTTGGGTCTGCACGAGGGACCACGTGGCTTGGGAAGGCTGCTCATGTGCCCCAACGATGATCTCCACCATGTACAAGTCTTGGCAGGGGGCCGACAGCGCCCCTCCGAACACGAGGATGGAGTTGGTTGACGACGTAGTCGAGGGCTGGATCCACACGGCACTGTGGCCGTATCGTGCGCCCGGGATACTTCCACGGGAGTCGGGGGTTTCCCACCGAAGGTACGTCTCCGACAGATGCAGGATGTTGAGTGTGCTGAGGAGGTACCCTGGTCCGGCGCCTCCAAAGACCACCATGACGGAGCACGCGTCGCCGTACGAGTTATGGGCGCGGATGGTCGTGGCCGAGTGCGCCATGCTGGCCAGTGGGGGGGTGCCGAGCACCGTCGGACACGTCCAATCGAGGTGGTTGTCTGGGGCGACGTTCAAGCAGTGGACGTCGTTGTAGTACTCCTTGGTGCGGACGTTGCACCCCCCAAACAAGAACAACCGGCAGCCGTCCCCTTGCAACGTCGGATCCCGCGTCAGCGAGTGGCCGACGCGACCGAGCGAAGGGGACGGAGTCGACAGGGGTGGGAGTTTGGACCAGATAAAAGCCCGGGTGTCGAACACGAGCAGTTCGTCGTTGGGTTGCTGGGCGTGACCGCCACCGCACACTAGGTACTGGTGGGCGTCCAAGGCGCACGCGGCGCTGAACACGAGCGACGACGGACACTCGCCCGTCGTGTCGACTTTGGTGCCGTAGCTGGCGTCCATGTCCAGCACGAGGATGTGCTTGGGGGAGATGTAGCTCGGATGCATGGTGGAGTGGCAGATGCCGCCGACGACAAGAAGTCGGTGATGTGGGTCCAGGAGGCACAGGTGGCCGTAGCATTCAGGGACCCCGTGGGAGTGCGTGCAGCCCTTGAGTTCTTCGCTGAGCAAGTACCGAATGCTGGGAAAGAAGCCAGTGAGGGCGCCGAGGACCCCGCGGTGAACAACGAGGTACCGCAGGCACGACGACAGCAGTTGGTGAAGTTGGTTCTGAAAGGCAAAGTTGGCTACGGATCGGATGTTTTGTATCGACAGGTGCTGGGAGCACTTCATTTCAACGAGTGACACGAGGTGCCGGAGGTCAAAGTACAAAGCCAAATGTACCAGGTGCTGACACGTGGACGGGTCGTATGACGGCAGATCGACGTCGTCCGAGTACAAGTAGACCAGAAACAGACGCAACGACGGCAACGAGCAATGCACGCGCAGAGAAAGTCCGCAAAGCGTTAGCTGCGATCCGTCGTCGGTGACTTGGTCGAACGACACGGGGCTCTCGTACACTCGACCTTCGCGGATGCATGCCAAGACAGAGGCCATTCTACGCTCCATGGTTAGTGAATACAAAGCATATTGTGGCGATATACAGTACCTACCGATGTGACCGACACGACAGAACCAGCGAATGCGCTGGGATCGACTGGTTTTCCACAGTCAACACAACGTCGGCCGTGGCCGTGTCGTCCAGCAAAGCCGTGGTCGTGGCTTGCTTGAACTCCCACGACGGGCAAAACGTGTGGATGAACTCGACGTCGGACGACTGCTCCGTGCCCACCATCGTGTTTTCAATCAACTCGTTGATGTGGTCAGCATCCGAGTACGCCACCAGAGCCTACACACACATGCGAATGTAAGCGCGTCAAACTTGCATGTGGACGCACACAAAACTTGAGTTCGTCGTGGGGGTTGGCTCGCAGGGACAGCGTGTGCAGCGCCGAGTGCTTCCGCCCAGAGTACTGAATCGATCCGTGAAGGAGGCGGCCCGTGTGGGAGCAGTACATGCGCACGACCGAGTGATCCGTGGACCCACTGCGCGAGCGACATCAAATGTGTGTGTGAGGAGTTGGTTGCATATCCTGCGCGAGATGGAATAGACATACCTGAGAATGAGATTGCCGCTTGAGGTGTAATATGACCGCGAATAAGACGGTTTGTCACCCTGTCGTTGCGGTGTCAACCTACAACACCATACCCCCCCCCGCTCAGCATCAGGTCATATCATCGCTCTCATTCGTGTATACATACCCCCAGTCGAGTTTGCCATTGAGCAGGCTAAATTGATTGAACTCGTCGTCGATTGCAGACACAAGCAGCCGCTGGTCGTCCGGAGAAAAGCAAATGGTCAAGTTCTCGCCTTGCGAAGTGCACGTGTAGATAGGGGTCGTGTCGGGGCTGCGCGTGTCCCACAACTTCATGGTCTTGTCAAAGGAGCACGTAGCGAAGAGCGTTGACGACAGATTGGCGAACCTACATCGCGGTGAAAACATGAGCGCCGCGCTTCGGTCAGTCCAACAATGCGAACCTGGAAAGGTTGATCTCTTTTTCGTGGATGTCGTCGAAAGTGCGCACGATCTGGCCGGTCTGCACGTCGTAAATGCGTACAGAGTGGGAATTCCCGCTCACAAGGACATGCTGGTCGTTCAAGTTGACGTGGACTGAGCTTAGGTGGGGAAACGGAACGAACTGCTTGGTGGGTTCGTGGGACCTGGTCGAGTCCATCGAGCACATGGAGATGGTGCCTTTCTGAGTTCCGACGATGAACCTGTCTTGATATTCGGGTTTGTGCAGCCATGACAGCCCTAGAACCTGTTCAGTTGGACTGAGTTGGTGCGCCTTGGACACGTAATGCGCGCGGTTTAGTGCGTGGTTCCACACCACGACTTGTCCAGAGAACGTTCCAAACACGAGCAACGATGGATCGCGTGGATGGTACTCGAACTGTCGGGGATTGAACGGCAGCTTGGACATCAGCGACGACTCCATGAAGGTATCGCGGGAGCTGCACAGCACCCGAACTTTCCAAGGGTTCATCACCGCCATCTTTTTTCCACAGTGGCCTGGAAATGTGTTGTTGGAACTTACTAATCCTCTGTGGGACAATGGGATATATTAAGTTTGAAAGGCAATAGTGCATTCCCTTAAAACAGAGATGGTCTCGAATGTTCGTCCACCATCGATTTCATTGCAGCGACAGAGATGGCGATCGCGTCTAAACCTCACGAGATCTATCGTGAAGCTGTTCATGTACATCGAGGGTCTCTGCCTTTCTTGGTTTGGACGGGAATATCATTATGGATATCAGGGTGGGAGCATTGTCGCTCCTCTCGTTAGGTGATTCCGTCGCATAGAAACGAAGCCATATAAAGTTGGACAGGTTTTATGAGTATAATTCCTTCAAATCTTGCTATGATGTGACGTTGTCCATCATAGTTCGTGGCCTGGGATTGGCTGGAATAGATGTCCAAGAATTACGTGATGTTTATGCACCAAGTCACAGAAGAATCACTTTGAAGTTACGTTAAAGTACTTCATAAAGACATTTTCGCTCCAACCATTTGAAGTACTGGAATACCCTTGCGGCCAACTCGAAGCATGGAGATTGTACTGTGGCCAGGGCACATACTGTAGGTACAATCCGATGTGTGGAATCACAAAAGTTGGGTTCGCAGGCCAAGTCCCGGTTGAAGTCGCACGAGCCAAAGACCAAGTGAAATATTTGATGGTTTTCTTGTTTCGAATTAACAAAGACATTCCCACTCGTAACGTTAGGGGGTGGTAATGGCACTGGAGACGATCCCATGCTTAAACGTACCAAAGTACCCCCAAAGCAAATTCAACTACGTAAACTCGGTAATAAGATGCCGTCGGTAGTTACAGTAGTTGTACCTGAATACAAGTTGTGTTTAGCCCATTTGTGAAACCCTGCAACAGCATGCATGAGTTCTGGCGACTCTTCGAGCTTCAAGAATTGCATAACGTCAACTCGAAGTTGCCCCCACTTGACTTGGCCTTTTGCGATGTACGTCGACACAAACGACTTTTCGACGTCCGTCCACGTAAACTCAAAGATCCCCGTCAATGACGCAACCTACAAACGTCGTCATTTCGATCTGAATCACCTCCAACCGTAGGTACGTACGTACGTGTACACCGAAAACAACTCCAATAGCTAGTGGGATTGCAGCCTCCGTTACGATAGGACACACCACGCTGCCAACTGCTGCACCACACAGAAATCTCAGCACTGTGGCAATGAAGTTGCTGGGATCGTCGTTGTTTCGATCATTCGTGCCACCATTGCGAAAGACAGCAGTTCTCTACAATACGATGATGCGTAAACGTAAACGCAAGGAATATGTGGAACTAAAATGACCGTAGCGGGAGCTTCCGAGACGCCTCCTTGGCACAGCGTTGAAGGCGCTAGGGTCATGTCAACACATGATGCGTAAAGCACTCTCCAACGTACACATAAACACTCGAGCACCAGCAAAGCCTAGCACGCCCATGGCTGTAATTCGGAGCGACAGGTTATTGCCGCGGGCTTTCAACAACGCGAACCGAGGTGGCATGCTTGGGCGCACACTTACGGCGCCACTTCGAGTTGACAGCGCTCGAACCAGCGTGCCCTTGGCCTCCACTACTCGAATTGATTAGCAACGTTCTAAGGATTGTCATGGGATGTGCCTACCGCATCTAGTGGCTTGCTTTAGGAACATCTCACTCTGCAATTGACTGAGAACCGGCCCACTCTCACGTGCGAGCATTTGTCGGGGGTCGCGTAAATACCAGGTTTGATTATCCGGATTTTTTCACACAGCGGTAGGACTGTCTGTGATTGGCCAATTCCAAAAGTCACCAAACCAATCAATGCTATTTTTGCTGAATTGTGTCAGTTGGCTCAGATTAGGTGAAGCCAATCGTTCAAAAGTCTCTTCACACACACGGTAGTAGGGCATCACATCATAAACAGATAGCACAGCTCCATCACAAGCACCACAGTATTGCTCGTCGATTTCACGCTCAAACCCTTGTGTTTGCATTTGAAGGCAACGTCACAATGAAGTTGGTGGTAAAGATGCGTATGTGAATTCTCCGGATACGACTGTATCATCTGGATATGTCGTACCTGTAACCGGATGCCCCAAGCTCGCCAGTCGCACATTTTGAATTTGGTGATATGCTGACCCAGTCGATCCGTGCAGGTACATGCCGCCGCCTTCACAAGCGGAGGGACTCATGCTTGTATACCTTATAGTTGAACACAAGTCCTCGTTGGTTCGCACTCTTGTGGCCCGCGCTGTGCGCTCTAGCGGTACATTTCTCCGTTCATGTACATCCTTCCTAACGGCTAATACATACAGCGGTGTCCGCTCCGCTGAAATTCAATGGCCAGCATTTGGCTGTGCGCATGACTGCTTTGGGGGTACTCGGTGCCGCTTGTGTGTCCACTTTCAATGGTACGCTCGCATTTCCGTCCACATCCTGACATTTCCCAGTTGCCCAGTGCCAAGCCGCCATCACCCGCACCCTCAAGGTACGCATGCTTCATGTGCATGCAGAGAATACATGAGAGTTCCCAACACATTTCATAGGCTGAAAATGCGTCTGGCGGGGGAAGCAGTGGCAAGAAGAGCGACGACCCGGTGAGCCGCTTGATCGACCAATACGCTGGTTCGGTTGGCCAAGTGTCCTTCGGTGGCGCCGTGGGATTCTGCGCTGGCATGGCGGTCAAGTCCATTGGAAAAGTGGCTGCCGTGGCTATCGGCGTGGTGTTTATCGGTGCTCAGGTACCGCACATCGCGGACGTGTGAGAGAACCCATTTAAGCCTGGTTCGTTTAGATGGCGGCGTCGGCGGGGTACATTCAAATTGACTGGAAGAAGGTGGAGAAGGATGCGATTGCGGCTGTGGACCCCAATGGCGATGGCAAGATCACGCCTGATGACTTTAAGATCTGGTGGAAGAAATTCCTGGCGCTGTCCAAGCACAACTTGCCCTCCTCGGGTATGGTCTCACTACTTTGCACACATGAGATTCCGACTTGAGTAATAACTCTAGGTGGGTTTGCGGCCGGGTTTTTCTTGGGCCTCACGTACGCCTAGTGTACTTGGGCTGCATCGTAGACATTCTATGCTGTGATAACCTATCCATGTCCTTCCTGCTAAGTTTGGCCGCCTTTGCATCCAAAGCGTATCTATCATGCACGGTCGATAATCCGGTTAAAATGGCTTGTGATTGGTGCATTTTTCCACCTGTTGGGATATCCGGATGCGGTGCCGATTTAAACATCGATTGCGAAACTCTTCAGTTTTCGTTTTGCCATGATGCGAACAAACTCGCCGCCAGACGTGGGATCGAACAACTGGGGCAGGGACATGGGGAGTCGCCGCGAGGACTCGTCCGTTCCTCCGTTGGACAAGATGGACCCGGGACTGGATATCACGGACTTCGACCGCCAAGCCAAGGCCAAACATGTCTTTGTGCCACGACCTCGACGGGTCACGTCGCCAGAATTGATCTTTCGCGGCGCTTCCCTTGATCGGTACGAAAGGACCGTTGATACACACGACTCAAGGCAATACGTTGTTGCGTGTAGCTGCGAAAAGGAAGAGTTGTGCTCCTTCAATGAGGAGAGCGTTGACATGGATGTCGAATGTGGGGACAAGTGGAATTTCCGCTCCATTGGTCGTCCAGATGTGAACCTCGACACCCCACCCACCCGTGCAGGGAATCCAGTGATCATGGACGAGCGCTTTCACGAACATTCGAATGTGTCGTCGTCCATGCTGTATCGCCCCATTGCGCGACCCATGACCGCCATGCCCAATGCCGAGCGAGTTGCGTGGTGGAATGCTGCCTCCTCCTAATCCTGCTCCAACAGGGGTCATCATGCTCTTCAATCCGTCGTCCTCCTCACCACCGAGTGCCACGTCACCCGTTGTAAAGCACCATCCCCTGTACACCATTTTGAACGCTGCAAGCCCAGCGTCCGTCCAATATTTAAAAATGCCCCCGTCTCCATCATTGTCAGTATCAATACTATTATTACGACCTTGTTATACTGTAACTTGTTGGCAGCAGTCATCAATAGTTCACAATTTTGTTATAATGTTTTGGCAGCAGTCGTCAATAGTACACAATTTTGTTATACTTTGTTGGCAGCAGTCATCAATAGTACACAATTTTGATATAATTTGTTGGCAGCAGTCATCAATAGTACACAATTTTGTTATAATTTGTTGGCCGCTCCAACCAAATTCGACTCTTTCTACTACTGGACGAACCTAGGTCACAATCTCCACGTTATGGCACATACAACGGGTGCGATACTGTGTTCAGACATGGCATACATGTCATGATGGCATGTCTTGAGATTGCGGCGGTATCGTCTAGTCGCGGTCGTAGTTGAGAATCGGAGACAGCCACTTCTCCGTGAACTCGACGCTCTGCTGCTTTCGCTCAGCATACGCCGTGATTTGGTCCTTCCCGACCTTGCCCACGGCAAAGTACTGCGACTCGGGGTGTGCAAAGCAGAGCGCACTCACCGACGACGCCGGCATCATCACAAAGTTCTCGCTCAGCTTCAACCCGAGCGCTTCGGCCTGGAGGAGGTCCCACATGATCTTCTTCTCCGTGTGGTCGGGTTGCGATGGGTACCCTGGCGCCGGTCGGATGCCGTCGTACTTGACTTTAAGCAAGTCTTCCTGCACGAGGCTCTCGTCCTGGGCATATCCCCACAGTTTGGTGCGCATCTCGCGATGGATGTACTCGGCAAACGCTTCCACGAATCGATCGCCGATCGCTTGGGCCATGATCTTGGAGTAGTCGTCGTGCTTGGCGTCGTACGCGGCCGCCAGTTCCTCGACGCCAAAGCACCCGACGGCAAACATGCCCAAATGGTCTTCAAGGCCGGTTTCCACAGGCGCGATAAAGTCGCATAAACTCATGTATGGCTCATCCGTTTCCTTCTCGGCCTGTTGGCGCAGCATGCAAAACGACGCGAGCTCGCGGTCGCGATGCTCGGGGTCGTACAGCACCACATCTTGATCCTTGCGGGCGGCGCGGTAAATGCCGCACACGCCGCGCACTTGCATCGACTTGTTGGCGATGATCTCATGGAGCATGGTCTGGGCGTCATCAAACAGCTTCTTGGCCTCGGCGCCGACGTTTTCGTCGTCAAAGATCTTGGGGTACCCGCGGTTGGGGTACCGCCCGCGCAGCTCCCACGTCTGGAAGAACGGGTTCCAGTCGATAAACGGCACAATGTCGTCGAGGGGCACGTCGTCGATGACGCGGTTGCCGAGCTGGTTTGTCTTGCCGAACGGCGGGTTGGTGGCCCAGTTGATCTTGAACGACTTGGCGCAGATCTTTTCGTACGGAATCATCTTGATGTCGTCGATCGACGCATAGTAGTCGTCGCGCATCTCTTCGTACTCTTCGAGGATTTCCTCGGCAAAGTCGGCTTTTTCCTCTGGCTTGAGCAAGTTGCCGACCACGACCACGGACCGGGACGCGTCCAGCACGTGGATCACGGGGTGGTCTATCGTCGAGTACTGCGGCGCGATCTTGACGGCGGCGTGCATCTTGGACGTGGTGGCACCCCCGACCATGAGCGGCATGGTCATGCCCGCCTTGGCCATCTCCTTGGCGACAAACACCATTTCATCCAGCGATGGCGTGATCAGCCCAGACAAGCCAATGATGTCGACATTGTGCTCCTTGGCGAGCCGCAGAATCTCCTCGCACGGCACCATCACCCCTGCGTCGATGATCTTGTAGTTGTTGCAGCCGAGCACGACCCCCACGATGTTCTTGCCGATGTCATGGACGTCGCCCTTGACCGTGGCCAGCAGCACCTTGCCCGCGTACATACTGTCCTCGTCCATGTCTTCGCTCACAATGCCATCAGCGCGGTCCTTGGCCTGCTGCGCCAGCTTTTCTTCCTCCATGAACGGCAGCAAGTACGCCACCGCCTTTTTCATCACGCGGGCGCTCTTGATCACTTGGGGCAAGAACATCTTGCCCGCGCCAAACAAGTCCCCGACCACATTCATCCCGTCCATGAGCGGCCCTTCGATCACATGCAACGGCCGGTCGCACAACAGCCGCATCTCTTCCACGTCGTTGTCAATGTAGTCGGAAATACCCTTGACCAGCGCATGTGTGAGGCGCTCGCCGACTGGCTTGGTACGCCATTCCTGCTGCGCCACCACGACGCCGGTGCCGCCCTTCTTGGCCGCGTCCGCCTTTTCCCGTTCAAGCAACGACCGTTCCAGCAGCGCTTCCGACGCCTCGGGGTTGCGGTTGAGCACGACATCCTCGACGATTTGCAGCAGGTCCTTGGGGATGTCGTCGTAGATCTGCAACATGCCGGCGTTCACAATGCCCATATCCATACCCGCCTGCACCGCATGGTACAGAAACACACTGTGAATCGCTTCGCGGATGACGTTGACGCCTCGAAACCCAAACGACAAGTTGGACACCCCCCCCGAGATCTTGCAGTACGGGTTCTGCTCCTTGATCACTTTGCACGCGTTGATAAAGTCCACGCCGTAGTTGTTGTGCTCTTCCATACCCGTGGCAATCGTGAGGATGTTCGGGTCGAACACAATATCCTCGGGGGGAAACCCCACCCGCGGACCGACCAAAATGTCATATGACCGCTTGCAGATGCGCACCTTTTCCGCTTCCGTCGCGGCCTGGCCGTACTCGTCGAACGCCATCACGACCACGGCGGCCCCGTGGCTCTTGACGATCTTGGCATGGCGGACAAACTCGTCTTCGCCGACCTTGAGCGAGATCGAGTTGACAATGCACTTGCCTTGCACGCATTTGAGCCCGGCCTCCACCACGTGAAACTTGGACGAGTCAATCATAAAAGGCACTTTGGACACGTCTGGCTCGGTCACGGCGATCTTTAGGAAACGTTCCATTGCTGCCACGCCATCCAACATGCCGTCGTCCACGTTCACATCCACGACCATCGCGCCTTCCTCGACTTGCGCGCGCGCGATTTCCATGGCCGTGCCGTAGTCGCCCTTGATGATGAGCTTCTTGAAGCGAATGGATCCGCTGATGTTGCACCGTTCGCCCACGTTGAGAAACGAAAACCGTTCCTTGGTCACGACCATGTCTTCCAACCCAGAGAGCCACATGAACGGCTCTTTGGGGACGTACTGCGGACGCGGCGGAGACTTGTGCGCTTCGTCCGCGATCGCCTTGATATGTAGGGGAGTGGTGCCGCAGCATCCGCCAATCATGTTGAGCAGTCCTTCTTCGCAGAACTCGCCGCAGTACTTGGCCATGAGCAGCGGGTCGTCATCGTACCCGCCCATGGCGTTGGGCAGGCCGGCGTTAGCATACACGGACACGAAGCACTCGGCTACATTGGCTAGGCGGCGCAGGAAAGGCTTCATTTGGTTGGCCCCCAACGCGCAGTTGAGTCCGATGCAGAACGGCTTCGAGTGGCGCAGACTCACGTAGAATGCTTCCGTGGTCTGCCCACTCAACGTCCGGCCGCTCATGTCGACGATGGTCCCGGAGATGAAGAGAGGGATCTTCTTGTTCTTGTCGGCTTGGTACTTGTTAACGGCAAACACCGCCGCCTTGGCGTTCAACGTGTCGAAGATGGTCTCGACCAGCAAGATGTCGCTCCCGCCGTCCATCAACGCTTCGATTTGCTCGTAGTACGCTTGGACCAGTTCGTCGAACGTGACGTTGCGAAAACCTGGGTCTTCTACGTTGGGCGAAATGGACAACGTGCGGTTCGTGGGGCCGATGGAACCGGCGACGAAGCGAGGCGTGAGCGGGTCGAGGGCCGTGAGTTCGTCGCATGCCTCGCGCGCCAGCGCGGCACTTTCAAAGTTGATTTCGTATACGAGGTCTTCCATGTGGTAATCGGCCTGGGCAATCGTCGTGCCCGAGAACGTGTTGGTCCCGATGAGTTGGGCGCCGCCAATGGTCATGTATTCTTTGTGGATGTCCTTGATCACGTCGCGCTGGGTGATCGACAACAAGTCGTTGTTCCCTTTGACCAAATGCGGCCAATCTTTGAATCGGTCGCCGCGGTACTCTTCTTCCGAGAACTTGTGCTTTTGAATCATCGTGCCCATGCCACCGTCGAAGATCAGAATCTTGGTCGACATGAGCGCCGTGAGGTACTCAAAGAGGTCCGTCTCGCCACGCACATAGGGCTTGGCAAGGATTTCTGCATGGGTCAAGGTCATCTCTTCCAAGTGACGTGGTGGCCTGCTGACAGCGAGAAGCACGTGCCTCACGGGTGTTTGGTTGGTCGCAAATACCAAATTGGCTACCCGGTGTACGGGAGATCCATTCAGTAAAAAGGAATCATAGGGACCCACTAAAAAATAAACGTTGACCCCCACCCCATAGTTAAATAGGCTCGCATTTTTCGTTTGGATATGTGTACCCCCCCCTACTTTGGCGTAAAATGACATACCCCCCCCACCATTTTGAATACATGGAACGCATCGACGACTGGAGGGCATGACGATCAGTTATGGCCAATCACACGCAAGGCTCATCTTGACTTCCATTTCTTGATCCCACCATGCCGCTTCACTTTGGCGGTTGAACATCCCTTGCTCAAAGAGGTCAGAGCCATGTCGTACGAACAAGGGTCGTCCCATCCAAGGTGCATCCCATTGCAGTCTCCACGAACCCCACGGCCACTGGCACCATTGGTTTGGTAATCAAATGAAAAAGCAGCTGCCAATGGAAAGGATGTTCCTATTCCCCAATCCAGTACAATAACACTCCATGTGGACATGGCATAGAATAAATAAATACTGTACCGGATGGTTACATAGTTATCGTAAAAAAATGATGCAAAACTAATAACGTTAGAGACGTCTTGCAAGTCATCTACATGTACTACATACTAGTACATATACGTACTATGTATACGAAGGCGTAGCTGTGGAGCGAAGTTGATTGCTTTGGCTAAGAAGCAGCACAGGGACGATGTGTACTGTACAATGTATTTCGTTGCGCTGACATTCTTCTGCGTTCTGCAGAACAATACTGTGACCCGGGGTACAACTCAGACTTCGCTGGTGGAAGATTCGTGCAAAACACTAATTTCAGTCCACTTCACACTATAAAAATGGTGGGCTATTACTATTTACAGTCCTACAGTATTTGAAGGTGTTTGATGTGGCGCTTTTTTGGGCGCAAGTTCATTTGATTCGCGCTGTTCAAACGATACTATGCTGCGGCTGTCGACGCGGATGCTTGGTATACCTTTGACATGACTCATGCATGACAGCTCACGGCTCACGTGCAAATGCTAGCGCATCCGATCTTGCTTCGAGGCGGCATCCACCATCCCACGCGTACCTTGTCGACGCATGCCTTTCGCTCGCACACTTGTGGCGAACTGCGTGTGGATGACATTGGGAAGGAGATTAAGCTCTCTGGATGGGTGGATGCCATTCGGTCGTTCGGCCCCATGACGTTTGTGTCGATTCGCGATCGTCATGGCACCACGCAGCTCGTGTTTGGAAAGGACAACCATGTGGATAGTGCGAACTTGCTCAAGCCTGAAACTGTGATCCGAGTCACTGGCCAGGTACCCGACCTACCCACAAGCTATCACAAGAATCCCCTTAACCATGACCAGGTCCGCGGACGCCCCATCGACATGGTCAATGCGAACATGGGGACGGGAGCAGTCGAGGTCGTCGTCGATGCCGTCGACACGCTCAACACGACGTCGCCGTTGCCGTTGCAAGTACGTCGAACCTTCCTTCGTGTCGACGTCAAAGATGTTGTATTCTAGGTGTCTACTGGTTCGGAAGTCGCGAACGAAGACACGCGGTTGCGTCATCGATACCTGGACTTGCGTCGGCCGGCGTTGCAGCAAAACCTCGCCCTCCGCTCCAACGTGTCCATGACAGGTCGCGTATATATATCCCAGTGTTCTTTCTCTCACATTGGTGTTCTCTAGCTCGCAATTACTTGTGCCAACTCGGGTTTCTGGAGATTGAAACGCCCACGCTGTTCAAGAGCACGCCGGAAGGAGCGCGCGAGTTCCTCGTCCCCACTCGAAGCAAGAACCAATTCTACGCGCTCACACAGAGTCCCCAGCAGTACAAACAGGTGCGTTTCTTCTTCCTCGTGGCCTCATGGGTTCATGGGCGTTGTAGCTGTTGATGGTCGGTGGCTTGGATCGGTACTTTCAACTGGCGCGATGCTACCGCGATGAAGGCGGTCGCGCGGATCGCCAGCCCGAGTTTACGCAAATCGATTTGGAAATGTCATTTGTGACCCAAAATGACATTATGGATGTGATCGAGGTGATTCAGTCGTAGTCGTATGTATGGATTTGTTTCACGTTGGTTTGGTAGGGCATGGTCAAGTCCATTTGGAAGTGCGCGAATGTATCGCTGGACCATGCGTTTCCCATCATGAGCTACTCGGAGGCCATGGATCGATTCGGGGTCGACAAGCCCGACACGCGATTTGGCCTCGAGCTCAAGGACCTGTCCGACATCATTCCCGTCGACGTCTTTGGGTCATCCACAACTACCACGTCGTCCTCTACCGACGTTGTTCGAGCGATCAACGTCAAGAAGCTGGCCAAGGGCGGGTTTTCCCGCAAGGACATGGCCGACTTGGAAGCCCTGGCGAAGCGGCTGTCTGTGGATGGGCGCGGCGTGTACGCGGTCAAGATTGAGGTAGGCGTGTCCTTGGTGATGCTGGTGTGAGCGGGATTGAACGCCATACTTGCACGACCAGGACAACATCAAGTGGAAGTCGTCGGTGGCCAAGAAACTGTCGGCAGCGCAACTGGACCAGGTCAACGACCGCCTGGACGTCGAGGACGACGACGTGCTCCTCCTCACGTGTGGCTCTTATGCAAACGTGTGCACGCTGCTCGGTCGTATGCGGCTGCAGACGTCGCAACTGCTGTACGCCCGAGGCCAGCTGCAAGAAGAGCTGGATCCGTTCAAGTACAACCACTTGTGGATTGTGGACTTTCCCATGTTTGAAATGGACAATGACGGTAAAGATAGATAGCCCACCATTGTGCGATCGATCAATTCTGCCGTGACCATCGAGGGTGTATGTCGTAGGACTGTCGGCGACGCATCATCCGTTCACGGCCCCGCGAGAAGACGACTTGGCCAAGTTGAAAGCCCTCTTGGCCACGGGCAAGAATGCATGGGAAGACCCGGCGATGCAGAACGAGCTGCTCACGATCAAAGCGCAGCATATGGACCTTGTGTGCAATGGATGGGAGCTGGGCGGGGGCTCCATTCGTCTGCACTCGATGGAGTTGCAGCAATCGGTGCTTCAGCAAGTGCTCAACCTTCCTGACGTCCAAGTACGAGCTGCACACCAACTACCTCCCGTGGATATGTAATCTAACCATCCCTCCCTATCTTGATCTTAGAAAAAGAGCTTTGAGCACTTGCTCAACGCGTTGGGACATGGGGCTCCTCCTCACGGCGGCATTGCATTGGGGTTGGATCGACTCGTTGCTATTTTGTGTGGAGCGCCAAGGTTAATCATTCCCTGATGGAACGTCGACTGATCGTTCCTGTAGCTTGCGCGATGTGATTGCGTTTCCCAAGTCTACCACTGGCAATGAGCTCATGACGGGATCGCCTGGCCCCGTGACTGCGGACCAGTTGAGCGAATATCACATTTGCGTAGCTAAGACCGACGAATAGCTCCGTAGCAACTAGTAGTACACGACGCGCGGCTAACAACTCAATTCACAATCTCTGCATGTCCATGTGATACAGTGTTAACGTTACATTTAGAAAACATCCGGATGATGTCCGGATAACAGATTATGGATTTGATTGGCTGGATCGGGAATGCAAACGACTGGCTTGGAATTTGGTCAAGCCAAGTGGTGGTCATTGGGGTCAAATTTACTCCTTCTCTCACCCTACTGAGCTCAAGCAAAATGGCCAAAGAATCCACCAAGAAGATCAAGACCTCCACCGTGGCCGACGTCGTGTCCCGCGACTACACGATCAACCTCCACAAGCGCCTGCATGGAGCGTATCCTTTTTGACGATTTATACGTGCATGTTTCTTCAGATCCACATCTGTAGCTCCCACCTTGGAGACTTCCTTAACCTTGCTTTAGTACCTTCAAGAAGAAGGCTCCCAAGGCTGTTCGCGAAATCAAGAAGTTCGCCCAAAAGGCCATGGGCACCGCCGATGTCCGCATCGACTCCAAGTTGAACAAGTTTGTGTGGTCCCAAGGTGTGCGCAACATCCCTTACCGCGTCCGCGTGCGTCTCTCGCGCAAGCGTAACGAAGACGAAGACGCCAAGGAAAAGCTGTACACCCTTGTCCAACACGTCCAAGTCTCGACCTACAAGGGTTTGAGCACCGAAAACGTCGAAGAATAGATACGTCGCTGAGACTGTCTAGCAACCTCAGTAGATCAGGGTGAGGACCTCTCAATAGAGTGGATTCGGTCACAATGTCGTCAGATATTGATTGGGAGGTCCATAATGTTGAGATGTGGGTTCTTCATCATTGTGTGTTCTTGCATGGCCCTGCGCCACTTCACCGCCTGGAAACGTTCATGTGAGGGACTAACGATACAATGTGCAACGGGTTCGACGCCCTCACGTCTTAAGTAGTCGGTCAATCTCGCAGATGAGGACATATAAACTGGGGCTAGAGTTGGAGTGCATTCAACCAAGCCACTTGTTTGGACCGAGGTAATGTTGTTTTGCACCACTTTATCCCTACAAGAATAGCATTAACGCATGGGTGAACGCCATCTGAGGGTGAGTCCCAATGATGATGCCCCTTCAGCAGCAGGAGAAGCTCTCTCCATTGTATCGCTGTCTCCCGTGCATGAAGGCATGAAGCGCGCATGCCGTTCGAGAACGATCCTCTGGTTGTCAATAGAGTTGGTATTGGCAGCAAATACGTCGCCGCGCCCCACGTTTTTCTGGAAGCGTGGACTAAACCCATGTTTAAAGTGATATTAACCTATTAAACGCACACGCTAAATACGACATCAGAGATGCGGCATACGCTTGGACTTTATTGTTGGTTTTGAAGCCCTTCCCTTGATTCGATATGTTTGGCTTTGGCAAACCTGCACCTGAAGGAACTCCTGCCGCGGCCCCTGCCGCCGCCGCCCCCGCTGCGGCTGGAGGTAACCAAGGCGGCTACTCCTTCGACCCCACGGGATTGGAACGTGCGGCCAAGGCGGCGCGTGACTTGGAAAAGGCCAAGTATGCCAAGGAAGCGTTCCAAATGGCGAAAGAGACCGAAAAGACCAAACAATTGGAGCATCAAGCCAAGGTGAAAGAGAACGAAGCATTGTACAAGGCGTACGAAGTGCAGCGCATCCAAAAGGAGGGCGAAGAGACGCGCAAGAACATGGAAGCGCAAACCGAGCACAACCAACGCCGGTCGCAGTACCAGGATCAATTGAAGCGCAAGCAATGGGCCGACCAGCAAGCGGCTCAAAAGCTATTCAAGGAGCAAGAGCTGAAGAAGCAAGAAGAAATGCTCGCCCGCCAAGAAGCGTCGCGCCGCAAGACGATGGAGTACGAGGCCGAGTTGCGCACGAAAACCGAAATGTCTAAGGTGGCTGCTGAAGTCGAAGGACGCATCAAGCAAGAGCGATTGAACCACGACCTGCATCTAGAGGAAGCCCGCGTGCGTGCCAAAGAGTACCGCGAGACCGTCATGGAAGGCATCAAGTTGGCCACCAACACCATCGGCACGGGCGTGATGGCGTTCCTTGGCGACTCGGAGAAGCTATCGGCGACCGTGCTGTCGCTGTCCGTGTTGGCGCTGGGTGTGTACACGGCCAAAGTATCGACGGGGGTCACAGGGCGGTTCATCGAAGCGCGTCTCGGCAAGCCGTCGCTCGTGCGCGAAACCTCCCGCCGGTCCGTGGTCCAAGTGCTGGCCAACCCGATTCCGTCCATCAAGCGCGTGCTTCGCCTCGGCACCCCCACGGACGCCCTCGCCGGCGTCGTGCTCGAGCCCAAGCTCGACGAACGTCTGCGCAGCGTCGCCCTGTCCACGTTCAACACAAAGAAGAACCGGGCGCCGTTCCGCCACTTGCTCCTCCATGGTATGTATCTACTAGACTAACTACTAAGCGATGATAAACCTTGACGATCCTTGTAGGACCTCCGGGGACGGGTAAAACGCTGTTTGCCAAGGCCCTGGCGCGCCATTCTGGTCTCGAATATGCCATCTTGACAGGCGGCGACGTCGCCCCGCTGGGCCGCGAAGGCGTGACGGAAATCCACAAGTTATTCGATTGGGCGTCGCACAGCAACCGCGGATTGCTCATGTTTGTGGACGAAGCCGACGCGTTTCTCCAAAAGCGCAGCAACGCCGGTACGTACGAATCAACGATCGATCGTCAGTCTTGTGATTTCTTATGGTTATTGTTGGAGTAGTCATGAGCGAAGACATGCGCAATGCCTTGAACGCGTTCCTGTACCGCACGGGAGAAGCCAGCGATAAGTTTATGATTGTGTTCGCGTCGAACCAACCGGAACAGTTTGACTGGGCTATCAACGATCGCATTGACGAGATGGTCGAGTTCATCCTGCCTGGCCTTGACGAGCGCGTGCGTATGCTGCAGCAGTACGTGGACAAGTACTTGCTCCAGTCCAACTCGAAGGCCAAGAAGATCGTCGTGCGGGACATCGAGACGGCGGACCTCGTCGCCGTCGCGGAGCGCATCGACGGGTTCTCGGGCCGTGAAATCTCCAAGCTCGTGATCGCGTTCCAAGCGGCCGCGTACGGGAATGCCAACTCGGAGTTCACGAAGGACCTGATGGACGAAGTACTAGAGCATCACATGGTGGCCCACCGGCAAAAGGAAGAGTGGAAGGCCTACGAAATCCCCCAAAACGTCCACAAGCTCGTGTCCGAATAAGGCAACTGAAACAATACAGATTGATCATAGATGCATCATGTGGTTGATGGAATGAAGCGCATGCCTGGTCTGCGACCGAGTAAGATCTGCTGCGAGGACATCGCCAAGTAGTATACTAGTAGGCAGAGAGATGGACGGGTTGCTCAGTCGATGGCCATGCTGTTTGCCGCTCAAAGGCAGCTACGTACAGTAACTCGACCAGCCTTCGACCGATACTGCAGCCCCCTCATGCCTGGTGTGCCACGTCATAGTACTAGAATGGAGTGAGCCTTCATTTTCGATTTTCGACATTCCATGACCAATTGACTTTGAAGAGTGTAGGTCGTCGGGGTACCCGCCCGAATCCGTGGGAAGAGGCATTTGACTTGGGATTTGTATGGCATGGATACCACGTGTCCGAGATCTTTGGGTGGGCACAATTCGGAGTTCTTTCGTGCCCCGGGGCACAATATATGAGCACAAGTGACTGGACTTCATCACAACGCCATTTCAAGCCGCAGCACTCTCTCGGTGTCCTCTCAATCATGCAACGTGACGATCGCCACAAGAACTTCAAGAAGGGTATTGACACCGATGATGCTCGTCGGCGCCGTGAAGAGCTCACGCTCAACATCCGCAAGACCAAAAAGGACGAGCAAGTGAATCGCCGACGCCGCATGGTCGGGGGGTCTGCCCCCGTCGACTTCGAAGGCATGAGCGGCGACTTCCAGTCGTCGGACAGCGCCGCCTCGGCCAGCTCCAATGCACAAGCTTACGTATGAGTCCCCTTGCACCACTCGCATGCTCACGTTCGCTCTTGTAGCTGTCCCAACTCCCGGAAATGGTCAGCGAATTGAACTCCCAGGACATTGAAATCCAACTGGCGGCCGTCACCAAGTTCCGCAAACTTCTGTCCATTGGTAAGACTTGTACGCAGCACCACTCCTTCTCACCATGTTGTGCGTAGAAAACAACCCCCCCATCCAAGAAGTGATCAACCTCTCCGTCGTGCCGGTGTTCACGACGTTCCTCAAGGCGGACAACCACCCGAAGCTCCAATTCGAAGCGGCGTGGGCGTTGACCAACATTGCGTCTGGCACGTCGGACCACACGCGCATTGTGATTCAAAACGGCGCCGTGCCGCTCTTTGTGCGCCTGCTCATGTCCCCAAACGACGAAGTCCGCGAACAAGCGGTATGGGCATTGGGCAACATCTCGGGTGACTCCCCCGCGTGCCGCGACCTCGTCTTGGAAGCCGGCGCGGTGCTGCCTCTGCTGCACCAGCTCTCGGAACGCGCTAGTCCGTCCATGCTTCGCAACGCCACGTGGACATTGAGCAACTTTTGCCGCGGCAAGCCCCAGCCGCGCTTCGACCTGGTTCGCCCGGCGCTCACAACATTGGCGCGTCTGATTTACAACCAAGACCAGGACGTGCTCACGGACGCATGCTGGGCGCTGTCATACCTGTCGGACGGCCCGAACGAAAAGATCCAGGCGGTGATCGAGGCCGGCGTCGTCCCGCGCTTGATTGAGCTGCTCCTGCACACCAACTCGTCGGTGCAGACGCCGGCTCTGCGCACGATCGGCAACATTGTGACGGGGGACGACCTGCAGACCCAGTTTGTCATCAACGAAGGCGCGCTTACGCGGCTGTTGCCGCTGCTGCAAAGCCCCAAGAAGGGCATCCGGAAGGAAGCATGCTGGACTGTGAGCAACATCACGGCCGGCAGCGCCGAACAGATTCAGGCGGTGATCAACGCCAACATCTTGCCGCCGCTCATCCAGTTGCTGGCCACGGGCGAGTTTGAAGTGCGCAAAGAAGCGTCGTGGGCCATCTCGAACGCATCGTCGGGCGGGACGCGCGAACAGTTGCACTACATGCTGCAGCAAGGTAGGATGCTGGTTACTGGAGTCTTCATCTCTCTCATGGGATCCGACGATGAGTAGGCTGCGTACCCCCTCTGGTGCAGCTGCTCGAGTCGACGGACTCGAAGATCATTTGCGTGTGTCTGGACGCGCTTGAAAACTTTTTGCGCATGGGATCGGACGAGCAGGAAGAGCACTTGACGGACGACAACAAGGTGGCGATGCTCGTGGAGGAGTATGACGGCGTCAACAAGATTCAGCAGCTGCAGTACCACGAAGCCATGGGTACGTCCGTTGTGTGTGACGTGGGGCTCATGTGAATGTGTGACAGAGGTGTACCGAAAATCGCTGTCGATCATTGAAACGTACTATGGCGGCGAAGACGAGGAAGAAGGCGACTTGCTGCCGACGGAAGACCCCGCGGCGCAGCAGTTTACGTTTGGGACGGGCAGCGGTACGATGTTCAACTTTCAAGGCCAGCAGCACTAAAAAACACTGTACGGCCTCACGCCACCACTCCCGTCGTCGTTTTGATTGGGCTCGTGGCTGCTCCTGCACCACAACCAACCCGACTCTAACCCTCATCCGCAATCTAGATTATTTTCAGTAGCTAGCTAGCTGTATGTAGCAGCACTTCACATGTGTATTTCAATGAAAGTAGTGCGCATGATTCTATTGTTGTAATCCCACGACAGGACAGTGCTGTTGCAGTTCAAACAGCACCATGCATAACGTTAATTAATGTTAAAAACGTACACTAGGTATCGGCGGCCATGTAGTTAGTTCATTGTTCACGACACTTGGAATTGCAAGTGACCATGAGATTATAACTGTACATAATACACCTTGCACTGTGAAGCCATGCTATTGAGGATGCATAGCGTCGTAATTGCAATGGGAAGTGTGGCTCCCGAATCCATGGTTACAATGACAGAAACCGACAGTTACATAAACCGTTTCACTTCGGCGATCTCGCGATGCTCCAGCCGAAGCGACCTAAGAAGAAATGCGTCAACTTGGAGTTGCCGTCCATCACGCTGTACGAGCCAGTGCTGTCGGTCAAACCCACACGCCACCATGTTCCCCTCGACGAGGTCCAAGCGCCGACTGAGGGGCTGCAGTCGCCTTCGAAACCGAAAAGTCCCCTTCGGCCGGTGGACAAAGTGGCCACGGCGCTGGGGTCCAAAGCATCCCACTTGGCGCACCGAGTGATCATCCGCCCCATCTTCGAAGACCGCAAGGAGCTGCAGGCAGAACTCGCGCGGCAGATCTTGGAGCAGCGCATGCTGGACGAAGACGAGCTCGATGACACGTTGCCCATCAGTGACCACGTGTTGCACCAAAGCCACGACATTTTCCACGCCAGGGTACTGCTCCCCCTAGACGACATCGAGCCCCCCACTCCTCGACCAAACCAAGTGGCTCCGGCTGTGACCTCCGTGCCCCACACACATCGCAACCCCCCGCGCTTGCACTCCCCCACCGTCGACCACATCGTCCTCTCGTCGCCGTCATCTCTTCAGTTCTCCTCCTCGCTGAGTTCATTCGGTGGATCGTCCGCTCCACCGTCGAGCCTCAAGATGCAGACATCTACTTCGTCTTTTCCCGAGTCGGACGATCGAACGAGCAATCGGCGGCGGAGTGTGCGTCCCCGCAGTCGCGACAAATCAAACGACCACAGCCACGCCATCTTCATGGTGCCGGAGAAACTCCTCTGCGCCACCAAGCGGGCGTCGCTGCCGTCGTCGCCGTCGGTCGCGTCGTTGCGCCATCCGTTTCAAAAGCTCCTGCTCGCGGCATCCCGGCTGTTCAAGGACGACAGCGGCGTCGACGTGGACTGCACAGTCTCGATACACATGCTGTCCACAGGGGACGTCACTGTGGCCGTGTCTGAAATGCAAGTCTCGGTCGTACTCATGGCCCACGCAACAGGCACGTTGCCGTTTGAGGCCAAGGGACTCACGTTGTCTGCGCACGACGCCAGTACGTTCTTCTTGGACGAAGACCTCGAGGTGTACAGCCCACTCTGGGCCGCCACACTGGCCTCCCACGTCAGCGTGGAGCACAGTCAAGTGGTGCTGCTCCCGCCGACTTCTCGCCACGTCGTCTTGTCCATGCAACAAGATGTACCCTCCGATCTGTCGCCGCACCCGTTACTCGTCCAAGCGGTGGCGGTGCACAATGGCCTCTGTCTTCGCGTGAGCCCCGACCACGACCTCAAAGCCAAGTCCCCCCCGCTTCATCTGCACGTGAGCAACACCGAATTGGCGCGCATCATCCTTCGAATGGACAACATGCACGTGTCGGCTGACCACGTCGCGCAGTTGACGCAGCAAAAGGCGTGGTGCGCCATGTTCCTTCGCGACATGCATGCCCTGGTAGAGCTCACGCTACGGCAGAGGCAGCTGAGCCCGCTGCCAGTCGAGTCTACATCGGCCACCACCGCCGACGTTACTGTGTTGAAGGCGTCGATAGCTGAGGAGCCCGCGCCACACCCACCGTCTACAGCGTCCACACGAGAACCCGGCTTTGCATCTGAAGACCTCAACGACGTGTGCCGAGTGGCTCAATCGCTGGCCGAGATTGTGCTGTCCAACACCGTGTTGTGGCTGCAAAAGCAAGAGGCAGCGCTGCTCTACTCTCGCGCGTATGTCAAGTCGTTCAGCCGACGACCAGGCGCCGCCGATATGGTCTTGGCGTCCTATCAAGCTAAAGAACACGAGGTAAGCCATGTTTCCGCTTTATGGGGTAGGTCACAAACGGCAATATGCACAGCGCCGCGCGATGCTGCAGATTTTGGACGATTTGGTAGTTCAATTTCTCCACTACGAGTGCCGAGTGGAGCTGCATGTGGCCAAAGCCAGTGGCGGGTACAACGACATCATTGCCACGCGAATTCAATCGGCGTTTCGAATGTGCGTCGAGCGGCGCAAGTACACTTTACACCAACGCGTCCGCAACTCTGCCGTATGAAACAAATATATATCATCTGTGTCGTCTCACTAGTGCAAGATCTCACTCATCGTCGGGACATACATCAGGCCAAGTTGATTCAAACCCTCCAGCGCGGCATTTCCGCACGGAAACGATACATTGAGCGCAAACTGGAGCGAGAGCGGTACCTGTACTTTGGCTTCCGCTCCACGCTCGTGGCCCAATCCAAGTGGGACAACCCCAGCACCCGCCTGGCCCAGCGCTGCGCCAACATCGAAGCCCGTCGCGTGACGTTTCTCATGGGCGTCCTCACCGGCGCCTTCCTCTTCCACAAGCCCATGACCACTGCCATGACGATGCTCCCCGTAAGCGACGTCGTGAGTTTACTCAACCGCCATGGCCTGGTCGTGGGGTGTCCATCCAACCTTGGATCGACCGTCGCCGCGGCTTTCCAACGGGCGTATGGCTGCCACCACTCGTCGACCGAAGTCGTGTCTGTGGCGGCTGTGCAAACGGCGCTGATTTCCGTCCTCCGCGGCCTGCAAGACGACACGTTCGGCAGACCTCTGCACCATGCATCACTCCTGCCTTCGTCGCCAGAACAAGTAGGTGAGGCAGTTGTTCCGCGATGGCTTCTCAAAGCCACGCCGTCCCTGCATGCCGCCAACTTGGCCAAGGTGCTAGCGCTCCGGGAAGCCACCGTCGAAAGCGGCCGGCAGTCGGCGCACTTGATCGCGTATCATTTCCGCGTGGCGGTGCTGCGCCCCATGTCGTTTGAACAGTGCCGCGACGAGTGGCACAAAGATATGACGGCCCGATACGACGAATTGTGTCGGTTGGCGCAGTCTTCTGTCGACGAACTGGTCTTGTGGGGGGTGGAGAAGCTGCAAGAAGCCGTGAAAGGTGCGGAAACCCACTGTCTGAACTGGATCATGTATGTATACGATGAGTTCTAGTGTGGGGATGGGACCCCGACCCCATGTTTGAAGTGTTCAACGTGTGCTTGATTCACCGGTTGGGCAAGCCAGCCCTGCGCCAAATGGAACTCAAGTTTAATGAATTCGCAGCAGGTAAATCAAACATACCCTCACTTGGTATGCCAATACTGTCATGCTATGCCGTTCTTAGCCATGAACAACCACGCGAAAAGGGTGGAAATCCACCCGTTGCGTGACGAAATCGACGAGGAATTGCAAGGCTTTGAAAAGCTGCTGGCGTGGCGATGTCTCAACGCCGCGCACGACGACCACGTCACTCCTGTACGTACTGCGCTGTGCTTATAAAAGTACAAACTCTCGTCTGACAGGCCAGCGAACTCTTGCACGTGCTTCTACGTGGTCAACATGCCACCGACCACCTTCGGATGGCGCTAGCGACCGTGCTACCCGTTGCCACGTACTTGGAAAAGGTGGACATCGCGATCCGCCTCTTGGCAGACTACGCCAGTGACAGCTACGGGCACTCGATTGTGCTGCTCCTGTGGAGGTAATCGAGTTCCCAATGGTTTCTATCCATTCATGCCATGGCGTTACCAGTTGCTTGGACGCGGCCGAAAACGCAACGTTGGAGGCCGGCCAACTACTGGAGAAACTGGCTAAGCCCTCTGAGACGGGCCTGTCGTCGTTGGCCCGTGCGCTAGAGCTGCTCACAGGCAGCCACCTCTTTTGCCTACTGGAGTTCTGCGTGAAGGTGTGTCCGTTGAACGAACGTGTGCGGGACGCTATTCGGGCGCACGTGGCGCCATACGTGAGCGAAGAAGGTCATGTCCGCGGAATGAAGCTGGAAGCCCATCGGATATGCATGACCATGTGCCACATGGCCGACGGGCCAGAGCGGAGGCGCGTGGTGGCGTCCCGCTTTGGACATGCCGAGATGCAGACAGCGACCGAGTTTTGGGTCATCTACGAGCGTCTGTTTGGGGAAATGGACCAAGGGTATGCCCAAGTGTCGATGGAGTTACACGCCTCAACATCACATTAATGGACGAGAAACATTCCTTTTTGAAGTCAAACGAGGCTGCGGTTTGGTGTTTCTTCGCATTATAGACATATCGCAGGCAGCATACAGTCACTAGCAACGCACGCTTCGTCGCATTGAAGGCCAACATACCGCCTTGGGATGTGGAATGGCGTTTAGTTTTGCTTGGGCTTCAACGAGTCGGGGATGATGGGGCCATCGTACTGGTCGGTGGGGTACCCTAGGCTGCGGCGAATGGGCACGACCACAAGAGGTGCGAGGACGCCGACAGCACCGAGGGCTGTGGCCAACACCACCACGGGCTCTCTGTCAAAGTAATAGCGGGCAAACTTGGCGGCTCCGGCAAACACCATGGTCACGTCGTCCTTGGTCGTAAGAGTGGCGGAGGCAGGGGATGGAGCTCCTTATCCGGATCAATGTCGCATATATACGAATCATTGTATACTATACAAACTATAAGCTATTCTATCCGGATGCCATATAAAGGTCTCGTGAAACCCGAAACCCCTTCACAAACCAAGCTCAAGCCAACATGATTGATAGTACATAATTCCGTTGCTATTCCTTAGGCGGTTCCTGGTCTCACCCGCCTTCAGGGGTCAATCGCTGCATGAAGTTGAGGAGGAGGTTAATGGCTACGCCGATCACTATGCCTAGCTTTTGACGTCGAGGAATTGTCCGCTCCCACAGCTATACAAGCCCACACATCATAACGACACAACATCAACAAGGGCGGTACCAGGAAGAGCATGAAGAAGCCGAGGACGAAGCCCATGGCCACGCCCCACACCATGTCGACCGTCGTGCCCTCGTTGTCGACGCTTGACATGTCGGGCATGTCAATGCGATGATGCGCCGAGTCATGGATCGTCATGGGTCCGCCGCGAGGTCGGACGTTCAGAGCTACCAGCACCGTCGTCATGATCAATTGTTCCAATGTGACTGACGTTGAAGTACCAAATTCAGACTGCGGACCCTGCGCTGCCATCCACTCTTCTTCGATGCGATAAATACGATCTTCCACGGATTCGCCTACGCGTTCGTGAGCAATTACGGAATCAATCATGCGACGATGTTACCTTCCCGCGCGACGGACTGGCTGATCATGGTCGACACTTGGGGATAGAAATGCAGGCGCAGCGCCTGGACGTCTTCTCGACTCAACGTATCGCGCAGACAATCAAAGCCGCGGCGATGGGTCGGCTCGTCTAAAGCCGCTTCTTCCTGTTGATGTGTCATCTATACAAATCAACATGTCGTGACGACGATCATGGGGGCAGACGATACCTGCTGGACGAGCGATTTGGGGGGCGCGTTGCTCATGGCGCAGTGGATAAAGTCGTTCTGCTTGATATTACACGACAACAACGCGGCTTTGTCATCGTTGAGCATTTTCCCCTAAAGTCAAACGGTTTATGGACATGACAAGATGAGAACGACACAAACCTGGTGGATCAACCGAAGAAATTTGCCCTCGGCCTCGCCTTTCGCCTTGATCATGTCCTTGAGTTCACCCACGGATGCCGTCGCACTGATGTCAATGTTCAATGGCTTTTCGCTGAGTGTCTTGACCCGCAAGTTCAGGATGCTTACTGCTGGGGCCGGTGCTTCAATCTAGTACAACGCTCATCAAGACGAGATGGCCGCTTCGTTTCGTATGTCGTACCAGGGGTTGGGACTCCAGCTCAATCTCCTCTCCGTACGTGACATCATCTGCTTGCATCATGGTCAACGTAGAAGAAGTGTTAGCTGAGCTTGAGCGAGGGTGATGTCGGCGCAAGGACGCGTCGTACTGTAGCAGTAGAAATTACACTGGAAACGTTCAGAACTTAGGCTACATTAATTTACTCATCATACAGTTATCCAGTCATAAAATTATGTTTTATCTATACCGAACAAGAACTTCAAGTGACCCACGCTCGCTGATTGGTGGAAACTCGAGGATTATTCTGTAGGATTGAACGTGTCGACATATCGGGACATGCTTCGTTGCATGGACTTGGGATGATGTCCAGCCGCCATAGCATACCGATTCGGCGCGGACTTTGTTGCTCTCATAGCGTGCGCGACATCTTGAGGTAGCTCCAATAAGGTGGCCGCTGGAGTTGCAAACTTGGACGACTACAGTACAATGCTTACAGTCGCTAGTTCCACCAAGTGCTTAGTAGTACCTGCATAGCTTCAGTGACATGTGCGGGAGGCACCAGTTCATGATATTTGGTCGTGGTCAGGACCTCTGCATCTGTCGGAGGCTTCAATGGCGACGTCGCCGCTTCCTCCCTTTCATGGTGCTCTGGCTTGACACGTGCCAGTCCAAACATCGACGACGCCGTGCCTCGAATCCACTACAGGCAATGGTCATTATCATAGAGCGAGCGTGAGGCAGTCGTACCCCGCCCCATCCGTCCGGCGTCATGCCTCGATGCTGCAAATCCCCATGAACGACGTCGTCTTCGTGGTCGTATATGTGCACTTCATGCGGTGGCAGCTGCGGCAAAGGACTGGACGGCGGGCTCACAAACTCGTCGATGTCGTCCTCAACACTCGTATATTGTGCAGGCTGTGTAGGTCCTCCATCAGCAATCGCCCATGTCCATTTCAGACAGTCGGACGTACCGGCACGGGGGTGCCACGGAAGGTCTTCTTCGTATGCTTGGGCGGCGGGGCCATCGCTTCCTGCAGACAGTCCAACAAGGGCGCCACTGGACCATCCAGCTCCAGAAGCATGTCATACGCCGTCTCCCCATCGTGGTTCCGGTCGAGCGGCGATGCCCCATACTTGTCCAAGGGTCGTTATAACAACGAAAGGATGCAGAGATGATGGAATCAATAGCGTCATACCTCCAGGACAAGTCGAAGGCATGGCAGACTGCCGCCGCTCGCGGCGGCGTGCACGACGGACTCGCCGTCAGCATTGACCACATGCACTTCGGATGCAGATTCGAGCAGAAACTTGACACACCCGACGTGGCCGCGAAAGCAAGCTATGTGCAGCGGCGTGTTGCCTATCCACCACAAACATGCACCGTGGGCGTTCGTCGCAACCACAGAGACAGCTGCTACCTTTGGCGTCTCTGGCCTCAATGTCGCCCAAGAAGTCACACAACAACGCCAGCATGGCTGTGTCCCCGCGATCGGTCCTGTCCTGAAGTGTCAACATTGCAAATCACCCGAAAAGACCGAATCGTACGCCAAGTGGAGAGACGTTCGGCGCAGACTGTCGCGCATGTTGGGGGTCTCCCCGTTGGTCAGGCGGGCCTGCACGTCGTCCATGTCGGCGTCCAGCACCGCCTGCATGAGGCCTCGGTCGGACGGCTCGTCGTCCATTTTCGTACTTGCGGCGGCGGCGGCGTTCGTAAAGAATTGCGCCCACACGGCATCCACTCGGGCTGCCGATGGTCGAGGCGGCGATGTGTCTAGAGGAAGGATGTAAACGTCATCGATAATCGCGTTCGGCGCACGTTGATTGGGCGTAAAGTCGTGGGTCGGGTACAGCTGGTGCTGGTCGAGTTGGTGATGCTCATGGTACAGAGCCTGGTGTCCATCCATTGGATCGGTGTCGTGATGGTCCAGCGCCCACGCATGCTCGTACGATATGTCTTCCGTTACAGCGTTCGAGCTTGGCAATCTGCTGCGCTTCCCAGGCGACGTATCCTTGGAAGGCGTCGGAACCGGACTGCTCCTTGGGGTGGACGACTTCAAGTGGGGACTCGGGAAATGGGTGGACAGGAGAGCGTCAACATCATGCTGGAGGGACTTTGTCGCCTCCATGCTGTGCCGATGGGCTTCGACATACCCAGCCTCCTAGTGTTATTTCATGACCACCACCCACTGTGGTGGACACTAAAGTACCTTTTGCTGCCACAGCAATTTCTCGTGGTCGTGGTCTTCCTTGGTGCGTTTGGCCAACGCTTCGAGCATGGCCAGCCGCGAATTCGCGATGCGATATGCTGTCTCCAGCGCTTCTTTCTCGCGTAGTTGCTACTCGTTGCCAACCAATTTAATGACAGTTTCAACATGAGTGTAGTCGTGGTGGAGCAATTGGATGGCCCTTTAAGAGCGTACCACGGACAGGTTGTAACGATACGTGTCCACTTCTAGTCGCAAGGCGTCGTTGGCGCGTTGATTCTCCTGCCCAGCGAACGCATGAGACATAAACACCCCTCCAGCAACGCACCTCGAGGGCCTTGGCCGACGCTGCCACTTGTTCTTGCAGTTGGTGCACGCGAGTTGCATCTGGTACCGGCTCCGATTGCACAGCAACTTCCGTCTGTTTCAGCAACGCGGACAGTGCCACTTGCAACAACTGCACACTCCCCACGTGCCCCCCCAGCGTCGCAAGCATGATGGGTGTTTGCGAGTTTTCGTCAAGAACAGCCGGCGACGCGCCATGAGCCAGTAGCATTTCCACGCACTTTCGAAAGCCAAACGTGGCCGCCACGTGCAGCGCCGTTTGTTGGTGGCTGTCCCGCGCGTCGACGTCCATCGGCTCCGAGAACGGTGCAGACTCGTCCGATGGGTCGGCTTGTAGAAGCAGTAACGTGAGCATTTCGATGTTGCGCTGTCTTGTGACCACATGCAACAGCGTCGTGCCGTACATGTCTGGCGCCACAATTTGGTGCTTGGATGAATGACCTTGGTTGAGCAGCAACACGGCAATCTCCAAGTGCTCCAATGCGTACCACAATGGCGTGCGACCGTCGTCGTCGAGTCCGTCGGTCGCGATGCCGGCGGCGAGCAGGTCTTGGACACGCACGAGGTCCCCGTTGGAGACGGCGACATGCAGGCAGTCGGCTTCGTAGTCGATGGGGGCGTGCAATGGAGGCGGAGGGGGGGGGTGGTCCTGGATTTCGAGGGGCTGTGGAGTAGTCCATTGAGATTCCTGGCGCTTGACATTGTAATAGTATATGTCTCCAGCATCGGTTCGGCACACCATCCAGTCCGAAGCGACATCTTCCGAAGGGGGTACCGAGATGGGTTGCGGTGGACTGGCCATGCTTGTTTTGGAGCTGCGGCGAGGAGATGCGGGTACCTCTACGTGCAGAGGAGACAGTTTTTGACGGGGGGTTGCTGAGGATGCGGTGGCATCCAGCGTGAGACGTGCCACAGGCGCCGACTTGCGACCACTGGAGGCAAAGCTCGATGATGACGCTAGTTTATGGTCTTGGGGAGACATTGCGATATCCTGAAGATCCAATCGAAATGGGGATGCAACCGGTAATGGATTGCTAGACTCAGCGAGCGAATCAAGAGTTGGGGTGGAGTACCCTGGCAACAGTGGGACGGGGACTGGAGGAGGGAGCTCGATATTGACATTATCCAAAGCGAGGAGGTCCCCCATTGCAGGTTTTACTGGTGTCGTAGGTGCTTCTTTTGTCAAGGACCGTGGCTCCACGATTGGCGGTGCTTGATGGCCCGATCTTTCAAGCTCATAACTGGACTCGAATTGCAGCGCCAACTGGAGAGGAGTATCTTCAGCGTTTACAGGCGATTGGCTCATGACTGTGACTTCTGTTTCCTCTGGAAGTGGCTTGTCCACAGCGGCACTCGCCACTTCATCACCAGTGGTTACAAGTTCTCTTGGCTCTGACACCACAACCTTCGGTGCAGCGAATACAATAGATAGCGTTGTAGCCATTGAAGGATTGGGGCTCGACAGTGACCCATTTCCGTCCTTTTCCGTGTCATCCTTGTTTGGTGCTGGTCCTGCAAGTTCCATCGTCGTTGCTGAGGCGGCGGCAAAAGGGTTTCACAGGTGTAACTGCCGACCGTACTTTTGATAGCACATTGTATATACTTGCCATGGTGCGCACACCCGTGACCACCGTCGCCAGAGCGAGCCAATTCTCGGAGGTAGGTAATCAGCCACGAAGTCATTGCTCACCTCATAGTTGCGAGTAGTTGTTGCTGCCGCCCCCGCAGTCCCCAACGCGGGTCGCGACGAGCCAGGGAAATCGTCGACCGCGAAAGGAAAGCTTGATGTACCCCGAAGGCAGTCCGCATCGCATACACGCCATGCACAAACAAGACAACGTGCTGGAGCTCATCCAAGGGTGGAGCTCTCGGGTTGGAGATTTGTGTCCGTACATCGCGCCATCCGCGGTCCAAGGTGTGGTCCGACACTCCCACGGTAGTCCAAAGCAGAGAAGACCCCTCCGCCACTCTGCCACCACGACGCAATGTACTGCCACCAAGCTGCCGTCGCCGAAACGACCTGCTTGGGATACATCCACTCAGCCAACCACATCAGCAGAAACCGCGTGCAACCTTCACATCATTCTCCACAACCACAAACTGGCCCTCGTCCACCGCACGTCGCACCTGTCGACACCTCCCACCTACTTGTCCAAACTACAAGGCACCGCACCCGTGTATGGCTTGGCCATGTTGAGCCCCGCAGACGAAGCCCGACGCGCGGCGCCGGTGGACTTCGCTAAGTCTGCCACGTGGACGCTCAAAGTGCATCCGCTGCATGCCATCAACCTCGTGGATCCTTGTCGCATGCGCAAGGCGCACGTATGCAGCCGCTTGCTTCGGCCGTTCGTGGAAGTCGTGTGTCCGGATGGAGGAGGCGCGGCGAAGCGATGCAAGCCGTCGGTGAGCTCTGGTCCAGCCCCCATCTGGTCGAACGGGTGGCTCGTCGTCCCCCTCTCGATCCCCCCTTCGACGTCATCGTGCCCCACCGAGTTCCAAGTGTGCGTACTCAACAAGTGCTGTGACAATGACATCGTGGTCGGAACAACGTCAGTGTCGTTTGGAAACGCCGATGGAAACCACCAAGGATGCGCATTTTACACGTTGCGGAATCGCCGCGGCAAACCCACGGGCCAGATCAAACTCATGTTTGTGCTGCAGCCAGCCGACACCTCACCCCCTGTCCTTCCCCAGTGCCAGCAATTGGAGGCCGCCCTGTCCCCCCGGGCCAAGTTCTTGTTTGGCGACGAACTGCGCATGAAGAAATCTAACCTCAAGCATGTGGAGACATCGCATGTTGTGGTGGTCAAAGCCCCCATCCAGCGTTCGGTGGGAACAATTGTTGTTGGTTGCCTGGGTTGATATTGAAAACACCACGTAGATTGAAGAAACACAGGCGATGCTGAGCCGGATCGAGGCAAGCGTTCGTGGCAGCACCACGGGCGTGCAGCTGTGGCCCGAGCGCGACTTTGGTGGCGAAGTGCCCGTGGGAGAAGGCATCCATGCATGTGTAAAGCAGGTCCAAATGAACGGCACAATGCTGGCGGTAAAGGAATACCGATACCAAACCGCACAAGTCGTGCCTCCGCATGGAGTGGTGCGCGCATTCCAGCACGAAGTGGACATGCTCCTGGCCATCCATCACGACAACATTGTCGGTCTCGTGGGGGTCGTTCTCCACCCGCGGTTGGCACTGGTCACTGAGTACATGGACTGCGGCAGGTAAGTGACGTACCAATCAAAATAGTGGTCAAGCTGCATATTTGTTTGATGGTAGCGTGTACTTGTGCCGCCACAACCCCAGACTTTGGACGTCCATTACGCTCGAGCAGGTATGTACCACGAATGCGGTTGATGTGGTTTTATCATGGGTTTTTGATCGACCGTTGAGTAGAAAGGTTACATTGCCCTGCAAATTGCATGTGCAATTTCATATTTGCATCAAGCCAGCGTCATCCATCGAGACATCAAGGTACCTTAACACCAAATATAATTGACGCAACTATGTACATACACATAGTCGCACAACATTCTCTTGTCTGGACTGTCAAACAGTACCATGCCCACAGCCAAGGTGCGGTAACCTACCCGATGGCCATCATTTGTTCACATAAACTTTTAACGCCGTAGCTATGCGACCTCGGTAGTGCGTTTGTGTACACTAACACGAAACCTACCGAGGAGGTTGGGACCTCGGGGTACATTGCCCCCGAAGTCGCCAGTGGCCACGAGTACATTTATATCGCCCCCACTTGTACATCGCCGATGACGTCATACGTATGCTGACACTAGGTATTCGTTTCCCAGCGATATTTGGAGCTTTGGTATATTTTTGTGGGAAGTACTCACCCCGTCGACATGCTCCAACCCGTTTGTGGGCCAGACCAACGACACCTTTGTCGACCAAGTGACGTCTGGCATCCGTCCGTCGTTGGCATTCGCTGGTGTGTACGCTCCGATTCTCGACGAGTGCTGGCGCCTCATTCCGAGCGAACGGCCCAGTGCCGATACACTCGTGGCGCAACTCACAGCCCTCTTGCAATAATAGAAAAACAACACTAGCAAAACATCCGTGTTTGCATTCGTGTTAAAGCTTTCCCGGCACAGCGTCGCAGATCAATTTGCGCAGCGCGTTCAGTTCCTTGGCTTCGACCAGGTCAAACTCGAGCACGAACGACACAAACCGCTTGAAACTGCAGTTCAAGTGACTCTCCGCATGCAACGCGGCAAAGTCGGGCAGGTGACTGTGGAAAATGTGCGCGTACACGCGAAAGAGGCGCTTAAACATGTTGCGCGACACGACCGCAAACGCCTTGTTCGATTCAAACCCGCTGTCTGGAAACACATCCGGGTCCCCCAACTGCCCGTCGATCCACATGAGGAGCTTGGTCACGTACGCCGGCGCCGAGCACGGGGCGGGGGTCCCCCCGTTGTCGTCGGCCCATAGGTACGTGTAGCACGGGCCGGCGCTCATCTCCGGGCACGTCGCGGGCGTGCACAACTCCGAAATGGTGCCGTACAGGAGCGACACTTCGTTAAAAAAGTCCTGCGCATGCACAGCAACCCACTCTTCACGGCCGAACCCTGGCGGAAGTTTGACCGCGTCCAGGACGTCCAAGCCTTGCGCTAACGACTGCTTGGCGTGCTGGTGCATATGCCACGTGCGCGTGCCCATGGTATGTTGTTTCTTGGGGCGCATCGACCGGGCTTTGTCCAACACGTTCACGTCGTCTTCTGCCACCCCACGGCCCATCCGTGGCGGCAGTTTGATGGAGATGAGCGCCTCGGGCTCGTCCGAATCACCCCCGCCATCCATGGACGAGTGCTGGTGTTTGAAAGACAAGCGCATATTGTTGTCTTCGTCTAAGGAAGTGTGTGTCAGGTTGGAGTGAAGGTACTCTCATCGAAACACACCTGACGTGGAAGCACAGCAACCGGGTTGTCTGATGGTGGCTTGAACCAACGTTGGATGCGGAGGCCGGGGCGGGGAAGGCGGCGGCGTTGGCGGCTGAGGGGGTGCGGACGCGATGAAACTGCGCAAGTGGGCGGCTGACGACTGCATGGTGGCAGCCCACAATTGCTGCGCATCCGCGAGCTACAATGCACATGTAAATGCATGGAATCGTCGGATATGGACGAGCCTGCAACATGGGGACATCAATGAGCATGCCCAGGTCGAGTGACAGAACGTGCCCCATTTCACGCTGGACGTCTTTATCCAGCTGCTGGAAGCGTTCTTGGGCCGCCATACACTTCAATCGATTCTAATACACGAACATGTTCATATAAGGTTGGAGAAGGACTTGAGAATTGTACTCTGTGAAGCCTCGCGCTCGAGTCATCTTTGGCAGCCATGTCGTCGACTTTCTTCTGATATCGCCGCCACGTGCCCAACGCACTCTTGCGGTGGTCAATGCGATGCTACGGAACGGTCAACATGGTTGAGCGATGGGGATGGTAGCGTTACTTTGAGCTGGGGAAACGATGACAAGAGGGCTTGGAGTGGCGCGATCGCTGTTGTGCGGAATTTGGCCACACTGTCGGAGAACAGCTTTTGTTCACGCGCGAGGGCAGTCGTCTAGGCATACGCATGAATACACTCATCACATGCGAAATTTACGTTGGAAGCGCCATCTCGGGGTTGAAACTGTGTGGACGTGAGTGCTTTGATGTCTGTCGTGGTCTGGAGCACCTCTACGTAGTCCAAGGGGTTATTGTCGAAGCAGACGAACACTGTAGTGTAGTACCTGCGAGGGCGTTGCTATGTTTCACCAAGAGGCTTGAAGCGCACTTGAGCTTTTCTACGACAAAGATTACACGTCCATAGACCAGCTGAATTCGATTGCACACCTTCGGCGACTGCCAGCTGTAGCACCAGCGCAGGGAACTCTGTGGTGGGATCATCTTCGTCGGTGCAGATGCCAGAGCGAGATTGATGCTTGGAGGAGACGGTGATCGAGTTGTTGCTCTCTCGCTTCGAGAACATGCGAAGCATCGCGTCCCGCTGTGAAAACACGAGTGTCCAATGATCCGCACAAAGGAGCGCGGCGGTTACACGTCAAGGATGATCATTTCCGGATATTATCCGAAATGTCGGTTGGCGTTTAATCTTAGTCCAATTGTACTTTTTTACTGTATTTGACTTGATTAAAGTATGTACAGAGTGTTTGACCGAATAAACCCTTTTAATATGAAAATGGTATACAATTATAGAGGGTTATACGTCAAATTGGGCGTGAAGGCGGTCGCGGCAATTGTCAAAGTAGGCGCCGTGAGCTTTGTATGTGAGCTCAGACGTAGTAAAATACAGGCTCATCTTAAATGAATGACTTGTAGATACCAGGTATACTTCATTGGAAGGAGTTGAATTATGGAAACATTATTCGATAATTTTCGATGTGCAGTCAAGACTTCAACGTGAACACAAACCTCCTTAAAAAAGTTGGACCTAATCGGTCCATTTTATTTATGCCATAAAACACCCGATTCTCATGTGGCATAACGTTTTGACTTTGGTGGCATCCAGACGCACAAAATCTCGAAAAATGGAATATTTCGATTTTGGCACCTTTTCTTCGAAAAACGGCTACTCGAAGTATTTTTTGCCATTTATCGTAGCCGCCCTAAGGTAGATTTCCAATTTAGGAGATATGGGACGATTTAAGGGGCATCGGATTCAGCCAATCACCCGGCAGAATATTATACCCTAACCACAAAAAATATATGCATGGATTAATACTACGATCAAGTTTAAAATATGTCCCTTAAATTGTCCCCTACTTTTGAGAAAATGGGATATTAGGACATGACAGATACTGTGAAAATAGATGTTTCAGTGCTTGTTGGAAAGACCTGTATTTCCTGTTCTATTATCAGTTTTCAGAAGTCGAAACCCATTCCTCAGTAGCGGTGACTCCAAAACATGTCTCTTAAATTGGAACTCCACGTTAACAGTAAATCTTGATCTTCACTGCTTCTGATTGGTGGAATAGATCTCATCGTCGATTGGCTGGTTTGTTGACCATATGATTCATCGTCGTTCCCAAGATACTGTATGTGCCAATTCCGATGGGTCGCTTACGAAAATTTATAAACTTATTGTTATTAACAATTCATCCGGTGAGAAATCAATGTCGGCGTTTTCGCGTACGTACTGTACCTATTAGGATATGCATGCATAACTGGTTACTGAGATGTTGACACCCCCGTTGCCCTGCTGAGCTGCTACGTGGGCAAGCGCCGCGTCATGCTAAGTAACTTATGATTCTTCCTAACGAGACCTGCCAACGCGCATCTCTCCGCTATGGGCATCCAGACAACTTTGTGGATACTTCGTTTCTCCTTTCTTTCATGGAATATGAGACTTTGGGAAATGTTTGCAGACTTGCCAAAACGGTTTATGGCATAATTTTATGATTGACCAGCCCTTAGGAAAAGTGCCAAAAGTCTGAAAACAATTGGACTAAGATGTCGGACCAGTGTGGTACTTTCATCTAAGATGAGTAGATTATACGTAACTTGGTATAGTTTTAGGCAAGGAGCGTTTGGTGGCTTTACAGTTAGCATAACTACTATGTACAGCATCTACAGTACCGAGATATGATAACAATGCAACTACCAACAAGCCATCAAACCCACGACGAGTCGCCACTTATGTTGTTGAGCTTTGCGCGCGACCGTCCATCGCCGAGACGCCTGGAGGGTGAATTCGAGAATGGCAGGTCCATGGTTTCGGCACTTGACGCCGTCGTGGTGGCTGCATTGGGATTTACAAAGTAGACCCGACCGTTGTCACCAAACTTGGCGTGCCACTCGTTGGTGGAGGCACGTTGGGTCACTGGGCGCTGGTGCTTCTTTCGAGGCCAAAGCGTCCGTAGTCGTCCGATGCGGAAGATGCCCAGTACTCGTTGGTACATTCCCTTGTGTTCGCTTGGATGGCCTGGCGGAGGTTGCAGGTCTTCGTCTGCGGTAGCATGCTGGATTGTGTGAAAGCCACCTGCAGGTGCTTTGCTCAACTGATGACGCGGCGCACTTTTGCGTCCGAGTTGTCCGATATAGCGGAGCCAGTGTCTGGATGTTGGAGGAGGAACCATGGGGGCTGTGGTTGCCGACGTACTGCTGCTGCTGAAGTCTCGAAGGGATTGGATCTCTCGTTCCAGGGACTCGATGCGAAGTTTGTAAAACGTTTCTTGGTCGTTTTTCTCGAGGCGAAGGGCCTCAAGGTCTGCTTTTAGGATGACCACTTGCAACCGCAGGGCATGCTCGACAGCCGCCGCTTCAGCGGGAGAGCCGGGACTGCTGCTGCGCATACGACTGACTGAGCAACTGATCAGGAATGTCCTTGATGCGGTAAAGCCGTCGATTGCAAGTGTGTACATATGTATGGGGTGAGAATTCGGTTGCCGCTCCCATTGGCCAACACGCACAGGCTGTCCAGGTGCCGAAAATGCGATGAAAATGGTCAGCCCAATTTCTACCGCCTGCTCAAAAGTGCGGTTGTTCTATCGCTCCTAATTTTACACATTTGTTCGTACATAGGACTTGACGTTTTATAATGGCCACAGTTACATCAAAAGTACGAGAGTTGGGGCACTACAATGTGTACTACGCAGTAACGTTAATGTACCGTATAGTGTATATGTATTGCGACACGTGATATTTCACAACCAGTTCTCGAAATGTTTTTAATCCATTGCGTCATACAAATTTGAAGTATATTCAACGTACTGTATTCACAAGTAAATATCAGTTATTACAAGAAAATTATCAGTTATTACAGGAGTCGCAATAGATTAATCCGTCGCAATACATATACACTATACGGTACTAAGTATTTGGTGAAATGTACTATACGTAGTACTACTATTTGGTGACAGCAATGATGACGCCAAGCACCATGAGCACGAAAATGAACGCCAGACCCCCATAGCAGTAGAGCTTCCGCTTGCTGCAGTTGCAATAGTTGGATCTGCCATCGGCCTTTTGGACATGTTCGAGTGCTCCGTGCGTTTCGTTCCGAGCCTCCTGGACGTTGTCGGCGATTTCAACCACAACTTCGTGCTGGTCGTTAATGAGACCATCCACTTCCTTGTACGCGGCATTGATCTCCCGCAGTTGGTGGTTGATGTGAATGATGTCTTCTTCCCGTCGGACCAAGTCGTCTTCGTCGTACGTCGTGACTTGGGCTTGGGCGAGAAACTGGTCTTCGTGGTAGTTGGTGAACCCACCAGGTGCAGGGCGGGGCTGGTTGATGGCGGATGGTTGGGCCGCCGAAGGCAGGTTCACATGGGCCACCTTGGCGTTTTGGCTTGACTGAGAGAAAAGGTCGTGCTGTGTTTTGAAGTCGGTCGAGAGCTTCTTGAGGGTGTTGGACCGGGCGCGCACCACCGGTCCGCTCTGGCCTTTGATGTCGTCGCCCAGCGCTTTGAGGCGCTTTTCAATCTTCGAAATCAACTTGTTGCCATTTCCCAGCAACTCGCGCAGCTTTTCGTGGCTGCTGTGCGAGTCCAGGCTGGTGCCAAACAAAGAAACCTTTTGGTCCACGGCGCGCACAGTCGTGTTCAGGTGGCCGAGGGCCTTGGACACTTCACCGACCAGCTTGTCGTACTTTTCGGCCGACATGATGCCGGCTTTGGGCGATTCCAACGAGTCATATTGGCCACGCATGGCGAACGGCGATCGGTGTTGTGATAAATGCGTACTTCGAACGCAGAAGCCAGCTTGGTTACTCACGTACCACTTTGCCTGTGCGGATTGGCCAATTCGTCCCAATTTTAGCGAATCAAAGGGGTTTTGAATTGGATATCGCTCATACTATTGTCTCGGGTAAAAAGTATATTTTGACATGCATACCGTACGATTGATTGTCAATTTCTGAAATTTGCTTGCCCACACTCGACACAACAGGAGCTGTGGAGATCTTGCCAACAACAAACGTGGCCTATGCAGCCTCCACAGCTTACAAGCGTACGCTATGAGTCCATATGATCATGTCCTCCCTTGGTCAAACCAGGGCCTTGGAATTGGCTTTGTGTGAACACGATATTCCCCGTCCACACGAATTCACAGTCGACATCCTCTGTTTTCATTGATCCTTCCAACTACGGTACGATACTGCAGATTGATGCTTGACAATTTCTCGATTTTTGCCTATTTGTGCCGAATTAAGGACTTTACCACATATCATATCATGGCATCATTTATAAATAATTATTAGTATTACATTACTTGAAGCCACTACAAGGATTAATAATTCTTACATATCAACACACGACGTGAAAAGTATACAACATGATATCATGGTGTTCGTCGTCTTGACCAGGGCATACTGCAGCCCCACCTCTGCTGGGTGTCGGTTGAATATCCAACCGAATTTTGACCGCGCTGATTGTCAATGAATCCGTGATTTAATACATACATTTAATTCACTCTTGGTTAAAGTAGTCAGATGAATGAATTTGGTGAAGCCTGCCCACCCGAATAAACCACGGTGTTCGGGCGGCTGGAAAGGACAGTCATCCACCCTCCTTCCTCACTTTCAATTTAATTTGCCGACTGACGTGCGTGCCCAGTGGCGGCATCCATCGGCGAAGTTGGCAGACATCCACTAGAAGCAGATCATCATGTCGCTTGAAATGGTCCCGGGGGCCAAGTGCTACGTGCCGGACGAGAAGGACGTGTGGTTGCCCGCGGAAGTGATCGGGCAAACTCCCGGCACGAAGGAAATCAAGTGTAAAGTGTGGCTCGTCGACGGCACGACTGAGGAACGCGTGGTGAACTTGGACGATAAGAAAACCCGCGCCCTCATGAGCGGGAAAGGCGAGTCCGAGGACAATGTTGAGACACTTCCATTCCAGAACGAAAACGTTGGCGACGAAGGGATCGAAGACATGATCACCCTCAACTACCTCCACGAAGCTGCCATTTTGTACAACGTCAAGACGCGTTTCTTGAAGGAACTGCCATACACATACACAGGCGACATCTGTATCGCCGTCAACCCGTACAAGCGGTTGCATGACCTGTATGCCGAGCACCAGCACATCCGGTACCTGAACTTTCCTCGGGAAGAATTGCCACCGCACGTGTACGCGACGTCCGTGGCATCGTACGAGAACATGAAGACCGCGAGTCGAAACCAGTCGATTTTAGTGTCTGGGGAATCCGGGGCAGGCAAGACCGAAACGACCAAGATCCTCATGAACCACTTGGCCACGATCGCCGGCGGCATGAACGACGGCACGATCAAGAAGATCATCGAAGTCAGTCCCTTGCTCGAGTACTTTGGGAATGCCAAGACCGTTCGGAATGACAACAGTTCCCGCTTCGGCAAGTTCACCCAGCTCCAGTTCGACCGCGTGGGGACGCTGGTCGGGGCCAAGTGTAAGACGTACCTCCTCGAGAAGACGCGCGTCATCAGCCACGAACACCCCGAACGGAATTACCACATTTTCTACCAAGTGATCGACTCGGGGGACACGGCCAGTGAGCTCTTCTTGGACCCGGCGGCGCACTACCGGTACATTGGCGAGAAGTCGACGGCGATGATCGAAGGCCAGACGGACTTCGAGCACTTCAACATTACCGCCGACCGGCTGTCGCTCATCGGGTTTGACCATGCCGCGCAGATGGACCTGTACAAGACCCTCGCAGGGATTCTGCATCTCGGGAACGTGTCCATCATGTCCAACCCGGCCAACGACGAAGAATCGATGATCTCTCCGGGCGACGAAGCGGCCGCCCATGCGATTGCGTTGATGGGGCTGACCCCCGAATCGCTGCAAAAGGCGCTCTGTTCGCGCACGATGCGGGCCCGGAACGACGTGTACAGCGTGCCGTTGAAAAAGGTACGGCGACCACCACAACCATGTGTGACAACGTCCTGCTTGGGTAGGAACTCGCGATGGACTGCGTGGACGCGCTGTCTAAGGCCATCTACTCGCGCGTGTTTGACTGGCTCGTGGAGCTGATCAACGTGTCCCTGGCAGACGACAAGCGCATGGACCACCATATTGGCGTGCTCGACATTTTTGGGTTTGAGCACTTCAAGCACAACTCGTTCGAGCAGTTTTGCATCAACTATGCCAACGAAAAGCTGCAGCAAAAGTTCACGTCGGACGTGTTCAAGACGGTCCAGATCGAGTACGACGAAGAGGGCATTCAGTGGGAGCACATCGAGTACGCCGACAACCAGGACGTGCTCAACGTGATCGAAGACCGCATCGGGATCATTTCGCTGCTCAACGAAGAGCTCAAGAAGACAAAGGGCAGCGAGAAGGGGTTTATGTCTACGATCACGTCGATCAACAAGGACCTGTACAAACCCAGCGTGATCGAGTTCCCGCGCACGTCGCAGACTGAGTTCATCATCAAACATTATGCGGCGCCCGTCAAGTACGAGTCGATCGGGTTTTTAGAGAAACACAAGGACAACCTCCTGCCCGACTTGAGCGACCTCATGCGCAGCTCCAGCATGGCGTACATCCAAGCGCTGTTTCACGAAAAAAAGGTCGAAGCCAAGGTCGAGCCAACGACAAAGCGGCGGGGCGGAAGCATGATGAACATCTCGACCGTGGGCACGCAGTTCAAGGACAGCTTGACGGAACTCATGACGTCCATCCAATCCACGAGTGTCCAGTACGTTCGATGCATCAAGCCCAACTCGATCAAGAGCTCCAGCACGATGGAGCACGCGATGGTCGTGTCCCAGCTGCGATGTGCTGGTACGTCGTCGTGCACATGCATGTATATCATCAGTGAACACTGTGTTTTGTGTTGGCAGGGGTAATTGAAGCGATTCGGATTTCGCGCGCCGCGTACCCCAACCGGCAAACGCACGACGAGTTTTTGGCCAAGTTCCGGCTGTTCGTGCCATCGGGGCCAGGGTCGTCGAAAGAAAAGTGCCAGCAGCTCATGGACAAGTTAAAGCTGGTGTCGCCGACGCAGTACCAGATGGGGTGGTCCAAGATTTACTTCCAGCTGGGGGTGCTCGAAGAGCTGGAAGACCGCCGCAAGAAATTCCTCGACAAGAAGGCCCGGTTCCTGCAAAACGTCATGCGAGGATGGACGCAGCGGCTCAAGTACTTGCACACATTGGAAGCGATCGTGACCATTCAAGTACGACACAACGCTCTTTCGAGTTTTGTCATTCCTAACCCCGTCTGGTGTTTAGGCGTTTATCCGATGCGTCAACGCCATGCATCGGTACAACACGTTCCTCAAGGGACTCACCCTTCTCCAAGCGCGCGTCCGCGGAGTCCAAGGGCGCAAGGTAGCGCTCGCCGTCAAGCGCAACCACTGCGCGGTGCTCATCCAGCGTCACGTGGCCGGGTACGCCAAGCGCCACACGTACCAGCGCAAGCGCAAGGTGATTGTGCGGGTGCAGTCATATGTTCGCATGCACTTGCAACGACCCAAGTTTTTGGCCGCGCTCCGCGAAAAGAAGATGGAGGCGGACATGAAGTACCAGCTACAAGCGCTTCAAAACCGACTGGCCGAAGAGCAAAAGCGCAGTGCCGAGCTCGAGCAAGAGAAGCAAGCCAAGGACGAGGCCATCATGGCGGACGCCGGCGACATGATCGGGTCCCTCAAGGACGCGAACGAGGCGCTTAAGAAGGAGAACGACGACATGAAGCACCAGATCGCCGCGTACAAGGCCGACTTGGACAAGCTCAAGGCACACACGGAAATCCAACTGAGCCAGAACTTTGTCAAGCTCAAGCAAGAGCAAGACCAGACCCAGGCGCTGCAGAAGAAGGTCGACGCGCAAGCCGCCGAGATCGTCAAGCTCAAGGAACAAGTGGCCAAGGGAGGCAGCCCCGCCGCGGCATCTTCGTCGTCGTCATCCGCGGTCGCCGGCAGACTGCGCAACAAGCTGTTCCGCCAACCTGCCAACAAGAACATTGCACCTCCCGCCGTCGTGGCCGGACCCATGATGGACTCGGTGACCGAGGACAAGGACGTGTTCCCCAGCAGCACGTCGGTCACGGTCAGTTCGGCCGTGGACGTGCTCAAGAAAGCCACGCAGTTCAAGCGGCCGACGTTCTGGCGAAGCGACTCGACCACGGCGCACCTCGCGGAGCCCGCAAAGTCATCGGAACTGCAGCGGGACAGCGACCCCGACGGCACCAACAAGCCGTCCGACTACTTTGAATTCAAGACGTCGGCAACGTCGTCGTCGTCCATCACGAACGACTCGACGACCAAGACGGACCTGGACAGCTTGGAGAGCGCCCCTCGATCGTCCGTGATCAACTCGGCGATGGCGCAAGGGCGCAGCGGCATCTCGTCGCTCACGAACCGCATGGTCAAGAACATCCTCGGGGGCAAGAAGGACGAAAAGAACGGCGACGCCAAAGACGGCCGCTCCAGTCTCACCAACAGCGTGACGGCGGCGGCGGCCGCGGCAGTGGCCAAGCAGCCGTCGCGACCCGTGACCGCCCCCCAAGAGAGTTTCAACTTGGACTCGTTGCCCGAAGCCCCGTTGCCCAATGGCTGGGATGCCAAGGTCAGCCGCAACAATGGAAAAGTATATTACGTAAACAAAACGCTCAAGCTCACGCAATGGGACCGCCCGTCCATCGAAACGCTCAAGTTGATGAAGCAAGCCAAGAAGCAGCAGGAACTGCCGCCCCAATAATAGTTACAATTCCTTTGTCATGTTTCGGGTTGGAGACAACTCTCAAGGCAGTGGTGGTCGCAGCTACACACACGTACTACATGCTACGTGCATAATTTCCCATTTCCAAGTCGAAATTGCCGACTCTGATGCGTGGCGGAGTTTCTTATACACCTCAACCACGCACACGCCATGTATGTACGGCAACCGGAGAAGCTGGTTTGCTACGACGGGACTGCATTTCTCTCGTTTCTCTTCCTGCCTGGGTGTGATCATGACGCTGTATATCGTCCAAGACGGAGCTACATGCAAGTCGAGGTGTCTTCAGCTCGTCGTAACGTTAGACGGAGCTGAAGACACCTCGCGACTTGCATGCTCCATCGTCGTTTGTGCTTGCCTGCGAATATACCGTGAGAAAAAACCTGAAAAAAAATCATTTCGTACAGTCAAATTCGCTGGGATGTGCGAAAACAAAGGGGATGAGAATTTCGTTTTTTTGCATCAAAATTCGAAATACTCCAACACACATTACTCGTGTATTACCTACCTACCTACCTGCTTGACTGCTCGAGGTATCTTGGGACCATGACAGGTACATGCGACTTGCATGGCTTGCCGATTGAATGACATGTATGGATGTAGTGTACAGCTGGGGTCGAGGTGAAGATGGGCAGCTCGGATTGGGCGACACAAGCGACCAGTATCGACCGGTGGTCGTCGAAGCGCTGCGAGAACGAATCGTAGTTCAGATTGCGTGCGGCAGCGGCCACACCGTTGTGCTGGACGACAAAGGTGACGTGTACACGTGGGGTCGAGGCGACGACGGCCGCTTGGGCCACGGAGACAACGGATGGAAGTTTGTTCCGCGACTCGTCGAGTCGTTGCAGACCAAGCAGATCAAACAAGTGACTTGTGGAAGCTACCACACCGCCGCGGTGACGGTGTCTGGTGAATTGTACACGTGGGGTGGCGGCATGTACGGGAAGCTCGGCCATGGCAACGAAGTTGGGCATTCCGTGCCGTACTTGGTGGAAACACTGTCGAACCTCAAGGTCGATCAAGTGGCGTGCGGGTCGCGGCACACGGTCGTTCTGCTGCAAAACAGCGACGTGTACACTTGGGGCGACAAAGAAAACGGCGTCAGCGGCCAGGGCGACACGGACGGCCACCAGTACCTGCCATGCGCCGTGGAAGAGTTGAAGAACAAGGGCATCAAGCAGATCGCCGCGTGCGGCTTTCACACAGCAGCGTTGAGTGGTAAAATGACCCCATACACAACACTCGTCCATGGGATAGTTAGTCATCAAGTTGGTAGACAAAGGAGAGCTCTATACGTTTGGCGAGGGCAAGTTTGGGCGGCTGGGCCACAACAACGAGCGAAATCAGATCGTCGCCAAGGTCGTGGACACGCTGGTCTCGAGTCCTATTCGACAGGTGGCGTGCGGAGGCTTTCACACGGCCGCCGTCTCAGGTACGCTAGGTTGAGAACGGCCACCCACACTAATAAAGAATGGATCGGTGGAGTAGAAAGCGGCGAAGTTGTACGTCATCATCATCGCGGCCGCAAGTAGCCATGTTGATGTGTGTCCATATGTTTGTAGTACACGTGGGGCGGTGGCGAGCACGGGCAATTGGGTCATGGCGACAAGGTGAACAAGACAATTCCGTCGCTGGTGGAAAAGCTCAACGATCGCGTGGTGGTGCAAATCACATGTGGATGGAGCCACACCGTTGCTTTGACCAGTACGCGCTCTGGCATATATATTTGGTTTTTTATGATGTATTTGGTTATCCCTGCTTTGTTTGATGACATCTTGGGTAGACACGGGCGAAGTGTTTACGTGGGGCAACGGCGACCACGGCAAACTCGGCCACAACGACCAGGTCAAAGTGACGTTGCCTCGCGCAGTGGACGGTCTGCACGGCAAGCGCGTCGTGTCGGTCGCGTCCTACAACGAGCACACGGTTGCCCTTGTCGGTACGATGACCTTTTTCATATTCGCATGCTGAGTACTTTGCTTTGTGGCAGACCCCGTGCTAGCATTCCGGCCGCTGCTGCTGAGCTCGACGTACGCGAGCGACATGCAAACCCTCGTGGACGAGCCAGACTTTGCCGACGTGGTGTTTCTCGTCGAGTCGCGGCGGATATTTGGCCACCGCGCCATCCTGGCGGCGCGGTGTCCGCACTTCAAGGTCAAACTATTTCTCCATGCTTCTTGGTCGTTGACGGTGGATTTCATTCTCTATCTAGGCCATGTTTAGCTCGGGCATGCGCGAGTCCCGCGAGCTGGAAGTACCCGTGCCGTCGATCCGCATTCCGGTCTTTTTGGCGCTGCTCGAGTACGTGTACAATGACGTGGTGGCGGCCGACATGACGGCCGAGATGGCCATCGAGCTGTACGCGTGCGCCGACATGTACGGGCTGGACCGGCTCAAGGGCCTGTGCGAAGTGCTGGTGCAGAAGGGATTGGTCGTGGACAACGCCGGCGTGCTGCTGCAGGCGGCGGACGAGCTGCACGCGTCGCGGCTGCGGGAGATTTGCATGCACTTTATCATCCGGCACTTTGACTACGTGACCAAGACGGAAGGGTTCCACATGTTGTCGCGGGATTTGATTTTGGAAACGTTGCAAAACCGATAAGCGTGTCTTTTAATATTGGATGGGGTTTTTTATATTGGGGGTTTTAATGGTGAGGTTTCTTTTTCTGCTGCGACGCGGCTTTGGCATCGGCGGCACTTTGCTTTTTGCCGGCCACGTGCTTCTTCTTCTTTTGGATAAACTCGGTCGCGAACGCCGACACTTTGGGGGTCGACCCCAAGTACGCGGCCAAGTACTCGCGGATCTCGCCTGGGTCTTCGAGCGTCGCGCAGTACTGAATTAGCGTCAAGTCTTCTGTCCCGCCCAGCTTTTTCACTTGCTTGGAGCTCCACGCTACGAGGTCGTCGCTGCCGTTGTTGTATGCGGGGGTATGCGATGACGGCGATGCTGCTGTTGCTGCTGATGCGTCAAAGTTCCAAAAGCTCGCGTCGCGATCCTTGGGCGGTGTGGCCTTGACTTCCACGGGCGCCGGCCGCGCAGACGAATATGGCGGTGGCATACCCGTGACAACGCTGCTCCATCGCGACGACGACGCCACAGGCTTCTCTTGGCGCTTGAGTTGGGCCAGACGTTCTTCTTCGGCTTGGATTTCTCGGAGGGAGAGGGACCGCGTGATGGGCGCGGGCGGTGTGGCGGCGGCCGTTTTGCTTCCCCACGACTTGGACGGACTGGGGTTGGATACGCCCAGCATGCGCTTGAGTTGTTGGCCCATGTCTTCCAAATGGGGTTGCTGGTCAGGCGTTGGAGAAGGAGGGGGCTGCTGGGACGAGGACGACGAGGACGAGGACGACGAGGAGGGCTTCAACCGACGACGCATGCTTTCCTGCTCCTCTTGCTGGATCTGCTTGAGCGACGGGGTGTTCGGGGTCGTGGCTTCCCACGTCGAGTCGGCTTCTTTGACGACGTCAGGCACGTCCGCCTCTGACGTTTGCCGCCCCCACGACCCCAACTGCGGCACAACGTCCGGCTTGCTCCACGACGACTTGGGGGACGCCTGGGGGGCGGCTGGCTCGGGGCCTCCCCACCCATCTGACTCTGGTGGCTTGTTCCAAGACACGACAGGCGTCGTCGGCTGCTGCTGCTTCTCCTTGCTCCAGCCAGACGAGTCCGCGCCTCCCCACGACGCAGCAGCCGACGGCTCTTCGTCCGCCGGTTTGTCCCACGCCCCGCCCAACAATTCCGGATCGTTCTTCACGGACGAATTCCACAGCGACGACCCGGTCGTGTCTTCGTCCCACGACGGCGCCGCATACTCGGTCGTGACGGGCTTTGGCGCTTGAGTAGGCGGCCCTGCTGCGTACATGCCCAGTCCGCCCATCATGCTGTCGCCTGCCCCGGGAACGATGTTATCCCGAGGGCGGCCCCAACCGGACCCGATCGCCGCAGCCCCCGGAAGAATGGCTTGGGGGCGCTGGTAGTGAAACTGCTGCTGTTGTTGTTGTTGCTGCTGGAGGGCCCGCCCAGCTTGCTCTTGCAATTGTATCCGCTGCTGCATTTCCAACCGAACGCGCTGCTGTTCTTGAAGCGCGCGACGCTGCTGGTCTTCTTGTGCCCGGCGTTGCTCCAACACGCGTTGCTGTTGCAATTGGTTGGCCAGAAATTGCTGCTGTTCCAATAGTTGCTGCTGTTGTTGTTTTTGAAGCAGCAGTTGCTGTTGGTGGTTGGCCCCGGGGGTGGTCGTGGGGCTCGGTACGGTTGAAAACGGGATCTGGCCGTGGCGAAAGTGATTCGCCAACGAGGCAAAGTCCCCTTCGAGCCCAAACCGAATCGGCAAGTGCGGCTTAAAGTACCCCGCTTCAAACCATTCGCGCATCTCCGCCGACTTGAACGGCCCTTGCTGCAGCCCTTGGGGGTCCAGATAGAACCATGCGTCTACGGGGACCGGCGTCACATGAGGCGGCGGCTGATGGTCGTTGAACGTCGACCACGACGACAGGTCCGCCGCCACGGGCTCGGACGCCGGCATGTCCCACATCGGCGGCTCGTCCTCTTCCTCAACGCTGTCGGCAAACTGATCTTCGCTCTCCATCGTCGGTTGTTGCCGAAGCTACATCGCGTTAAGTACATGTGCACTCTTGTGGGCGGGTACGTACCTCGGCGCGCGCGCCGCCAGCTCGATGCATTTCGTCCATTTCACGGCGAAACAGCTCGGCAGCTTCCGCAAAGTTGGACAGTCCCTTTGACCAGTTGGTTAGACAGATGGGGCATAACACGGAGTGAGATTACCATGTCTTTGAATTCCCCGCCAGATGGATCGACGTCATCCCATAGGTCGTCTTTATCGTTGCCACCGTTGGGAGACGGGACGATCCTGGCCCCACGTTCCCAACTGTCTTCTCCACCAGTGCGCTGTACACCACACATGACCCATGAGCAAACGCCACGAACGAAAGAGGATACTTGGTGTCAGTCTACCTTGTCATTCCATTTTCGCCCAGAAGAAGCGTCGTTCAAATCTTCGCTGGTGTGCCGGTTGTTTGAGTCGTTGCCTCCAACACGACCCCCCGCTGCATTGGCGGTGCTGCTGTTTGTTCGGTTGGCGGTGGATGGAGTTGCACCCGACGTATTGCCGTCGGCTCGAGGTTGGCCCCGACCACGCCCTGGTTGACGAGTGCGTTCTTTGTTGGCGGCCCACTGCTTGTAGATCTCATCGTAGTCGAATGGGATGTTGGCCACAGGCGGCAAACTGTCGAGTGCAAGAACTGGCGTGCCTTCGGGGCATTCAGGGGGACCACTACTAACCACGTGCATCGCCAGCAGCTCTTCCCTCGAGTATCGGATCACCACTACGACACTCACTCGCGTTAGCCACACGAGTGAGCCATGTCATATCGGTGTACCTTTGTTCTTTCGTCGATCGCGGTCTTCCGCCAGAGAATACTGCTTCTTGAACCCTTCTCCGTCTTTGGACCATTGTGGCAAGTAGTTGTCGTTCGCAGTCTCGCTGGGGCGGGCGCGGCCTTTCACATCGAACATCGTTTTAGGGCGTAAGTTCAGGTCGCTGTGCTCCTGGGCCTCCTCTCCACTCAATCCTTGCTGCATGGATTGCTGTAGCAACTCTTGATCGTCCATGTCCATCCTTATCGTTGGTTCTCTCTTGTCAATCTTCGTGTACGTGCTGCTGTCGAGCTTGAATTTTGCGCTGTGTTCTTTTTGGCTTTTTTTGTGGTTCACCGCCTTGACCATACAAACCGCAAGGTGAAATCAAATACCTCTATTGTTCGTATCCCCAGGTCAAATATGCGTTTTCACAGGTTTTGCCTCACATGCTTGAATGTCACGCCGACTATAACGCATCTCGCATCGTGTCCGTCATGTAGTTGGCCCATGTACACAGGTGTATCGCTGCATCTAAGCGCATATGATGTATATAGTTTCCATTAGCATACATAGTTTCGATCAAAACGCGCATGGAGTTCCTTCATGTCGTATAGCTATAACTCGTCTGGTACACCATGTCGTTGTTTCTTCTCCCTTGATGCAATGGTGTCGTCCGTGCACTTGAGTGCCGCCAACTGGGCTTGGGTGAAGCTGTTTTTGTGCCCAGGAGATGTTGGGTCCTTTAGAACTGGCCGTCCGACTTTCCATGTGCAGCAGGGGTCGCCCAACTCTTGCCCGTTCGTAGCTCCGTCTCCATCCGAGTCCTTTTCGCACAACTCTTGCGTCCATTTCCCCCCGAGTCGTTCGAAGTCCCGGCCAAACGGTGTGGCCCGTCCTCGGCCATATTTATTCACGTGGCCGACTGCAGACACACCGTCCGTTGTGGTCGTGAGGCCATTTGGAATGCGTAAGCGGTAGATATCGTACGCAAGTACTGACGCCGCGGACATGCACGCAGCAACAAAGGAGGACTTCATGAAGGAATATATTGTTGTCCGACTGTCGGCCACGAAAGCGTTGCGAGCAACAACGTTCACAGTTTGATTGGCTGATTGACATTTCGTTCCACGAATCAAATCGCATTAAACCAAATTAAAAATCATATGTTACAAATAACAAGAGAGAATAAAATTTACTTTATACTTGGATATCCGGATATTGGTTGAAGTCATGTTCGAGTATATCCGGACAACCGCCTTGCGGAATGATAGAAGGAATCGGTGCTTGAAAGATCCATCGGTCGGTCATTCACCTTTGGCCACTCGGTCCTTCGCCATGTTCTTCTGGCGCAACCCCTCGCCGGCTTCAGGACATGATGGGGATGATCTGTCTGTCGGCAGGACGAAGGAAGAGATGTTGCGCTGCAACCGCTGCGACGAATTCGTGATGCTGCCAATCGAGATCGTTGCCAACATCGTCGAGTGTTTGACTCACATGGAAATCCACCACCTGGAAGCGGCGCATCCTCGATTCCGCATGCAGGTGGAAGGCTACAATTGCTGGAAACAAGACGTCGTGCGGCGCATTGTCCTCGACAAGACGCAATGGTTTCGCACTGCCTCGGCCACGATGACCCACTTTAGCAACAACTACCGCGCCATGTCCGTGTGGAAGCGACTCGGATGTTTGGCACACCTGGCAGGATCGAGCAAGTATGGCCAGGACAACCTTATCGCCGATGTGCTTAGTACGTACTCTGCATGATTGTTCAACAACGAAGCGCTGACGATACACAGAGTTCTCGTCGGCAGACAGGGAGAGCGAAGGTCCCGGGAACACCCTTCGACCATCCAAATGCTGGGGGGAAATCCAAAGGTTCAGCGACGAATTGGACACTCCATACAACCTGCAGGAGCTGTCTTCGTTCTCCATGTTCCGACTGCTCACGCGCCGCCAAGCGTCGCTGGGGGAAACCATTCAGATGCTATGTGGGTGCTCGTCGGGCAACTCGTGCTACTGGAGCAGGTATCAAAGGCACACACCACGCACATGCTGATGGCCTGGACGTAGTGCCGCTTCCACGACTCAAAACACAGAGGAATCCATCTACTACCGCATGCGCGGCCATTGCGTCGTCCGCGCGGTGTCCGTGTTGCCGTACCGCGTGTTCTGGCATCCCAATGCGCCGACGTATGGACCGCAGCAAGTGTCGTTTTCGTTTTATGCCAATGAACGCAACGTCGACTCTGAGCACGAAGTGCCTTTCTACGTGTCGCCAGTCTTCGACGTCGTCAACGACATGGTCGTACGTAGCTTCTCCTGTACACGCGATGGCATTCCTGACGTTGTACGCAGGAACAATCGTTCGAGCTCCCTGTGCGAGTGCTCCTGCAAGACGGGTACATGAGGGTGAACTTGATCGGTCGCCACCAAGCACAAACCTTCGACGTCCCCACGTGGATGCAAGCGCATGGCGACGACAACACACCCAAATACTACTGCTGCTTGAGTCAAGTGCGGGCCCATGGGGTTATGATGGACTTCGACACTTCCTCGCCGTGATATCCTCCCAATGTGTCTGTTCAAGAAGGCTGTGGAAGTATTTTTTATAACCTATTAAAACGACGCATACGTTATATATGTTTAACGTGTCACCTTTTGCTTCACTCTTCAAATTAACAGTAAAAGCGTTAAAGGTAAACATTTAACGCGTAACGTTATGTCGACGCCGTGAAATCACATCTTCATCCGAATAACGTGACCAACCATGTCAATTGCGCGCCGACTGGGCATTACGGCCGTGTCCGTTGCCGGCCTCGCATTCGGCGTGGACACCGCTACCAAGTAAGGCGATCGACATGGTTCCCATGCATGCGTGGTCTCTTACATGACCTAGTCGCGTGCCTACACGCGTGGGGCGAGTGGCGAAGGCAGGTGCTGAAACATTTGTCGACTTCAAGCGAAACGTTCCGGTCAAGCCTGATGACGACACTGAGGACGCAAACGACTTCACCAGGACGCTATTGCGCAACGAGTACAAGGCTGCGTTACGAGAGTACAATCTTCGCACGGCCGAGCGATTGCTCCACGTGTGCAAGCAGAACGGCGGTGTGTTCACCAAGATTGGACAGCAATTGGCGTCCTTGAACCATGCGTTGCCTGTCGAGTACACTTCTACTCTCAGCGTCCTCCAAGACCGGGCTTTGCCCGTGTCGTTCGAGGTATGTCCCACTTACCACGTTCCCCACGACTCTCATCCTATCCATGCATGACTACAGGAAGCCAAAGCCGCCGTGGAGCGAGAACTAGGCGGTCCACTGGACAAGTTCTTCCGCGAATTCAACACGAAACCCATCGCCGCGGCGTCGTTAGCTCAGGTCCATCACGCCATCACGCAGGACGGAAACGAAGTGGCGGTGAAAATCCAGTACCCGCAGCTGGCCAAGACGTTGGCAAGCGACCTGTGGACCGTCCGCCAAGCCATCTACGCCGTGGAACGAATATGGGACATCAACATCCGGTGGATCATTCCCGAGATCGAACAAGCGCTGGAAGCCGAGGTACCAGCATTATTCCATCCACAAACACTCTGCGTACTGTATCGCATAGATGGATTTCAATGCCGAGAAACAAAATAGCCGCAACATCCAACGCCTCTTTCGGTCCACGCCGTTCGTGTACATTCCGGACGTACGGCCATACTTTTGCCACACATGGCGACGAACCGTGTCGCATTTTGATAGCATTTGCTCCTTCCTCTCATAGGTGTACGACGAGCTCAGCACGACGCGCGTGCTGACGATGGAGTTCATTCACGGCGTGAAAGTAACCGACTTGGACTCTATTACGCAGACGCTGGGTCTGGATCCGGTGGACATTGCGGGGAAGGTGTCGGCCATGTTTGCTGAAATGGTGTTTTGCTCTGGCTTTGTGCACTGCGATCCGCACCCGGGTAACCTCTTTGTGCGGCGCCATCCTCATCGGCCGTCCGAGGTGCCGTCGGTCCCATCGTTCAAACACTCGATCGCTCATTTGTCTGCCTGCCTATCGTAGGCCCAAGTGGTGCTGCTTGACCACGGCCTGTACAGGCAACTCGACGACGACTTTCGCCGCACGTTTTGCCGGCTTTGGAAGGCGCTGCTCCTCCGAGACAACAAGTTGCTTCTTGAATGCGGTGACCGGTTCCACGTTGGTCCGTACGCAAAGTTCTTTCCGCTCATCTTCACGTACCGATCGATGGACAGCAAGACGATCATGGGCGGCCAAATGTCGGCCGATGAGAAGCTCGCGCTGCGCCGCGACTTGAAGGCGCTGCAGGGAACCAACGTGAATGAATTCTTCGAGCACTTGCCTCGCGACATGCTGTTTGTGTTTCGGTCCACCAACCTCACGCGATCGCTCAACAAGGAACTAGGCGGCAATTCCCGGTAAGCAAACATCGATGCTTGTGACTGAAAAAAATCCTATGTGATATTGTGCTTTCGAGTGAAATTTCATTGTGTTGTGGCGTGGTTTCTCGTTGGAATTTAAATCGATTTGATTGGCTACTTCAGATGAGCTCAAAATTATTAGCCAATCAAAACCTTCTCAATGAAATTCAACAACCAATCAGATCGATTGTGGATCGGTTTGGTCGGCGCGATTCGATTGCACCCCCTCCCCAAATTTGTATATCAAATCGACAATATTTCCATAGACAACGGTTTCAAATATTCGGGAAATACGCACTCAAAGGACTCGTGCAAGACCAAGCCGCCACGGGTGCTGTCCTCACGACGTGGCAATCGATATGGTACGGACTTTTGGACGAATTGTTTACTATACTTATGGTTCGAACCTTTTCTGTATTTTGCGTGAATATTCACTATCATTATTATTTATATATATTATTCCGAGGAGTATTAAAAAAAAATATAAATCGATAGGTGGACCATCGAGTACGCAAACCTCGTGACGAGGCTCCGGTTGATCGACTGGGGTATGTACCTGTACCAGTCGTACTATGGGATTTCCGTCGACCCGGATAAATCGGTGGGATAATAAATCGACTCGTGGATAATATTTTTGCGGACGGTATTAAATATAACATGTCGCGCTATTCTCGAAACGAAGCCGTGAAGCGCTTGATGGCTTGAAAACTGGTCGATTTGGGCTTGGGCGTCGGCGGCACAACTGGCGTGTCCGCGCCCTCTTTCGACGACATCTTCACTCGCAGCGACATGAAGCTGGACTTGCTGCTTTGGAGACGCCCGCCGAGCATGTCTCGCAACGATGGCAAGCGCGCGCCAAACCACGATCTACGATAACATAGAAAAGTCGCTAATTGGAAACCCACTGTTTCAGTGATATACTAGCTTCAAAATATAAAATAGAAACCGAATTATGTTATGGACCCTGTATGGGATTGTATGATATCAAAGGCATGTAAAAGGTACTACCGCTTGGAGGGGCGTTTGATCATAATTGTGGGGGGGTCGCCGTGCACGGGGGGGGTTAGCGCGGGGGGCGCCTTGAAGGAATTGTCGAGGGGTTTGCTGCTGCTATACGTGGGGCTGGTCTTGGCCTCGGTCGTCTGCTTAGTCGCTTTGACGTCCGACGATTGGGCTAGCGCTTTAAACAGGGGCGACGACGGCTGCTCTTGCTTCCGTCGGAAAATGAACTTTTGAGGCGCGTTTTCTAACACCACTTGCATCTTGCCACGGAGCGCCATGTAGTCGATGGGAATGGTCGCAAAATACAACGCCCCTTCGGCCACGCTCTAGACAATGAGTAGATGACATAAGCGAACGAGACCTTTAAGGCCAAACAAGAAAAGCCACCTCGAGGGCCTTGGCACTGGTCTTGATGGGGTCGTTCAGGTCGCCCCCAATGAGAATCACACGGGGCCCCACCAACCCCATGAGAACACGCAAGACCGGAATGGCTGCTTCGAGGCGGGAGCCAATCACAAAACACACCTGCACTCACAGTCAAGTGCAAAGTAAAAAAATATTTCCCGTGTTGAAGACCCTGGTGAAAACAGTTAACATTTGCACTTACAAGGTCGACGCCAGGTCCCAAGTTGGGGTCGCACATGTCCACCGCTTCTTCCTTTGTCTTGGCGTGCAACACTGTCATGTAAGATATATCAAACTCACGTCAATCGTAAAGTTCATTTCGACGTCGTAAGAGGTGTGGTAGTGGCCGTACCTTCGCCAAACCCAAGCAAGTGGATGTACCGTGCTATGGACGGGACACTTTCTTGCGTGAGTCCCCCGACGAGAATTTTAGCCAGTCGCGCGGGCGGGGGGTCTTTGATTCTACATCAAAGTGTTCACATACCATAGACGACACAACAAATCAACATGGCCAGACTTTTTGCGCTTGGCTTTTGGTTCCTTGGGGGACCGCGGGGGAGGTGGCAGAACGTTGTATTCCACCAGAGTGGACTTGCGGCTCGGATCTCTTGCCAGCGCCGGCGGTTTGGCGCGAGCTAAGAACTCGTCCACGATGGACTTGTCCACTTGAACCGGCGCGGGGGCTTTTTCTGGACTGGGGGGGCGAACTTCCTCCGCCTTGTCTTGACGAGGGGGCGTCATTGGTGTTTCGTACGTGTCGTTGTCAGCCATAGATTCTGCTTCTGACGGCCATGATTCGTTCTGCTGTTCCACAGCTCTGGACTCTTCTGGGGTCGGAGCTCGCGTGACTTCTGCGACTGGCACTGTGAAGGGCACTGGTGTCTCCGAAGTCGACATTTCAGACGGTTTGCGGCTATTGTTGTCGACTTCGACTTGGACAGACTGCTGATCGTAGTCACTTTCCTCTCGCGTAGATTCGGCTTTTTCTCTGCTTTGATCTTCCACGACCTTAAGCACAGGGGAAGGAACCGGTTGTTTCGGCGGTTCTGGCACTACCGCCACTGGTTTGGGGGTGTCTGCTTTCAGAGGAACGACTGGGGGGGGTGCAAGTTTGGAGGGGGGCGCAGGTTTGGGCGCCAGCACAGCCAGGGCCGCTTTGGCTGGTTTCGGGGGGATCTTTCGCGCAGGAATGACCACGTTGGTATCGTTGTCGTCGTCGTCGTCGTCTGGCGCTTCCGCTGTCAGTGCCGTGAACTCTGCGTCGTCGGCCGTGAACGCCTTCGCTTCGTCCAGCGGTTTGAACTCGTCGTACTCTTTCTGAATCAGCGACGCGAGCGAGCCTTCGTTCGAGTGCGTCATGATCCACTGCTTGGCCCCTTGCACGACCTCGGCGCCCGTGGTGTTAATCACAGTCTCAAAGAACTCCTTGTACTTGGCTTCGAGCATGTCTTCTGGAACGTACAGCCCATGCCGCTCCATCTGATCTTTGATCCGGATCAAGTCTCGCTTGGCCAAGTCGGCTATTTCTTCCTGCCAACACCCCGACCATAAGAAAAAGATAACATGGAGATACTACATATATGTATATGCCGCACCCCTGTCTTGACGACAAACAACCTAAACAAGTTCATGTACGTTTCCTTGGCCATGGACTCGCCCGCCAACGTCTGCGGGTTCACTCCAAATTTCAGCAACTCTTCCAAGATGCGCTCCATCACGGTCTGCTCCGTCGTGGAGATGTGGCGGGCCGAGATGAAAGCTTGCCGAACGCAGTCGATGAGTGCCGGGTCTGCTCTCGTGAGGCTCACGAGCGAGTTCAAACTGTTCACTTCCCCCGACGCCACGCGTCCCATGAGTTCGAGCACCTACATATTGGACATTTGAATCATGTTATGTGTTGACCTGCTATGTGAGTGCATACCTGAAACAAGTCGGAGCCAAACATTTCCGTGGACAGGTCGTTCTTTTGAATGTACGCGAGGCGCATGCGCTCAATGTCGACGGGCTCGGCTTTTGCCAAGTCGCCCATGGTCGTGATGGACGAGTCCCCCATGTACCGAGCGATGTGGCTGAACGCACTGAGCGTGGCCAGCGGCACGGCTTCTGCCATGAGTTCGTGCAACGTTTTTGTCTTGTCGTCCAGTGTCACTTTGATGACCGTGCCATCGAAAAACACAATCGCTCGAACCTAGTATCACCACGATTGTTGACGAGGAAAAACACTAACTTGATCAACAGACGACGTTACAGAGATGCGCCGGTAGAGCAGATTGAGGAACCCGATGTACGTGGCTTCTTGGATGTCGCACGTCCACACGTCCACCTAGATACGAAAAATGCCATTGTATTCTTGTCTCTTGATTCACACGAGAACAGAGGGGAATTTGGCGCACCACTTCGAATAGGGCGTCGAAGAAGGTCGTTGTGTTCATGTACTGGCTGGACTTTGAATCGATGATCCAGTCCTTTTCGATTTGAACCGTGGCCGTCGACCGTTCAAAGTCATTGCGCAACACCTTGAAGATGAGCAGCATCACTTGCATGTACTCTTGCTTGGTGATCACGTGCTCGTCGATGACCACCAACTTTGGAAACACGTGCCAATACTGGAGAATCGCCTCCCCGACGTTGTGCGACAGCTTGAGCTGCCGTCGTTGCTCGAGGGCATCCGCTTCTTGGAACTGCGCACTGCCTTGCAGGTAGAACGGGATGCTGGGGTCCGCGACTTCTTGAAACTCGAACAACACGTGCGGCTTTTCCTCGGCCCCGATGACCTCCAAGTCGCCGAACGCGGCGATGGAAGTGCCCGTCTCATGGTTGATCGAGGGAATGGTCTCGACAAGGCGACCCAGGTTTTTCAGAAGCTCTGCATCCCGTGTGATATCTGGCATATCGCTCAACCCGCTGTCATATGCTGCCAGGAAAAGTCAGATGCTGCCGAGCAGTTTCGCATTTGAAACGGCTGCAAGCATGACTTTCTTGAGTCAACATTGCATACCAGGCTATTTTTAACATGTAAATACAAGGGCTGATGTCGTGTTTATCGCAAATGTGGATATCCAATCAAATTGTCGCATTAAACTGCTAAATCATTTTGATTGGCTTACAATTTGTATTTTAGCAAATGAAAATCCACCATGGTCTTGTCGACGCATCATTGGGCGGCTGGAATTATTGGATAAAACGGCTGAGACTCATCCGGATAGGACATATCGCCGACGACGAGGACGATGATCCGCCACTCAATCCTCCGAGCGGCGTCCCAAGTTCGCGTCACGGGGCATGCGAGGTCCAATCTGCCCGTGCGCCACATGAGCTTCTTCTCCAGGTTGAAGGAGGAGATTCAAGCCGAATTGAACAAGGATGTCGTGAAGGAGACCACGGACAAGTCCCAAGAAGCGAAGGAGGCATTCGAGAAACGCGCCAAGCAAACCAAGGACACGTTCGAGGAAACACTGCGTCAGGCAAAGACCGAAGCAAGCAAAAGTGAGTACTACCAAGATGCCAAGTCCAAGTTCTTCGATCCGCTCAACGACATGAAGTCCAAAGTCGTGGGCAGCGCTCCGGAAGGGGTCCAGGAGACATTGAAAGAAACGCTGTACGAGGTGTTTGGCTGGAACAAGAAGAAATCTGTCGAGGAAACCCTCACGTCCAGCTTGGCGGACACGCGCGCGCCCAAGGAAACGTCCTCGGATGACGATGACGAGGCTGCTGCCACTCCAGCATACACGGGCACGACCGCCATGGTCGTGGTCAAGGGCGAACAGACTGCATGGGAACGCGTGGCCTCCCGTCTGCGCGAGACTCCCATCATCCAAGGCCTTCTGGACGCCGCCAACCAAGCAGCCAAGACGGAAGCGGGCAAGGTCCTTGGCTCGACCGCCAAGAAAGCGCGGGACAAGGTCGGCGATGCCACCGAAGATGTCCGCGAATACTGGGAAACCAGTCAAAACCCGTATGTCCTCTATACATCAATGTATTTACATCGTCTCATACTCGAATGACATAGATGGGTCTACCGCATGTCGTCGATCTACGACGGATTGTTTGGTGAAACGCCCGAAAGCATCGCCATCAAGGAAATTCGCCGCGCCGACCCGTCGTTTGATGTTGAAACGTGGAAAGATGTACGTCTGCTATTCATTGTTATTAGTATTAACACCATGTCACATATTCTAACATTCAATGTATACTAATATGGGAAGGCCGTGGCGGAAAATGTGGTGCCGCACGTGCTGGACGCGTTCTTGCGAGGCAACAGCCGGGATCTCAAGCAGTGGATGGGCGAAGCTGCCTACAACACGGTCAACATGGCTATCCGCGAACGAAAGGCCGATGGACTGGTCGTGGATCCCAACATCTTGGCCATTCGCAACGTCACTGTGATTGCGCTCTCGGTACACAACGTGCTCGTAACACTGATGGCATTCACATATGAAATGTCTTATATGTACCCCAAATTTGGATACTTTTGTTGCTAATTGGCCAAATCTATCGATTCAGTATTCTTTGTACTGACTTTTGTATGAAAAGGTTGTCGATGGTCACACTAATTGAAGTCACACACTAATTCGACATGGAATGGCGGTGAAAGAGTGGATTTGATTGGCTACTTGATTTGTGTTGTGGGTTTTGATTAGTCGTATATCGATTGCCTGTCGATTTGGTTCTTCGATTGAGTACCTCACTTGGTCTAATATATATACTGTATGTATGTGCTTGGTTTAGGCGGAAGACAAGCAGGCGCCGATCATCGGCATCCAACTCATGGCCCAGCAGATCAACTGCATCCGCAACCGAGAAGGCGAGATCGTGGAAGGTGCCGATGACGACATCCAAGCCAACTTTTACATTTTCGCATTCCGTCGCGAGTACGACGAAGAAGCGTCGGCGCTCAAGTGGAAGATCGTCGAGTTTGGGGTCATTGGGTCCGTGCCGTACATTTAATAGAGGCCACTGACAAAATGATACCTCCCTTCAGCCAACAATATAGAGTTTATATCGACATCTTGTGGCTCAAGAAGGACTTGTTCGGGTCGAATGCAAGTGTTGGGCAATGCGACGATTTGCTTCGTCAGTGTCGGCGGCGTCTTGCGTAAACACGAACGACGGCAGCTACAACAACCACAGCGCCATCAGTCTCGTACATGCAAATGTTATAGCATCTCATGGGAACGGACTTCGTCGGGAAGGAGCACGGTGGGGGCGCTGTCGTCGTCGCCGCCAAACGCGTACGTCCCCATCACGTCAAATTGCAGCTGGAAGCGTTGCTTGAGGAATTGCTCGAGTTTCGCAGCACGTTGCAGCAGCTACAATGTATTTATCGTCAAGTCGATTCAAAATTAGAGTAAGTGGGGTACTCAATCGACCAAATCGACAGACAATCGATATATCGACCAATCAAAACCCACAACACGAGTCAAGTGGCCAATCAAATCATCCACTCTTGGACCAACTCAACATCGAATTTCTGTGTGAATACTGAAATTAGTGTGACAGTGGACCATAAGTCAAAGAATCGATCGATAGAGTTGGCGAATAATTAGCACAAAAGTCAGCCAAATATTGGGTAAAAGAAAGACAATATAAGGCCCCAGATGCTCTCTCACTACGTTTTTTGATCCTCCATCGGAATAGCACAAACCTTGGCATCCAGGGTGTCGTCGTGCAGGATCTCAAAGAGCGACGCCAGCGAAGTTTTGATGAAATTGTCATGTGCGATCTCGTCTTGGAAGAAATCTGCCCCGACCTACGCTATCTCGTGAACGACCGACCCCTTTGAAGGAGGCACGTACTTGCTCGAGGTGGACGTGCATGAGCTGCAAGAACGCGGCGAACAATGCCGGTTGCGTCGTGACGGCATGTTCACACGAGCACAAGAGCCAGACAAACTAGAGATGGTGATGGTGATGCAGCAACATTCGTCGTGCCAGGATCGCATGGTGTGCACCTGTTTCCATTGATGGAGGGCATCCAGTGATGAAAGGAGCAAAAACAGCACGAACGACAGCTGCAATTCACCCAAGAGGGCGTGCTACATGGAAACGATGGATTCGTGCGATGAAACTGCGACAGAGTTCGTACCCAGTCGTTGTGGAAGTGGGTGCTCAACAGCCATTCGAGGTGCTCACTAAGATGGGTTGGTCTTGTAGGGTCATTGGACACTAGAGCGTACCTGCTGTCGACATGGTACAGCGTTAAATCGCCCGCGGAACGCTGCGTCGTCGATGGTTTTTTCAATGGCGTAAAGCGCGCGACTTGGGCCACATCCGGGAAGAAAGGCTTGAGCGTGGTGAGATCATTTGATTCCAAAGACAAGGTGTCGGGGTCCCCTGGGGAGATGGTGCCGCCAACTGTCAACCCGCATTGCTACGTGGAAGTAAGATTAAGAAGGTCGTTCCATGGGATGTATCCGTACTGCGAGCACTTCCTTTGTGATGTACTTGGACAGGCGACGCCACGTCTTGGCATGCTTTTGGGGGTATGCGCCTAAGTTTCCATCCAGCTGAAAGCCGTGCACAGCGCCTACGCGAGGACTGCCTCACATAAACCGCATTCGTGCACGACGACGAGGATCACGTACGCGTGAGGTTCTCAACGTCGGCTTCTCTTGTCATGGGAACCAACTCTTCCGTGTCGGACGACCACGTTCGAATGACCACGTCGTTAGGTTTGATCTCGACAAAGAAGCCTTGGCGAATGCCATTGCCGTTGTCGTGCTCGCCGTTGGATGCATAAAACACGAAATGAAGGCCAGACGGAATCAACTTGACGCCGCGGAACTTCTCTGCGGTGCGGAATGCTTCATAGTCGACGCCGAATTCGCTGCCAACAGGTACCTCGAGGCACACGACGGTGCCGACGCCAGCGCCAATGACCATGTTCCAAACGTGGATTTCACCTGCGATATCCGGATATAGATCCGGATAAATGTTCTGGGTTCCCAAAAAAATCAATCAATTTTAGATCAATTTTTACTGTATATTTTAATTAATTATCAATTAACGTTGGCGTGGTCGTGCTACGATGTAATAGGTCGTGCCAAAATGGAAGCGATATGACGATTCTACTTCCAGCCCCGCGTCTGCTACGATCTTGAGGATGTCGCGGTTCCAGAAACATCCCCAGCGTTCGGCATGCTTCAATGCAAACTTGTCCAAGACGTACGTGAGCCACGAGTAACTGCTCTTGCCATGCTCCAGCAGCAGAATCCTCCCGTTGGGTTTGCACACGCGCTGCATTTCTTCGAGCATTCGAACGGGATTATCCACACTGCACAGGGCAAACGTGTCGACGACGGTGTCGAAGCTGTGGGTGGGCGCGTCCAGGTCTTCTGCGCTCATCACTGATGTTCGAATGTGCGACGGAAGATGCTTGATCTGCCCCAGCATGCTTGCGCTGAGATCTGTCAACAGCACGTTCGAGTCCTGGTTGTAGTATGGTACGTTTCGTCCGGTGCCGGCCGCCACTTCAAGGACCGACCCCGATGCATTCCGGAGCAAGAAGCGACGCATGAGTTTGATGCCCACCATGGTTTCGTCCCAGTCAATTTCTACAATTGGTAGCCTTACAATCAATCGCAACATGATACTGGAGCACGCAAACCCACCGTTGTCGTACTCGGCGGAATTCTTGTCAAATCGAGCTTGGCGTTCGCCTCCAGTGATGGGCTTTGCATTGCCTTTGTCAGGGTCGTACATATAGATGTAAGTACCAAGGGTAGCCGTGGCGTACACCGATAGGCCGCCGAAGACTAGCGCCGCCTTCCTTGCGGTCATTGGGATTTGGGGCAAGTGGAGGGAGAGCTTTTGAGTGGCTGATTTCAAGTAGGATTCAGCTCCTGATTTGGTTGTGGAATATCCTATTTAAGTGCAATTTGAATGGAGGGAACTTCTCCAGATCTGTCACTTTTGGGCAATAAGTTTTGGCAAAATACTGTTTTTTTTCAAAACCATTGAATGGATACCGCCCAATTGTGCTGTTTGGCGCCACAAGGAACCTTTTAAAAACGATACTCTATCACAAACAATATATGCCTATAGCAACAAAAATGTAAAATACGATGAAATTTACCCTTTTAATATAATACCTGTGTCCATCTCCATACTCGCAGCGTGGAAGCAGAGCATTCATTTGTACAGGGTGATCAACCACACCATTGGAGTTTCATTCTTGAATTTGAGCGTGAAGATGAAGTACTTGGCTGTGAGCGGCGGAACTGTGAGTGGCCTTGGCAAAGGCATCACCATTAGTAGCATTGGGGTTGTGCTCAAAGCATGCGGCTTGCGAGTGACTTCCATCAAGATCGACCCGTACCTCAACTGCGACGCCGGTACCATGAGCCCGTTTGAACATGGCGAAGTGTTCGTGTTGGACGACGGTGGCGAAGGCGACTTGGATTTGGGCAACTACGAGCGCTTCTTGGGCATCACTCTCACCAAGGACCACAACATCACAACGGGCAAAGTGTACCAGCAAGTCATTCGCCGCGAACGCCGCGGCGACTACCTTGGCAAAACCGTCCAAGTCGTGCCGCATGTAACTGACTCGATCCAAGCCTGGATCGAACGCGTGGCCCAGATCCCCGTTGACGGCGACTCCACTCCCGCCGACATTTGCTTGATCGAAGTCGGTGGTACCGTCGGCGACATCGAGAGCATGGTGTTTCTCGAAGCGTTGCGCCAGTTCCAGTTTAAAGTCGGTGTCGACAACTTCTGCTTGGTGCACGTGTCGTTGGTGCCTGTGATGGGCTCCGTGGGCGAGCAAAAGACCAAGCCCACCCAGCACGCGATCAAGGAACTCCGCAGCGCCGGCCTCACCCCCGACGTGATCATTTGCCGCGCATCGAGCCAGCTGGAGCCCGCGACCCGCGCCAAGATTGGCATGTTCTGCCAAGTGAGCCAGAACCACGTGCTCAGCGTCCACGACGTGAGCAACATCTACCACGTCCCGCTTCTTCTGGCCCGCCAAGGCGCGGCGTCCATCTTGCTGTCCAAGCTGCGCTTGATGGACAAGTATTTGGAGCCCAACCTCGACGCGTGGGCTGCGATGGCCCACCGCGTGGACAACTTCACCAAAACGACCAAGATTGCGCTTGTGGGCAAGTACACTGGCCTGCAGGACTCGTATTTGAGCGTGATCAAGGCGCTCAAACACGCCGCGATGAAGGTCGACCATGACCTTGTGATCGAGTGGATCGAGTCGGTGGATCTGGACCTTGTCACACGCAACGCCGAGCCGGAAAAGTACGCCGAGGCGTGGGCCAAGTTGAAGGGGTGCGCCGGCATCGTCGTGCCCGGGGGGTTTGGCGACCGCGGCGTCGATGGCAAGGTCTTGTGTGCGCAATACGCCCGTGAAAACAAGGTGCCGTACCTCGGCATTTGCTTGGGGTTCCAAGTTGCGACGATCGAGTACGCGCGCAACGTCGTGGGCTGGAAGAACGCCAACAGCGGCGAGTTTGACGAGTTCACCGAGAAGAAGGTGGTGGTGTTCATGCCTGAGATCAACCCGAACGAGATGGGCGGCACCATGCGATGCGGCGCGCGGTCCACGGTGCTCGAGCCCAGTCGCGACTCGAAGCGGTCGCTGGCGTCCTACTTGTACCAGAACAAGCCCGAGATCCTCGAACGCCATCGCCACCGGTACGAGATCAACCCCGACTTTGTCGCAGATATCGAAGGCGCGGGATTCCACTTTGTCGGGCGCGGGGACAAGGGCCTGCGCATGCAAATCGCCGAGCTGCCCCGGGATGTGCACCCGTACTACTTTGGGACGCAGTACCACCCCGAGTTCAAGACCCACCCGAGTGACCCGAGCCCTCCGTTCTATGGCCTCCTCTTGGCCGCCACCGGGGGCTTGGATGCGTTCATCCAAGCCAGCGACGCAGCCGACTTCCATTCGTAGGAAGCGACCGGACTAGCGTTGATAATGTGAAACTGGGTTTGCACTTGACGTCGTAGGATGTACTAGTAGTTAGTTTTTATCTAAAATGTAAATATTGATTTTCATGCAGAGTGAATCCCTCTTGTTTTCTCCCGCCAAATCGACTACGTACTCACTCGTACACTAACACCATGAATATGATGGAGTGGATTACGTATTCCTTGCATCCAACACAGAAGTGCCGAACGCCTACAAACCAATCTTAATGGCATTATCTTACGTGGCCGAAGACATCAGGAAGGTAACGTTACAGTAAGTACATGTACTGTTGTGAACTGTACTGTAATATGTTGAGGAATTTGATAACCAGATAACACACCCCTAAACCCCAACAGTACAGTGATATGCACACTGCATTTTGCTCCATCATTAGAACTTGTTTTGAAATTGGAGAATTTGGAGCGCTGCTACGACAAGTAGAACCAACTTGCAACCATCGCCGATACCTCCTATGCGACGCAGTTATTTATGCGAACGGCCATGAGACTCAAAACACTAGGTCGCAGATTCGTCGCGTCATGGCAAGCACACCCGCTCTGCGTTGCTACTTCATCTCCATGACTCTCGATTTGTGAATGGGATCTTGGAAGATATACCGGATATTATCCGTATGAAGCTCGTGCCGTTCTCAAGAAACTGCCACAATGAAAACGCTCGAGGCGCGGAATTAGGTCGGGTGATTGTAAGCCATGGGAAACTCAATGCACAAGGACAAGCTCGCCCTATCCTTTGGAGGTGCGTAGTTCTCTTCCACTCGTCACGACCTTGGGCCTACATGCTGCATGACAACAGGTCCAGGCGTCCCTGAAACAGACATGTCCAAGGTTGATGGCGCAGTGCGGGAGCTCTATGTCAATGCCACTCGCCTGGTTGAAGAAAATAAGCACACATTGAGCAAGATTGAAGACTACAAAGGATGTCAGGAGCATATTCGCAAGGTACAGCGCACGACCAATGGCATGTTGGTCACGGTGGCGTAGAGCATGTCGTCGCCCACAAACGAATCGTACAGGCGAGACAGTTTGAGCCACTTGATCCCAAACGTTGAGCTCATCCAGGACTTTTACAACGCCGCGCACAACCAAGGTACGACGGAATGTCACGGTCCAGCTCATGCGCATGTAGGCGTGGTGTTCCATGAGCTCGTATCCATGCTGGCAGGACGTGGTACGCCCTTGGGTGGTTGGAGCAATGCTTAATCATGACTTCAGGCTCACAAGCCCACCCTGCGCTGTATAAGCGACTGGCCGACGTGCTGGTGTTTTGCCTCACGTTCGACACCCTCAAAGTCGGCACAACACTCGACCGTTCGTTCTTTCATCATCATGTGGTTGTGTCTTTCCAGGCCACGAATCCGAGCATCCAGAACGACCTGAGCCACTACCGCCGGTACATTGCCGCCAACAAGGACAACCAGTCCGACCTGTATGTCCATCTCTTGCATTTCAATGACTAAAACTGTCAGTACCCAGTGTTCCAGAGACCATGGCCAACAGCCTGTCGTTCTTTGTCGCAGATCACATGCCCATGCTCAAAGCCATCATCCACACCCTTCACGACGACAACGTAATTTGCCATTCCTGTTGAAATCATATGATGTACTTCATATGTATCCCATGTGACAGAATCCCCACACCCGACGGAGTGTGGCTCAACTGGCCAACTTGACCTGCACCTACGTCGTCTCCCATAGGTACTAACTAGTACCTACTTACGTGCAGACCATGTTCGTCTTCTACTGAGTATGATTACATATATTTTCGTTCATATGGTCGTAGAGATAGGTTGGACGCGGCCACGGAACTCTACTGCTTGCGCGCCATGACGGCCGCCATCTTGGTATACGACCACACGAGTGAAAAGGGCGCCTTCCGCACCAAGTCCACCGTCAAAGTAACTAGACATTTTCAACTGCATTATATCAAGAACTCGTTGGAATAGATCAAGCAATGCGTCCAGGCGTTGCAAGCCGCCAAGAAGGACAACGCGGCGGTGGCGCCGCTGCAAGACTGCCTCCAGTACCTGAGCAGGCACTTCAACGACACGCAAACCCCCCATCGGATTCGAAGCATGTTTGAATAAACAGAAACCCGTCAGTCAGCACATGGGGCTGCTCACGGCATCATCACATCCATCCGACGGACTTCGACTTCGTTTGCGGCTGCTGGGTTGGATCCCGTGCTCGGTGACTATAGTTGGTATCGATGAGACCATCTTTTGTCAGGAACGAATGATGAATACCTTCAAAGTGGGCCATGGACGGCCCTTCGGAAATGGATTTCACCACTTGCACCGCACGCGTTTGATGCTAACGTCATGATCGAGTAACTTGGAAGGAGGGTAGTAGTAGGTACTGACTGCAGTAGGTACTACCTACCTCCCAGCCGAGCAGCAGGCGCGTAGAAATCGCATGCGACCACGCTTCCCCTACGTTTATCCAGTCGTTCATTCCATGGTCATACTCAGTGCGTTGTTCACACCAAGCGCCGGCACAATCGTCGAGTCCGAGCCAGGAAGACCCACGGATGTAGTCACGTGGTTGACTAGAACGACCTATGATATGAAGCCAGTGAGTCACAGTAAGACGCTGGGGGCGTCACCGCGATGGGAAACTCGCAGACGAGTTTGCGCAGGACGACTGTCATGTTGTGCAGCGCTCGGGCGCGGCCTTGCATCTCGTCAAACGCGTGGCGGCAGTGGAACGCCGCGCTGTCCAGCAGCACCAAGCGAACCTACGACGCATGCCTTGAGCCAGTCGCTCGCTCATTTCGATGAAGAACAAGGAACACCTTGGGTCGACTGGCCAAGTGCCGCGAGAGAGACACCAGCACGTCGTGCTGTTCCTGGTAGTCGTACACTCGAAAGTACGTGATGCCGCGGAGCAAGTCCTCCTTCGTCTATAGAGCATGAAGTGTAATGATGCAGCCTCATATACGATGAATGTATATACCAGGGGGGGGGTTCCAGTGGGCACGTCGTCGCGGCGTGCGATCGCCATGGACTGTGCTAAGGACACGATTCGAGGCACCAAGAAGCTGCCTTCCGTGTCTAGATGACCATGACTTGGAGTTGCCTCTTGGACGTGAACAACGTACCAATGTAGATGGATTCTGCGGATGCCGACGCGCCGCAGTATTGAGCGCATAGAGCCAAATGCATGCTATGTCCTAGTGTTAAGCAACGATGCAAGCAAGCAGTCGACGCACCTCAACTGGGTCTTGCCCACGCCAGGCACGCCGCCTAACATGACCCCAGCACGATGATATTGATGCCACGATGTTGCTTTGCGTACATATTTCAGTGATTTCCCCGACGGCAACTCCGCCCCCCAAGATGTCATCGAGGTCGGGAATGAACGTTCGAATCCGCTTTTGCTGTAGGGATTGCTGTACCTTACATGTTATTGTTCGCTTTGTACAGGGATGGGTACTTGAAAGACGTCGAATGCAGACACACCCATGGGAGCTCGTCTTCCTCCACGGACAGTACTGAGGACGCCAGCTGCATCTTGGAGGGATATGCTCGCAACTACATGTCACTTGGGTAGTTCCCACGCTCAACATCGCTATAGACGCACCATTTGCCAGCTCGCGCGAGTTTATGCCTTCGACGTCTTGGCTGGTGTGGAATCCGGCTTGATACAAGGCAGCTAGACCAATGTATGAGGTTCATACCATTACACCTTCGGTGCTCGTTCTATCCATGCTCTTACCCAGGATCGACGGCGCGATGCTTAGCATTCCTAGCGCTTGTGTCCCCGCCATTTTCACCTCAGCGAAATCAACCTCCTTTATCCGGATAATATTCCTATTCGGATTCAGGGCTAGAGAAGGTACAGCGCCTCGAACATCCGAAGCCCATGCTAACTCGTACAGTGTGAGATCTCTCAAGTGATTTGTGCTGCAAACACTTGTGAGATGGCTCAAGATATTTGTACTGCTAACATCATTGTACAGGGTGCGCGAATGTTGTAGCTTGGGTGCTGCACGGTCGCAACGCTACTTGTTTGGGTTTTATCACAATCTGGCACAACAATATTGCGCTTTTTGATTTTACTACTCCATTTGCAAGTAAAACGTGCGTCTTTATTCATTTAACCCCTTCATGCTGTTAAAACGAAACCATTGAACTGACAACTGTGAGTCCCGTAGCAGTCACAAACATGATCTTCGGTCGCAGGCTCTCGTTCGACGAGGGAAGGGATGACCAACGAAACGTGTGCAGCAGTTCCCACCGCATGCCTCCGTCCTTGGTCATCGAGCGATTCAAGGAGCGGCGTCACAACGACGACAGCCACAAACAAGTGGACATGGTCGTTCAATCGGACGACCTGATGGAGGTTTTGAAATCCCCGACAACATGCGGGCGGCGGTCCGAGCGAGCTGGCAGCGGCGGGACAGGGACCTCCTCGGCCGCTTCGACTTCAGCTGGGACGGCCAGGGTGACCCTAAACTGCTCGAGTACAACGCAGACACGCCCATGATTCTCGTGGAAATGGCCGTGGGCCAGCGCCTGTGGTGGGACCACGTGCATCGCAAGGAGGACGAGGCTAGCCATCGAATAAAATGGTGCTTCAATACGATTGAAAATCAGCTGGCGGTGGCGTGGCCGCGGGTGGTGCCACCCAAGACGTCGCTGTGTGTGGCTGGGACGAATGCCTCCGTGGAAGAGCAAGAGCATGCGGCGTTCGTGGCTAAGACCGCCGCCGCCAGTGGCATCGCCGTGACGTTGGCGGGCATGGACCAGTTGAGTGTCGCAAACGGCAAAGTGGTGACCACATGGGACAACACCCCCGTGCCGTGCGTTTGGAAGCTCTATCCGTAGTACGAGTGGCTCGCCGAAGAATCGCTGGGGATCGACCTGTTTGCGGACGACGGCTCCATGTCCTCCAGTGACGAAAAGACTGTGTGGATCGAACCTGCATGGAAGCTCGTGCTGGGCAACAAGGCGCTGCTCTCGCTGCTGTGGGAACTGTACCCGGGCCACCCGAACCTCCTTCCAGCTACGTACAACCAACTACAAGCTCGTACAGGCGTTTGTGGACAAGCAGCGTGTGGTTGCCAAGCCCAAGTACGGCCGCGAAGGCACGGGCGTCGTGTACTCGCACGAGTTCGACAATCCCCACGAGTTTCTCACGGCGGCAATCGACGCGGCCACCGTGTCGTTGCCCGCAGAAGGGGACACGCTTGATCGCGTTGCCAACTTGTTTGGTCATACCAATCAGGATCCGACGCTCTACCTTGGCCATCCCGTGTACCAAGCATACCACGAGACGGCCAAGTTCAGCGGCCGGCGCATCGTCGTGGGGTCGTGGGTGATCCATGGCCAGCCCACCGGCACTTGCATCCGCGAAGGCGGGGCCGACACGACCAACGACAGCAGCAGCTTCGTGCCGCACTACGTCGATGTCCTGCTTGGACGGCAAAATTGCCCGTGTTGTCAGCTCGCCAGCGGGAACTGTACGTGAGTTTGTACCCCCCGGTCGACGACTCGTACGCCGGCCACGTGCAACGCTACTTTGGCTACGGCGGCGGCGGTGGCAGTGGGGTGCCCGTGACGTCGCCCAATTTGACGACTCAAAACGCAGCCCGAACCCAGACGCTGGGGCCGTCAAGCGGCGTGGCAATTCCCCACGATACAGCACGTCCGGACGAAGCGGCCAAGGGGGCGGTGTTGGCTTCACGACGGGCGAGATTGGCAGAGCAGATGGCGGCGGAGGTAGGAGCAGCTCGTAGTCAGGAGTATCAATCCATACAGGTTATTTGTGTCCTGGCAGACCGGTTGAGAATGTTTCGAAAAGGTTCGGCAATCACATCGTCGTGGTGAAAGGGGGTCCAATGTATGGGCGTTTTACTGGTTGACTAGGCTCTTTGACTCGGCAAAAGTAAATACTACTGTATATGTGGAGAATAGGGTACTACAAATATATACTAGTATCACTTTAGATGATCCATGTTTCACTTGTCACATCGGGGCTATTTATCGACTGGACGGGTCGACGACTTCTGGGACGCTGTCGTCCAACGCGACGCAAATGGCCGCCTTGTGGTGGCCGTTGTATTGCCGGATCGTGTCGCCCGTGCTCAAGTCCCACAGGCGTGCCGTTTGGTCGGAAGAAGCTATCAAACACCATCGCATGACACAACGACTATGAACGATAGACACCGTACATACCTGTGACGAGGTAAGACGACACGGCCGAGAACGCACAGTCCCACACCCAGCGCTGGTGGCCCTGCAGCGTGTGCAGCAGTGACATGTCAGCCATGTTCCACACCTTGACCGTTTTGTCCGACGAGCACGTGGCCAGGTACTGGGCGTTTGGGCTCACGCGCGCCTTTAGCACGTATTCGTTGTGCGCTTGCCACGACGTGCGTAGTTCGTAGTTGTCCCTACAAACAAGCGCCCCTTGTTACCATCGTTCACGTTAACGTCTATTTCGTACGAGCTTTTGGGGGTATAGGCAAAGCAAGTGCCGTGGTTGTTGGCGGCAATGAGGGTGCTCGCGTCTTTGGCCACATCCACCGTGCGCACGGCGTTTTCGCCGTCGGGACTAAACTTGGTCGAGCACGTGTTGGACGTCAAGTCCCACACACGAATGCATCCGTTTTGATCTGCGGAAACCAGCTCCGCCTGCAGTCGTCGATGACGGTGTTTGAACGTTGGAGGACTCAGGGTACCTGGTTTGGATGCAGCGTCACAGAGTTCACGGGGGCCGAACATTCATAGTTGCGCTGGCAACCTTGCGCGCTACATGATCCATGGTGAAGTCAATTCGTCATGTGTTTGGTATGCGTGTACCGGAGGTCCCATATCTTGATCGAGCCATCTTCGGACCCACTGAACATCCACTTGCCGTGCTTCTGAAACCCAATGGATGTGACGTTACCAGAGTGCCCGTCATAGCTCCGCACTGGGTTGGGGTTGTTGGTGTTGATCTCAAAGAGACGGATGTGGGGATTGCCAGCCGCGACGATGTACTTTTTGTCGGGCGTGATTTGCAAGCAGTTGACTTGCTACGATCACATGTCATTACATTGTGGTGCCACTGGAAACAAAACCTCCGTACCGAGTCGGGGTACTTCACCGTCCGCGTACATGTGCCTGAGGCTGCTTCCCAGAAGCGGATCGTGTGGTCATACCCAGCTGTGGCCAACACTACGCCGCTCATACTCGCTTCTAGGCCAGTTCAGGAAGAACACAACCGGATACATATTATCCGTACAAAGGACATTTTGGTCGTTCAAATGATGCAATATGGATGTCGTAAAGCACCTCTTCCTATGAACTACGTGCAAGGAAACACAAGCAGCGCCAAGACAACAAGCAAGCATGCAGTACATACTTTGCGCGGAAGCGGCGAACTGAGACCTGTACGGATCTTATGAATCGTACATTGTCGGTTTAAGTAAACGTCTTCTTGGTCATGATCGCATAAAACTCATCGGGGTTGATTTCCCCGTCTTGGTCCCCGTCCGCCCGCTCAATCATTTCCAGCAGCTCTGCATCCGACATCGTTTCCCCCAGCTCCTTTGCGACGCGCTTCAGATTCCGCAGCGAAATTTTTCCTGTGCCGTCGTCGTCAAATAGGTTGAACACCTTCTGGATGTCTTCCTTGGAATCCTTGTCGCTCATCTTTGCTGTCATCATGTCCAGGAACTCTTCAAAGTCGATGGAACCCGACCCGTCCTTGTCGATGTCGCCAATCATTTGATATATCGTCTGGTTCTTGGCTTCGAACCCGAGGGACTGCATGGCTGCTTTCAGTTCCTTTGGGTCGATCGTACCGCTGCCGTCCGTGTCAAATAGGTTAAAGGCCTCTCGGATTTCTTCGATCTCTTCTTCGCTCAGACCTGGACGCTCATACGTCTTCGATGCACGCTTGTTGCCTTGGTTCACACGTCGCGCCATCCCTCACCACGACTGTTTTTGGATCTGGTCGTGGGAGGTCGAAAATGGAATATTCTGGGTGTATCCGGATTCGAAGTTTCAATTATCCGGGTGTCGACTGGCTGTATCCGGATCCAACAATATTCACTTCAAATATTATAATCACTCTATTAGAGTGATTTTGCTATATTAATTATACTTCGAAGTAGGGGACAGCCAGTATATTCCGTGATTTGCTCAGTTAGATGCAAACATCCAATATATTTCGTGACGAGACCAATATATTTCGCACGTTCATTTCAACTCGCTCTGATTGGTCAGAAAATACTGTGCGACACCGTCGTTCGATCACTTTCAAACCTTCTCGATGCAGCACCTACGTCGATGCGAAAGTCCAGCAATGCGTTGGCGTCGGACACAGCATGGAGGTTGTACCGGATGCCTGGGATAACTGGGCGCTCAACGTAGCTTAACGCACACATAACTAAGAAACGACGTCGCTGTGTCGTTGTTTTGATCCTCGTCGTCTCCCCATAGAATCCTAGACAAATGCCGATCTTCAATTGCATAGGTCCGAGTCGACGCCGTCGAGCCGCCGCACATGCGTCAGACAGCATCCGAGGTAGTCAAAGCACGTATTTTATCTCGATTGCCAAGCGCAACGCTGCTTGCAAGGACAACTCCCACTGCGTGCGCACCATTGCTGGGCAAAGTGATTTCCCGCCGTGGATGAGTATCCGAATAATGTTTGCAGAACGCCAACTTTGATATTCCGCTCGAACTGCATTTGACACAAAAAGCATGGTTCGGAGCAGAACGCGAGCGGACACTTGCAAAACCTCTCTATTGTCCCAGTTGTGCCGTGAAGAAGGGCATCGTGATTGCAGAGTATACAGAGGTGGTGCCGCCAGCATTCACAGACCCGACGGCCCGACAACTGAAAAGTTACAACGCGCACGTAGCAGGTGCTGTCGAAGCCGTCGCAGGGCCATTCACGTCGAACTAGTGCCAGGAATGACATGTGACATTCAAATTTGCCCAACAAAATAACGAGTTTTGCGGTGAGGTAAAGTCCGAAAACTATGTAGCCTCCAGTTATCTCTACAAGCATCCCGGGCATTTTCAAGGGTTAATTCGGGGAAAACTGCTTAGTTGCAAGTCTGGACGCGGTTGAAAGAGCTGTGGGGGGCGTTGGGACTGCCTCAAGCTGACGTGGTGCCCCCACGGATGGCACCAAACGATTCTACGGGATGTTGACCTGTATAGTCAAGTGTTTTTCTCCTTTCAACGACGGGTATAACATTATAGAGTTCTCCCCGTTATCATAGGTTAATACTGTAGAGAAAACAGTGGCATGCCAATCACAACACCATGAACGTCCAATCTCACCAGTCCCACGCCATCACCACCATGGCCATCGTCCGCGAAGCGTTCTCACCGAGCACTGCAGGTAACATGAAATGACATGCAGTGGTGAACGCTCATTGTCTCCTCTACGGGAGTGCATTCAGATGGAGGCGGCCACCACGACGATAGCGCCGGCCACGACTCGACCAGCGACGATGACGACATTGCCCCCAGCAGCAAATTCCTCGCGGATCTTAAGACGGAGTCGGTGCGCTGCCGCAACGAACTGGCCAAGCAGGAAAAACGCTTCGAAGAACTCAAGAAAGTGCACCACGCGTCGATGGAGAACATAGTGTCCATTTACACCACGTTAGAGAAGACGTTCGACGCGCATTTGGGGCAATTGGAGGCCCATTCGAGTTCCTTACTGGCCCAGCAGCACCGTCTCGAGGAGCTTTTGACCAAGGACTACTCCGTCGTATCATCTCCCAGCAAGGCCAACGAACTGAAACGCGACGCCAGCTCGGTCGAAGCTGCCACACCGCCACGAAAGCGCTCAAAGGCGGCCGCCGCCTCGCCCACCCCAGTGCGCCTCCTTCCGCCGCGAAAGGCAGCTCCCGCGCATGAACTACCACCTACTCTCCGCGGTCATCCAGGCAAGCCCCCTGCGAGAGGCCGTCCCGCCAAAGCCGACGATTCTGAAGTCCACGATGTGACAGAGTTCGCGTACCATGGTCGATGGGACGTGGCTCGATGCGGGCAGTTCTCGGAGATCGACCAGCAGGGCAGGCGAATGCGGTCGACGTCGTCCGGATGGAACGTGGTGATTGGCCGCGAGCCAGCCGACTCGTTTGTCGTGCGCGTGTCTTTTCCGACCACCAAGCAAAAGAACTCGGTGGCCATTGGTTTGACCAAGGAGCCCAACTTCTGGAAGGAGCCGCTGCAAGCCACGCACTCGGCGTTCGACTTCAACCAGTTCGGCTGGTTCCTGAACGTCCAACGCGGCGCCCTGTGTTCGAAGGCCGGCCACGACAACGCGCCGTACTGCACGCGCTTCAAAACCGGCGACGTCCTGGCTGTGGTGCTGGACACGGACACTTCCACCGTGCGCTTCTTCAAGAATGGAAAAGACCTGGGCGTGGCCTTCACGGACGTGACCGAGCGCGACATGTACCCTGCCGTCATCACGTATGATCGCGGGATCAAGTTGGAGTTGCTTTAGCGTAACAGGTGAGTTGTAATGAGTAACACCGCTGTATATTAAGTCTGTACATGGTAGTTAGCAATGGAATGTAGTCGACTTTCTGTAGTAACTGTACTCTCGGTCAGTTTAATCTCAGGACTAAGCACGCCTCGATAGCCATTTAGCATAACGATACTACAGTACTATCGCTAGACCTCTTGCCAGTTTTAAAGTTCTCACCGCGTACCCGAGAGATTTTGGCACACGGAGGAATACTGTAAGATTTGGGAGTAATTCTACGGACAGTTTGAGCGTAGATGTCACTCGCTTTTCAATCTATACTGCGTTTACGTCAAGGCACAGTGCATTGATTTGTGCACCTCCTCAAATCCTCGTACCGGTATTGAACTCAGTAGACTACACCTGCATTTGGAAGTACTCTATAACGGGTCATGTATAATGTGGAAGCTGGCCTACTCAGTATGAAGCCATTGCGATGATGATGCTTCGGTGTTACGCTCGACTGCGTCTAGTTGTCCACTTGCACTGGGCTGACACTTTCAACGACGTTTGACGTCCTCTATCATACTTGAAGTAAAACGTCGAGAGTATTTTTTTGGATGGGATGGGCTACACTGAGTGTTTGTATACTGGCACTCTATTCATTCGACTTTTTTCATGCGTAAAAAATGATGCCTCTTCGATCTGATGCTGCTGCACTTTCAAAACATGCTCCGTAGCGACTACACTCTGCTGGAAGTGGCGATCAACTTGCAACAAGGCGAAGACGTCCTCGGCCACTTGGTCGAACATGTCGACGTCAATCTGTACTCCAATGGACAAACCCTCCTGCATCAAGCCATCGCTGTCGACAACGTGGCCGCAGCGACTCTCCTGCTCCGTTGCGGCGCAGACATCCATTGCGATGACGAGCGCAACGCCACCCCACTCCACCTCGCCAAGTCTGACGACGCTGTCTCGCTTCTTCTTCAACGTGGTGCATGTGTGAAGCGGCAGCGATATGACGGCGCCACCCCTTTGCACATGTGTGATTTGCCGACAATAGCGCACCTCCTCGTTGCACATGGCGCGAATGTGCATGCGAGGACATTTGGCGGTGACACACCGTTGCATGGTTGCAAACTGGCGCAGAAAGTGAAGTGCCTAGTGGACGACGGCGGCGCAGACGTGGAAGCGGCCAATGCCAACAAGCACACGCCATTGCATGTGGCGTGTAGCTTTGGTCGCTGGCAGGTCGCCGTGGCTCTCCTCGAGCGCAATGCGTCGCTCAACTCGTTAGACTACAGCGGACGAACTCCACGAGATGTCGTCAAAGCCGTCAGGTCCATCTTTGTGCAGTTGGACACGAGCGACAGGTTGGATCTCGATCGGACTCTGGCAACGCTGGACGTTTGGGCTGCTGGGCGACAACGTGGCCACGACAACAAGGTCATTTACGACCAGCTGGTGTGGCATTCACTGCGCCCTGTTTGTCGAGGTGTGAAGAATGCGCTGATGGATGCCTTGGCCTTGCCTTTCGATATTGTGAACCTCATTGTGGTGCAGTGGGTGGGGCCGTGGGCTGTGACCGTAGCGTGAGCTAGTGAGAGGAATATGTTGGATGATCGTTGTGCTACCAAGAGTGGAATGTCGTAGAGCGGCGGCTGACATAAAATAAGAGAATTACAGCCCTAAATCTGTCAACGTGTGCCTCTTAGACATCTTCGTCGTTGGCCCCTTCCTCGCCCGTGAACGAGCTCGAGAATTTGACGATGGTGCGACCGATGGCCCCAATCCACTCTTCCTTCTGCTTTTCGCTCTCGGCATGCATGTAGTACGTGGCCTCAGGCGTCGCCACCTCGAAGCAATACCGCTTGTTGGTCTTTTCTTCGGCCGATTTCACAGTGAGGCACTCCGAGAGGTCGATCACGCCGTGAGGACTCTCTCCTTTAACGCGACAGAAGTATAACTTGTTTCCCTTCAGCACAAAGTATCTCGTACGCCACTCCTTCAACCATACGCTGCGCTTCGTGAGTTCCCCTTCGAAGTCCGGGTTCGATAGGTCGAATGTGGTGTCCATCGTGAACGTCGATGGAAAAAATGGCAGTCATCGAATCATGCTCGTATCCGGATACGTACATTGCTGAAGTGTTCACCTTAACAAATGAAGTAGGATATGGCTACTTAACGTAAACAATCAATTTAAGACGCATCTGAGGAAGGCGGCTGGGGAGAACTTCCAAAGCTCCCCGCTCATTCAACATTTTCGACCTCTGAAACTTGGAGATTGTAGCTGAATTAATGGGGAACAACCTCATATCAATTATATTGGGTTTCGATGTATTTCCAATGACTAAATCAACAAAAACCAAGCAAGTTTGATCTCATTTTAACAATCAATTTAGGACGCATATTTATATCTTGAATAATGTATACCACTTTGCATATAAATTGTGTGGTTAGGTTATTTCGCCTCGTTTCATTGGCTCAAGGAAATTTCACGTCTTTTCATTGGCTCATGTACATTTTGTCTTAAATTGATTGAACCTCTTAAATGGATTGTTTACGTTATGCCATTTTTGTCATTTTGGAGGAGCAAATGGATTTGGGGAAATGGAGAAATTGGGAGAAGCTTTTTCTTTTGACATTTCGCCTCAAATGGCATGGGGCCTGAATATACCGGTAGGTCAAGGGTTCTGTTTTTCGAAATACCATTTTGTGTGAATGTCTGCTCGTTCAATTCGTGACGCAACTATGTTAACAGTTAGCGCAACCCATGCCTTATCCGTCATGCCACCCCTATGCACTCATAAGTCCCGCTAAGCCTCCAACATACCTCATTCCTTGCATAGCTTGACAGACACCTCTATCGTAGAACCGTTCGCGTTGCAGGAACTAACAATCCTAGCTCATGCGACCAAGTGTCGACGAACCAACACTCCAGTTGTCGAAGAAGGTATGATCCTCTTATGAGGAGATATGATAGTCCTATCAGACCTGCGTCGACAACAGCAGCATCGGTTGGTCGGGCGCAAGAGGTGTGTCGAGGGATGCCGGAGGGGATAGTGCGAAGGGGAACTAATGTGGCTACAGTATACATACTCTGCTTGCAGATCTCGCATCCAAGCATGCAGCGATGCAACCTCCCGTGTTCTCAATTCCTGTGACACTGCAACGAGAAATTTCGAATCTACCACGTCTGGCAAAAATAGCCTTCTACTCGAGCCCTAATTGGGATATGGCCCATTTTGTCAAAATGAGCTCAATTTTTAACTTGCACAATGCCATTTTCACTCCAAAAGTTGCAAGACGGGACCTTAACAATCCAAACAATAGGCCTCTTGACTGTGAAAACAAGCACAGACTAATTATTCAGATCTGCCAAGCGAATATGATACGCATGAAACTTGCTCTTGACGACTGGACCACCGGTTTCCTCTTGGGTTCGTAGCACATCACTTGCGTACGTTACGGAGATTGGCGATGTCTTGGCAAAGTCATTCCCATAGATATTGCTGCGTAGACCCAGCTGCAGGTCAAGCGTTCGATTCCGTTTCTGATCGGGCCACTCGACCGAAAAGTGCAAACTCGGTCGCACGAGGCACCCGTGCACTTTGCCGTTTACAAACAAACACACACTGCCATCTCTCGGAAGATCAAAGCGCGTCGTTTCAAAACGAACGTCAAACACATCGCCCACAGCTGCCCCGTCCTCAGGCCATATCTAAGTGCAATATATCACAAAATGACTCCATGAGCAATGAATGCCGTTCGCCTTGTTTCAACCTATACCATGCGAACTGACGCGCCGCCTTGGCCAAGGCAAAGTCGCTGGGTCATACCGAAACGGAGTGCGTCGGCCACGTACTGGATATCCCAACTTGCACCAGAGTTCAACACGGCGTTGAACATGGTGGACCACCGGTTCGTGTCTGGCTGTACATGCAACGTCAGCCCCAGAGTTGCCGCGATGCCAACCACCCAATCCCCCCCTCCTGCATCGTCAGTAGAAGGAAGGTACAGCGCCCGACACTGAAACTCGTCCAACAGCATGTGGATCACTTGTGTGGGCGTGGAAGCAAAGTGTACGGACAGGTCAGGGTGGGACGCGTTCAGATACGCCACGGTGTGGGTCAACGTGTGTCGCCGGTGCTCTGGAAACACGACATGATTGATGGCGGCTTCTTCGCTGGACCTGCCGGTGGGGTGGTCTAAGATGTGCACAAGCCGCTGCCTGTCGTCCGTCCAGTCTCCCACAACCAACCAGTCACACGAGGACACGATGGGACGTGCAGACGGTCGCGGTCGGCTGGGAAGGCCAAATGCATGCTGCCGATTGGTTCGTACGTTCGACAACGTGTCGTCGTCGAATGGATTCGTAAAGTACAAGACGTCGTAATAGTCAAGTGAAACATGTGTCGCGGAGGGTGGAGGTTCCAGGAAGTACAGTCCTTTGCCATACACGGTAGTATGGGGGAGCTTTCTGCGAAGGGAGAGGTCGACCTCGCATTGCCAGCACGTAAGGGCCAACACAAAGTCGTGAAAGGTCAAGTCTGCTTGTAAGATCTCGTCGACCGATGCGGCAAACTGAACCCGATACACGTCGCGCAAGTTGTCCAGCGCTGGCTCGATCACGTCTTGCACGTACAACGCGACGAGGTAATTCGACGCCATCAGCGCTTTGTCGAGTAGAACTACAAATGTGGGGCAGTGTATTCGACTGGCGCAAGGCTGACTGGTCGGGAGGCGGGTGTGGGAGGCAACGACTTGTCGGACGCGGTGGTCATATGTATGGGCTGACCGAACAAATGCTTGCAATTCGAATGGCGAGTATGGAAACGCGGACAGTTGACGCATGTGACGAGTGACGTCGCCGGGCTTGGTGTAGTACAGGATGTGGTCGCCCAGAAGTGCTTCGAGTGCGCCGTAGTGATCGTTGATCAAGATAGACCCCGCGGCGAGCACTTCGAACACGCGGTTGTTGATCATGCCACTGCGTCGCTGGCCGTCCATCGTGGCGCCAAGCACTACTCTGGCGGAAGAATACACACGTGGCAGGTCCTCAGGGGGCAAGATGCCGCCCCAATATGGCGTGAACTCTTGCACAAGGTCCCACGCGTAGCCATAGATGGTCAACCCGAACGGAATGGCTTCGCGCAGCATGGTGGTGAGATCTCGTTTGGTGCTGATCCCAATGGCATTGCCAACGAAAACAACGGTGGACGCCGTTGAAACAGGACGAGGGGCGGTGTTGGATGGAGACTCGGCAGCTAGGAGCATGAACTCGGTGTGGGGCGCATGGGGCTTGAGGAGTTCAAGTGCCTCGTGGCTGTTGGTGAAGAAGGCGTCCACGTCCAATTGCTGGATGGTGTCCAAGCCTGCTTGACGTGAGATGAAAATAAACACGAAGAATAGGTCGACCTGGGAAGTCGGGGTCGAGGCAAAAGAAGTAAATTTTGGCGCGCCCGTGGCTGAGGCGCCGGATTTCGTGGATAAATGCTGCGATGGCTGGAAACCATCCTTCGATGAAGACAATATCCCATGCATTGTCGGCGATGGAGCTGTAGTTCCCTGGGAACATGATCTGCACCATGTGTCCTTGGTCCTTGAACGCTTTCCCGAGTCCACGGCATGTCATTTCAGACCCGACTACAAAACTGTCGCTGCTCGAATGCGCCTGTGAGTGCAGTGCGACACGGAGAGGTTGGGAGCAAGTCGAAGATGGGAGCCCATCGCATGACATCTTTGTATCTTGCACGGAGTGCGCGATGGCTACAATAATGAAGCATGCCACTGCCACGGCATATCGAAGGACCCTCCATGACACCACCGATGGCATTTCAAAAAACAAGATCGTCGAGTAGATTCAACTTGATTGGTGTTATTTCCAAGAAATATCCACCAATGTAATCATAGTAATCGATTCATTGTTCACTTTTTAAAGCATGGTGCCTTCGGCTTTGGAGTCGTTCAGACTGGCGTCAGATGCGTTGATGCTTTGCGCCGAGAGATCGCCGGAAGTAGTGACAGAAGCAACCGTATCCAAGGTCTTGTCATCGTCCATGGCATCGTCGAGGAACGACAGCCGCTTTCTCACATCACACGACGGCTCCGGGGTCGGCTGAGGCGGACAGTTCTCAGGAACGATGGGCGACAACGTTGAGTCAAACAGTCTGCTCGTTGCAGGGGCTGGTGATGCATATCGATCTCTGCTGGAGGAATTTGTCATGGACTTCTTGCGTAATGGAGTGAAGGGCAGCGATAATGCCGCCATCTGCTGCCGTCGTTCCTGCAACGACTGCGAGCACTGCGCAATCGTTTCGGCGCATTGCTTGTGCAACAAGTTATTCTGAACCGAATGAGACGATACCACGTGAACTGTTTTCCTTGTCTTTGGCTGGCTGGCATAGTACGCGTCACAGATAAACTCGTCGTCACGTAACCACGTTGACTCGTTGAATACAGTGTGTCTCGTTGTTGTTGTTGGCTGAGGTTGCAGTAGTGGTGGAACATGTGGCGGGGCTGCTTTTGGGGACGGTAATGTAGACGACACTCCTGGACGCTCCAATCTCGGTGGAGGTCCCGGCCGCGGCGACGGCGGTAGCCGTTTGGGTTCCATCGTCGATCTTCAATCGACACCGCCAAGCGAACGTTACATGAAAACGGACAAACAAGAGTGTATGTCTTTCTAGCAAACGACATTCATGTCGACGGCAATCACCCACGGCGGCTCCTGCCACTGCCGCGCTGTGCGCTTTGAATTCGACGCTCCTACCAACCTCGTCGCCTTCGACTGCAACTGCTCTATCTGTGCTATGAAGCGTAATGTCCATGCCATCGTCCCAGCATCGTCGTTCCGCCTCGTTGCCGGCGAAGACCATCTCTCCACGTACACGTTCAACACGCACACGGCGAAGCACAAGTTCTGCCGCGTGTGTGGAGTGCAGCCGTTTTACATCCCCCGAAGCAACCCGGATGGCATTGCGGTCACGATCGCATGCATCACCCCCGGCACGGTGACGCAAGTCAACGTCCAACCATTTGATGGTCACAACTGGGACGTATCGTACGCGTCGTCTGGCATTGCCAAGTATTCAAAGTAATTCACCGTGCACGAACATGTGTGTGTGTATATATCTGTCACTATACTCGATGTCTACATCACTCAATCGTCGCGAATGCAAGCCTTCTTGGGAGAACCATTTTCTTCTTGGTCTTTCGCCGCCGCCGCCGCCGCGGCATCGCCTGGCGCTTCCATGTACCCGTACGTGAGCGCGCGCTTCTGCCCCGCCGGTCCCAGGAGCGGGCGGGCGTGGGGGTTCTTGAGGAACTCGCGAGCCAAGTTTTCCCCCAGCAGTTCCGCGTCGAAGCGCGACCCGCGCGTCGATTCGGTGATGCTGATCTGGCCGTCACGAGAGAGGAGCGTGGCCGTCAATTTGATCGTGTCGTCATCCAAGGTGGTGTTGACGCCCATGGAGATCTGGCACCCGCCCTCGATGGACCGCAGGAGACTGCGCTCTGCTTTGCAGCATTGCGACGACTCTTCGTGCGCAATCTGGGCCAACATGGTCAGAATCTAGGCCCAAATACGTCCAGTCAGTTGATTCAAAGGTCGTTAAACCCAGGGAAGGATAGGAACCTCTTCGTCGTCGCCTCTGCACTCGATGCCAATGCTGCCTTGGCCCACGCCATACCCAAACACTTCTGGGTCGAGTAACTACATAGATCGTTGATCAACAGTTAGACTGCATTCCCCATCAAAAATGAAGAGATAAATGAAGAGATAGATGAAGAGATAAATGAATAGATGGAAGTACTTGGTCGATCCGCTTGCCCAGACCCCCGCGACGGAATCCCGCGGCCGCCACGATGATGGCGTCGTAGTCGTCTGAAACAAATAAAGCGAGTCAATGATATATTCAGTAATTGATAATATATATATATATATACAAATCTTCAGAAGGGGAAATATAGTTCAATACCGTGGTCATCCAACTTTGCCAACCGCGTTTGAATGTTGCCGCGAATGGTCTTGATGGTCACATGAGGGTACAACCTGGACAGAACGAATGAGGACGTTATTGGCATGGCCAGAAGGGAACCAACTTGAGGAGCAATGCTTCACGGCGAAGAGAACTCGTGCCGATGATGCTGCCTTCAGGGAGTTGTCGCAATGTTAACCGACCCTGCAAAAACGTTGGTGAACGAAGAGGTAGGACAAGATGACAGTCGTTATTACCTCGGCTTTATGCTTGGGGTGGATGATCACAGCATCTTCGGGGCTTTCTCGCTTACAGATGGCGCCAAGGACAAGCCCTGGTGGGAGCTGCGTCGGCATGTCTTTCAACGAATGCACGGCGAAGCTGCTACGTCCAGCAAGCAATTCGTCCTACGCGTCATCATGCATCAACACAAATCTAAGCCAAGGCCATGCTATTCGACTACCCACCTCCAAGCTCTTGGTGAAAACGCCCACCCCACCCAATTGCGTCAAGTGCTTGTCCAAGACCGAGTCGCCGAAAGTGTCTTGGAGTCCAATTTCGAAGCGGATGTCCGGGTGATGCTCCTGGAGCATCGAGATGACTTCGCGCGTCTGGTAGAGCGCAAGGTCACTCTTCCGGGACGACACATATATCACCCGCTTCTTCGTGGCTTCATCCGTGTCGGTCATGGTGTGATGTGTGCCTGCCGAACTTGCGCGGAATGAGCTGATTGGCCCGCAAGTGATACTTTGCCGTCATTAGCAAAGTGGTGTCATTCGGATAATCGAGAACATTATCCGGACATCCAATCCGACATATTGTTGCTCCACTGTTGTTGTCCTCCTGTCATGGCCAACGTCGCGACGTCCCTACTGGGGCTCACGGACCACGAGTTCGGACATGTCTTTGCTCAAGATGGCGCAGTCTCGGAGTGGCTCTTTGATGAAATGAAAGCTGTCCTCCAGGACGCAGACACAGACGAGTTCTACACGTCACACCATGGCGACAACCTCTTGCTGGTGGCAGTCCGCGTAGTCGCGTCCGAAGACCATGGCCTCGACCTCGCACAGTTGGTGGATCGAGGACTACTGTCGTTGCCGCGGATCATCGCCATGTGCTCATTGTACGCCCAGAGCAACAGCCACGTGATGCAGTGGTGGTTACAACGAGTGTTTGCTTGCGCGCCACACCTTGCCAATCAAGTCCCCATGCTTCACGATATCTTTTACCACGTACGTGTCCTTCATTATGTTACAACCGTCTCCGTGCAGGTAGCGTAGGAGTTGAACCTCGTCCTTCTAGGCGCTACTGACCATTCACCATCAAGTGGCGTCCCTGAAGTCACCGTGCATCATCGACGCCACCCGACTCCAGACGCAACTGTGCGATATAGCCAAAACGGTACCCCATGATGGTCACGCTCATGCTTAGCCAAACTCGTCGTGACCAGATCCAAGCGCTGTTGACGAGCCACGACATGTTCCTTTCGATCCTCACCCCCCCAAAAGCCACAGACCTCGGCCACTGCTTTGACGGCCAAACGCTTCTGCATGCGATCTTGGTCTGCTATGAAACTGACCTGCCCCTGCTCAACAAGCTCAGCCGCAACGACAAGCTCGTCCCCGTGGCCCGCCGCCACGTTTTATTGGTATGTCGATGCAGTTACCTGCCAAACGAGATGGCGTGTCATGATATATTTGTAGAGCATTGGCCTTTGGCTGGACAAGACATTCCTATCCGTCCTAAAAAGTGAGCCTGCACAGGCAGAACAGCGCACCGAGTGGTTCTTTGGCGTGTTGAACTCGCTGTTGCACAACGCAGACGCGTCCGAGCCAGCGTCGCTGCTCAGTGACCTGTGCCGGCTGCTCCAATTCAAGGTACTTTTACCCATTCTTGCATCCTGTAGCCATATTATGAACAATATATATGATTGGCTGCCGTATTCTAGACCACTTGTCGACGTGCATTTGACGAGGCAGCGGCAGTGGACGACGCACAGCGGGACTACCTCGCGCTCCTCCTGAGTGAACTCCCCGAACGCGCTCGCTCTGCAAAAGGGGACGAACCCAAGCCGAATGGAATCGTCGATTCGCAAGACGACAAGGCGGCCATTGTACATTCGATTGGCCAGCAAGTGAAAGATATTTTCCCCGACTTGGGCGCCGGGTTTCTCCAACTGGTCATCGCTGCGTGCGACTATTCGTCAGATAAAGTGATCATGGCGCTACTGGAAGATGCGCTGCCACCGGGTACGGTGGTTCCCTGCCTATCGACTGTAAAATTTGGTTCTGAAGATTATGGGGGTTCTAGCGGTGGCGTCGCTGGACCGTACACTGACCAAGAACGATCCCCGGTTCGCAGCATTGGTGGCAACCTCGTCGTTGGCCGCTTCCCCCCCCACCGTCGACGAAGCCACACCGACCCCTGCGAAAGCGGACCCGACGCAGATTTGGGTACTGCATGCAGTGAACATGGAATGCAAATGATGATCATCAACTTCATGTGTTTAAATAGGTGGGAAAGAAGAAGCAAGCCGACAAGTACAAGCCCGAGAGCGTGCGTGCCAACCCAGAATACATGGCCAAGCAGCTACAGCTCGCTCAAACGTACGATATATAGTATATAATTTGTAAATTTTGTGAGGACATGATTTGAGTGATTTGTGTCGTAGGTACGACCAAGAGCCAGCGTGGACAGAAGAAACACATGTAGACGAGTACAACGACGACTACAACGATGAGTTGGACGAGTACGAGCCCTTTGGCGTGCATGACGACGAGCCGACCGAGTACGAAGAGATCATCGCTCGGAACAAGGTGGTCCGGGCACGCGAAGCGGAAGACGCGTTTTGGGAGAGCATGCGGAACCCGAACCACAAGCCTACCGCTTCAGACGACAACGACGAAGATGACGACGAGGATGGAGATGAGGGGGAGACCAAGCCAGCAGCACGACCTCTGCGTCAGGGCCTCGTCCCTGCGAAGAAGACAACGGAGGCTACCAGTGCCAACAGTCGAGGGGGTCGCCAGGAACAACCTCAAAAGAAATCAACACCGAGTGTGCTCGACAAGCGATCGGCGGCGGCCTCCCAACCTCCTAGTGCAAATGCTACTACGTCTGCGAAGAAAGGTCCAGCAACTGGCGACGATCCCAATAAGCAGCTGATCAACCGCGCGAGGAAGGAGCAAAACAAAAGCAGTGTGGCCAACCATAGGCGCAAAGACAAAGCGCTCAAGAAACAAGGGGGAGGTGGGGGGCTGTTTTAAAAATGCTCGACAAAATAGTAGACGACGACCTGTATCACGTGGGGTGGTTGGTCTGTGCAATGTCGACGCCGCCGCTTACTTAGTAGGTCGTACTAGGCAAAACACAATGAGATTGTGCAAGTAATCGAGCACTAGCGAAAGACTACTTACCGTCGCAAGCGCTGGACGAGCTTAGTGTTTTCCCGCTGTCGGCGTTTTACAGCGATGTCGTCTTCTCGAGGCACATCCAAGTCGGGCGACAGGTAGATGCTCGGCATGGCGACGCGGTCTTGGTTGGTGGTGGTGTCTGTCAATTGTTTTGACTTCTTCGGAGATAAAGTCTTCACGGGGCTAGCCACGGGACTCGTGGGGCCTTCGGCGCCACTGTTCAACAGCTTGAGCTCGTCGTTGGTAGCTGTGATGTCGTCCGCAGGTTTTGGAGTTGGTCTGGGGCGCAACGGGCGGCGAGGGGGCCGATCGGGGGACGCCAGATCGGGCAAATTGGGGGCGTCGTTGGCTTTGGAAGGATCCAAAACACCCCCTTCTGGAGTCGGCGTGAGTTTAAACGCGGCAATTGTATGGGATTTCTTCTTGAGTTTCGCAACGGCTGTGGTGGGTCCAACGGCACGCTTGGGTGAGGGCGACTTGTTGTCTTGATTTTCATCATTCCATGACGATTTGATCATGTCCAACTCGGCAAACTTGGTGAGCCACAGCGCCTTTTCCTGGTCGAACACAGTCATCGTGACCCGCTCAAACAGTTTGGTGAGAAATTTGGTGTATTCGTCCACGCCAATGCTCACGGTCCACAGGTCCGCCTGTCACACATGGCGTCAAGAGGATTTAACGATGCCGTCGTTATATCGTACCACTTCAAAGAGAGACTTGTAAAACGTCGACTTGGCCATGACCTCGCAGTTTTCTCCAACATCGCGAGCCCAGTCCTTTTCCACAATGATGCGCGCTTCGGGCACAGAAAACTGATCATTTGGTCAGTTCGGACGACTTTTGCAGCCGATTCATCGACGGATCCGAGGGGGGGGGTCGTACCTCTTGGGGGGGCACGAGGGCCTTGAAGAACTTGACAAACACGTCGCAGTACTCGAGCTCTTCGATCGAGGACTTGCCGTTGCGGATGCTGCCAAACGTGTCCCAGAACCGCCCCAGCGCTGCCTGCACTTGGCGGTCGTTCTGGAGGTTGTGCCGCTCCAGCATCTTCTCGTCCGTGTACAGGGCGGCATTCCCCTGCTTGCGGTACGACTCGCCTTGGTTTACGAGTCTTTCGTACCCGAACAAGAGGTGCGTCTGGGTCTTTGTGCACATGGCGGAGGTTTTGACTTTGGACAGCTGAGGGACAAAGAACGGCACGCCTTCGTCGATCTTGTCGACGATTTTGCGCTCATTTCGAAGCGAAGTCAAGTACGACCCCACGGAATCCCGCGAGTTCATCCGAGAGTCGTCAGAACAGACAACTGCGATCTCAACGTAACTAAGTTTAGAAACGCCTTTGGTTTCATGTGAAGGGCGTTCGGGCGTTACTATGTGTGTGTACTAACTAGCTCCAACAAAAGTTCCGAGTGTTTCCTTTCATAAGGTTAAGGACTCTGACTTGAATGAGTCAACGAGCCTAAAACAATGTGAAGCTAGTTGGGGCGTTGATGGTCGCCCATGCCTTTTCGTACTCCATCAAGGAAGTCCATCCCAAGAGTGCGTAAATGTCGAGTTTCTTTTCTAGAGCCTAGCACCGCCAATCCCTAAGTTTCATTCAACCTTTAAAGTCACTTTACCTTTTTCGGGGACATGATCTTGTCTCGTTCAGTGGCGTCCACGGCTTGCCACTTTTGAATGCGCTACATATCAACACATTTTATATATCTTTGAACATAATCATTCTTGGTCCATATATATATATGTACAGCTGTACCTGCAGTGCCAATCCGTACTGGTTCTTGAAGAGGTGATCAAACAGCCCCACGTGGAGAAACTTGGGATCTGCCACGTTGGCCCATTGCTGCAATGTCGCGACTGTTTTCTGAAACTCAACTTGCTTGTTGAGGTCGCCCAGCGCCCGCGCTTTGCGGGTCCACGCATCGATCAACATGGCCTTGTCCTTGTCCATGTTAGATTTGTTCGGTGTGGTTCCGGGCAATTGCCGCACGCCATAAAACGCCGTCATCGCCGGCAACAGTGGTTCCATCAACGTTTCAACGGCAGTGGCCGCCTCCACGACCTGCTGCAGTTGCTGGACGCGCTTCTTCTCGTGGTCGACATGGTGCAGCTTTGACTAGAGATAAAACGGTGTAGCTCATTCCAAACAAGTGATCCTTCTTTGTGTACTTTGAGGAGCGGGGCGTAGGCGGGATAACTCGCGATGGCTTTGCCCCACAACGCATCGAATGCGTCTTTGCCCACTGCTTTGTGGACTCTAGTGGAAATAAAATCACGCAGCGCCTCGTCATCGTCCGTGTCGTCGGCAGGTGGAGGCGACGCGACGACCTCGACGTCCTTGCGCTTGGGTTCTGATGGACCCACGACGTACGTCAGTGGAAACCCGTCTGGCTTACAGGCCGACCTGGTATAATATGTGACATGTCAACCCCAAACCAAGCAAACTCATCATGTCTGTACATTAAATACACACCCTTTCCAATGGGTCACGCCTTTCTTCCCATAGGTAACTCTCCCCGACAAGACGTCTCCAGGACTTGCCCCCTTTGGAAGCTTCTCTGGCTCCCCTACGTAAACTGGTACGTACAGCCCTTCTCGAAGCACCCTAGCCAGTCATCAGCTTATCGTCTATCAATAAACTGCAGGTAAGTTTGATCTGTCGTACGTTGAGGCCATGGGTTTGGACCCCAACGACGCCCCGTCCGACGTATCGTACACGGGCACGACGATGTCCTTGATATTGTGGTCTGCAAACAGCACCATGTCGGCCAATTTACCCAGGAGCGTGTAATCTTCATGGCGCACCTAGCGATATCATGTCAAAACAGTCGCCAGCACTTTATGAAACCCACTTGAGCTCGGACAACGATCGGTCCCTTGGGCAGGGTCAGTTCCTTGGGCATCGCGTCCGACGCCCCCAGCAGCTTTTTGTTCGCGTCGAAGGCCAGCACCAGCTGCGACTCGAACGGCGCGTCGTACAGTCGGCCGTTCAAGATGGGCAATCTCAGCACGACCTTGCCCTCTTCCCCCTTGGTGAACTTGTACGTGACTACGAGCTGGTACACGACGCGGTTCTCGGGCCACGTGCTTCGCTCCGAGCACGGCGACACGGCAAACTCGGTCGGTCGGAAGCGCTGCGTCCACGCGGTCAGTCTGGCTTGCGGGAGGATGTTCTCCTGGGCCAACAACGCCACCAAGTTGACGCGGGCGGACCCTTCGCCGCCCTGGACCACCACCTAGCGCATCGAACGTTATGAAAACGAAAGCAAATGATGGTGGGGCGAGATTGCCATAGATGATGACGACAACAAACCGCGGATGGGTCAGGCTGGATGCTGCGAAAGACGACGTCAACCTGCAGCGGCAAGGCCCCCCCGCCCGTGTTCCACATGGGTGCCACGCACACCTCGATCGTGCTAAGCGGGCGCACCGCCATGCTGTAGCCGGCGTCCGACGCGTCCAGCTGGAACCGCTTGAGTAACGATGTGCCGTTCGGTCTTGTGTATGTTTCGTACTGCATCAGGTGCAGCACCACCGTGCGGTGGCGACGGACGGATGGAAAGGGGGTTCCGGACACGACGCGGACATCTACCCACGTCGCACCGGCGGGTACGGCCAAAAACGCCCGAAACTCATCGCCAGGAGCGACGGTTGGCGTCAGCGTGGTCTCTGGCATGGCCACACGTGTTGGCTTGATCACGGTCACTGGCACGCGAAAGAGCGGACCTTTGGCCCGGTCGTGGCTGTCGTAGCCGAGGATTTCGCCAAAATGGGCAACTCCTGCGGATAACTGGTCCAGTTGCACGACCGCAGAGAACACGCGGCTGTCGTGAAACAATGCTAGCGTCGGGGGCGCCAAGATCCATGGGCGCGTCGCGATCAACGCGATGGACATGTCCAACTGCAGCTTGTCGGCATTCGGAGCGTCTACGTGAAACACGGGCGAGATCTTGACCTGCACTTCGACGCTGGAAAGGCCAACCACGTCGGCGGGTTCGCGAAGGCACACGCCTCGACCAAACGCGGTCGTGCCAGGTCGTGTGATGCGCACATCGTAGTACAAGGGCTGTGAGTTGCTGGCAGCGTTGCTGTGCTGCTTCAAATACTCAAACGCAGGCACGACTTGAACGAGTCCCCGGCCCTGGACGAACGAGTCCACGTGGGGCACTTTCACGGCAGTGTGCTCCAGCGCCCGGCGCAGCTGGAACGGGTTTGTATGGATGCCAACCGCTTTCAATCCGGACAAGAGCAGCGCGACGCACCCGGTGCAGTTGGGAGCTGACATGGACGTGCCATTCTTGAGCTGCTTCTTCGTGAGCGTCCACTGCGGAACCGACGTGATGGCCCCCCCAGGGGCAAACACATTCACGCCGAGGTCTCCGTCCATGGCTGGCCCGCGGGACGACCACGTGTACGCGCCGCCTTCATGGCGCTCCTGCATTGAGTACTCCGCGGCCATCATCGCTGGCGACACGTATGCCCCGACCCCCAGAATACATGAAGATAGCCCTGCAATTCGATTAGCATCCCATCAAAAGAACACTCAACCTCCTGGAGATTTGATCGACCCTAAGGCCGGCCCGTCGTTGCCGACACTCGCGACGAACATGACGCCGTGCTTTTCCACCAGTTCCTGGATCATTTCAATTGGACGGCCGTAGTTGGGCCGCGCCGCGTGTTCGCCAAAACTCATGTTGACCACGTCGCACTTGTGTTGCAGCACGGCGAGGATGCTACCCATGTGTAATCGCATCACGATATTTAGGAGATAGATGGAGCCTACCCTCGACAGATGCCCACGCCGGTCTCCGTGGCGCCGAGCCGACTGTCGCCAATCTTGACCGACACGATCTGGGCCCCTGGCGCCACGCCGTTGTTGACGGGATCCTCTGCATGGTACGCGGCAACGATGCCAGCCACGTGGGTGCCGTGGGACCCGGCGTCGCACACGATGCTCAGCACGTCGCCGTTGTCGTACACGTTGAGCGCGTAGTTGAGCTGGCTCTCGTCGCTCAACTTGGCGAATTCTTGCGCCACGCAGAAGTTGGCCATGGCATTGGCAGTCGAAAAGTCGCCCGTTCCCGTCGCATCCACCGCGGCGCGCCAGTAGCTTCCATCGAAGAACGCAACGCAGTCGTAGACTGGACCAGGGTCGTCGAAGGTTTTCACAGAGTCCTCGAGGACTGCAAGTCGAGCCAAGAGTTCGTTGCGAGCGTCAATGTCGGATAGGCAGAGGGTCTTGGGATCATGAGAGCGCGTCCACTCGGCCAGTGCCCGTTGCGTGGCGTTGATGAACGGGCGCTGCGACTTGACCCACTCGGCTTTGTGCGCTTCCTTCAAGCGCGCCACGAGTGGCTGGGGGTAGAACTCGTACCCGCGCTTATACCCCACGCGAAATCTGTCATTCACGGCATTCCAATCTGGATTCAGGGTCCATGTTGTTTTAGGGCTGATCTTCAACTTGCCGTCCTTGGCTTTGATCACAGTGGTCATGTCCACATCGCCTATCGAAATCTTTCATAGCAAACGACGATGGATAGCATGTGCACGTGAGTGCGCTCGTACTTGAGCCCTATGCATATGTAACCGCGTAAGCACAACAGGCAAGCGGAAGGGATGACATACGGTCGCATCCACCACGTCGATGATCTTCGGCCGACCGTCCGGCGTCCATTGAAGCCCTGGCGCTCCTGGATCGACCCCAGTGTCGAAGATTGCCACGACGACGTTTCGTCCATCGTACTGGGGAAACAGCTTGAGGAAGTCGCTCGCCGTTGTCTCTTGTTTGGGCACCAGCGTATGCTCCATGTAGCCAACACCTTTCAGTCCAAGGTTGTCAAAGGCAATCCTTCAGATACTTTTCACGTGATTAATATTAACCAATGAAACAGGTGAACGAGTGTGGATTGGCTAATTTGTTGCTACATTGAAGTTCCGATTTGATACTTCGAAGTATTTTTTTCGGCTGTGGATTCATCACGCGCATCAGAATTGAAAGTGCTCAACAAGACACATGCTGCGTGTGCTCGTGCTGTCCGTTCTTCTCGCGTGCTGCGCCGTCGACGCCGCCCCCGCTCGAGTGTCTGTGGACACGAGCTTGGACCTGCCGTGGTTCAGCTACGAAGGAGACTCCCATTTCGAGTTTGGCGAAGCGCTGGGCAAACAATTCCGCGTTGAAATCAACGACCGATTGCGCTTGAGCTCTCAACTTCAGGGCGTGCTTCTCCCATTTTACGCCACTCCTTTGGGAAAGTCTACCTACGACAAGTACCTCAGTGCCCACAACCACACGTTCCCAGTACGGCCGGCGATTCCGCTCTTGAGTCTAACATGCATGCCATATGTAGGATTACGTGGAAGAGCTCCAAGGCATCTCCGCTGGCAGTGGAGTACCGTTTTCGGTACGTACGGCAGTGTCGCTCCATGCAATCGAAATGCTCATGCGAGGTAGTAGACGTTGTTTTTGATCAACATCGTGGAAGAGTACGGCAACTCGATTCCGCTTCCGAATGCTTTTGAAAGCCAACTGCACTGCTCCGACCTGGTCCTGCACACGTCGGACGTTTGCGTCGTCGGTCATAACGAAGACAGCGGGGCTGGGTGGGTACTCGTCCTCTTCCTTCCCCTCATGCGTGCAAACAGTCACATTTCACCCTGAGAATGCCATCGTAGCGACGTCAACCGCACGGCGTTGGTCACGGCCAAGATCAAGAACAACCCTTGGTTTACTGCGTTCACGTACCTCGGGGACCTGCCCACGGGGGCGTTTGGAGCGAACCAGCACGGCGTGGCCTTCTCCATGAACTGTCGGTCCCCCTTGGCTCTTGATGCAAAGTGAACATGACATTTGGTAGACGTGGAGCCGTTGGACATTGACGTTGGCGGCCTCGGCCGTGGGTTCATTTCCCGCGACTTGTTGGGTGCGACGTCCCACGACGATGCCGTCGCCCGCATCACCCGACCAGGGCAGGCTTCTGGCCACAACTTTCAAGTACTGTATTTTCATGCTGGAAGGATGGATCCTTACTAATGCCATGGTGATTGACTGGGCTAGCTCATGGATGTACCTACCGCCCGAGTGTTGAACATTGAAGTGGCATCGTTCAACCGTACAAACATTCGCGAGATCACGGCCGGATCAGCGCCATTCTTTCACACGAACCAGTACCAATCCCTTCTCATTCGGTGAGTTCGTACGACTCTTCTTCAGGTGTCAAGTATGCCATCATTGTGTGCTTTGTTGGCAGGCAACCAGTTTTCCCGAGCAGCTACCACCGCCTGAGGCGCTACACCCACGTGACCCCCCCGTCGTCGGTTGCGTCCATCTTGGCCCTTCTCGGCGACCAAGTAAGCGAGCGTGCCATGTCCAGCTGTCATTCATTCGCAATCATGGACTGACTTGAATGATGATGTTGTTGTTCCTTGCAGGGAGACACGTCGTATCCTATCTTCCACGACGACAAATCCCATGCCAAGGGCGAGCTGTCCAACTGGACGTTGATCACGGTGCTGTTTGACGTCAAGAACGGCGTGCTGTATCTGCTGCGTCCGCGCGTGAACCCTGGCGAGGCCCGCGTGGCGATGGTTGTGGACTTGCTGGACGTGCAGCATGTCAAGCTGCTGCACACGGCGTCGGAACAAGACCTTGCCAAGACCAACATGCTCGCGACGACCAAGGCTCGTTCGTAGGAAGGACATGCGGAAGAGACTGTAGGGGCTCATGGAATTAATCCCATGGGCGAGAAGAGACCTATGGTAAACTAACGGAGGTCCAAAGGGTTTTTGATTCCAGGGAGTCAATGGAGATAGATACTGTACACCTCATTTACGTCATCACAGGGATACTCTTCTGGTTGTACCCATCCCTGGGAATGACCACGCAGTGTGAATTCGATGATTTGTATGGGCGGCTACAGCAGCCTGGCACACCCATTTGAGTCGTCGGATTCAAACACATTCCGACCTCGATCGCAACAACGTGCCGGCCACTGAGAAGAACGGGAATCTGGGACACACCAACATACTCAGCATATCACTTAGTACTCCGGAGTAGGTAGTAGTACTAAGTTACGTAAGCTTAGTCCGTTCATACCTACCGAGCCCTCCATGCCCTGCATGCAGTGCTGCCATGATCCGCCGTCACCCCTCGATGAGTGGAAGTGCAATCATAGGTACCACGGTGCTGTCCGCTACGTACGTACCCGTACGTTCATTGATACAAACAGCTTGATATTTAATGTACTTATTGTACGTGTACGTACGAGGACAACTCTCCAACGCGCCGCTCATGTTGAACCTTGGAGTTCACCACGAGCCAATCAGCGATGCTGAATTGTCTTAGACATCAATTTATCCAGAATCATCCGGATGATTGGATTTCCACGGACTCGAAATGAGCGGGGACTTCATTTGTGAATTCGCCGCCATGCCGTCCGTGCAATTCTCCCCCGCCACAGAAATCGTGCCCAAGCATGAGACCCTTGCCAGCCAACTCGTGCAGCTGTACCCGGAATTTGACGGTCGCAACACCATCGTCGCCATCTTCGACACTGGCGTGGACCCTGGCGCCCCCGGCTTGCAATTCACGTCCGACGGCAAGCGCAAGATCATTGACGTCGTCGACGCGACGGTGTGTCTTGAACTAACTACTCCGATGATGTCTCTAACCAAGACGTGATGTAGGGATCAAGTACGACTTCCATGAGCCAAACCATGAAGGATCTCACATTGTGTAGGTGACGTCGACATGTCGACGATTTTGAAGCCCACTGACGGCAAATTGGTGCTTTCGTCCGGGAAGGTGTTGACGCTCAACCCTGCGTGGACAGCATCGGAATTCCGCGTCGGTAGCAAGCGCGCGTACGAACTGTACCCCGACCAGTTGGTGACCCGCATCAAGAAAGAGCGCAAGGAGAAGTGGGATGCCAAAGACCGCGAAGCCATCAACGCCGTTCAAAAGGACTTGGCCGATTGGACCGCGGCAAATGGCGCTAATCCGAGTCAATCTGCGATCGATGCGCGCAAAGACATCCAAGCGCGCCTTGCCGTGCTTGAAGCGAACGCCAAGTCATTTGAGGACCCCGGTCCGATCTACGATGCCGTCGCGTTCTTCGACGGCACGCACTGGCGCGCCGCCGTGGACACATCCGAAACGGGCGACTTTTCGTCAAGTCCGGCGTTCACCAACTACCGCGTTGCCCACGAGCATGGCAAATTCAGCGATGCGTCCCAGCTCAACTACGCGCTCAACCTGTACGACAACGGCAGTGTCTTGAGCATCGTGTGCGACGCCGGTGAGTCTTGCTCGTAGCCTGTTGAGATTTCATGCTCGTGTTTATTGCAGGCGCACATGGCACGCACGTCGCGGGGATCGTTGCCGCGTACCACGAAGACGACCCGATCAACAACGGGGTCGCCCCCGGCGCCCAGATCGTGTCGGTGAAAATCGGCGACAGCCGCCTGGGTAGTATGGAGACGGTCCTTGGTGTCACTCGAGGGTAGGGCATGCCTCGTGTGGTCCATGGAGCTCTTTTGTGACGTACATCATTGTAGTGTTCTCGCGGTGCTGGAAAACAAGGTGGATGTGGTCAACATGAGCTACGGCGAGTTCGCGTCCAAGCATGACAGCGGCCGCGTGGTGGACGTGGTGCGGGACTTGGTGGAGAAGCACGGCGTGACGTTTGTCAGCAGTGCCGGCAACGAAGGCCCGGCGCTTGGCACGGTGGGGGCCCCCGGAGGTACTACTACAGTACCGAACATGTGGTTATGTTGGCGGAGATCCTCATGGGGGATGTATGGTGGTGGCAGGCTCGTCGTCGTGCATACTGGGCGTGGGTGCGTACGTGTCGCCCAGCATGATGCAGTCCGAGTACTCGATGCGCGACACCCCCGAGAGCTCTGTGGGTCTGTACACATGGAGTTCACGCGGCCCGACCTTTGACGGTGACCTTGGCGTCAACATCTGTGCCCCGGGGTGTGCCATCACGTCCGTGCCCAACTGGACGCTGACCAAGAAGATGCTCATGAACGGCACGTCCATGTCGTCCCCCAATGCCGCGGGGAACGTGGCGCTGCTTATCTCGGGGCTCAAGGGGCGGAGCATCGGGTACAACCCGTTCTCAATCCGTCGGGCGCTGGAGAACACGGCCGTGTCCGTGCCCACCGCCGAAGCATTCTCCCAAGGCCAGGGGCTGATTCAAGCGCTCCCGGCCCTCGAGTACCTGTTCAAGAACCAAAACGCGTTCGATGGCACCCACGAGTTCCCTCTCTTTTACGACGTGCGTGTACCCACCCACCAAAACAACCGCGGCATTTACCTCCGCGAACACGAACAACTGACCGAAACTGACATTGCGGTCAACGTCGAGCCGATTTTCCACAAGGACGCGCGCAACGACCATCGCATTCAGTTTGAATTGGCCTTGAAGCTGGTCCCGACCAAGCCCTGGATCGCCACGGCCGACCACTTGACGCTCATGCACCAAGGTAACGAGTTTTTAGTGGTGGTTGGTGTATATGATGTTTCCATAGTCTAAAGATGCTTTCTTCTGTCAGGTCGTACCTTCAAAGTATCGGTCAACACGGACTCACTGGCCGCGGGTACTTCGAATTATGGTGAAGTGATTGCATATGACACCAAGAACCCTGGTCGCGGCCCAGTGTTTCGCATCCCCGTCACTGTGATCAAGCCAGAGGTATATATTTATATACATATATAACCCCTTATATATATATATATATATGTCTTACATCGATCGTTTAGGTTATCCCCGTGGCCCAACAACACACAACCCTCCAGTTGGTCAAGGAGTTGGCCTCGGCCAACATTTCACGCACGTTTTACCAGGTGCCGGCGGGGGCGACGTGGGTCAACATCTCGGTGAGCCGCCGCCCAAAGTCTGTCCACGAGCCTGCGTCCGCCTTATACTCGCTGCACTTGATGCAGCTCGAAAAGCACGAACGTCAGAGCGCCACGTCATTGCGCAAGAACTTTTACCTCAACACGACCGGCCAAGTCACGCATAGCTTCGCCGTCAAGGGGTCGGCGACGCTCGAATTGTGTCTGGCGCAGTACTGGAACTCGATCGGGTCTTCCACCGTGCAGCTCGAGGTCGACTTTCGCGGTATCGTGCCCGACGAGCGCTCGGTACTTACTTGCTTCAAGAGTCCTTCATGTTTCGTTTGAAACTCATCAAATGCACACTGCAGGTGCATGTCGCCGGTGGGGCTGGCGCGACCAAAGTCAACTTGTTTGCGCATCTGCGGAACGAATCCATCGAGCCGAGCGCGGTGCTAACCAAGTGGACGCAGCGCCTTCGTCCAGACTCGGCGGTCGTGTCGACGTTGGGGTCCCGCGACGTGTTTGCCGACAACCGCCACGTGTACCAGCTCGTGCTCACGTACACATTTGAGCAAGTGGAAGAAGGCAAAGTCACGCCGTCGCTGCCGCTGCTCAACGGTCGGCTGTACGAGTCGCCGTTCGAGTCGCAGCTGATTTTGATCTTTGACACCAAGAAAAAGTACCTCGGCGTCTCGGATGCGTACCCTCGCCCTACGTCGTTGAAGAAGGGCAAGTACGTGCTGCGCGCCCAGGTAAGACACATTTGATACCCCATAAGGTGGATCGGTCTGATTCCACCCACATATGCGACAGGTCCGCCACGAAGACCCGAGCGTGCTGGACGGACTCAAGTCCATGCTGGCCTTTGTCACACACGACATCAAGGACGTGTCCGTGCCCGTGCACGACTCCCCCAACGATCCGTCGCTCAAGGGCAAATCGCTACCCGCCACGTAAGTGCAAACTGACCTGTTGGTGTCTCATGAAGTCAAATTGACGTTTGAACTAGTCCGCTCAAGAAGGGCGTGTACCGACCAGTGTTTGTGGGCGAGCCTTCGTTTGACAAGCTGCCCAAGGGCGCCGTGGCAGGCGACATTCTCACGGGGAAGATCACGTATGGCCGCAAGAGCACCGACGTCAAGGGGTACGTACAGTGTCACACATGCTTGAAAACTCATGCGATTTGCATAGAGTGACCCAAAAGCCAGACGGATACCCTGTCACGTACACTGTGCCTGCCAAGCCTAGCGTGGAAAAGGAACCCGAGGCCAAGGAACCAGAGGTACTAGTACTGTCGTAACATGTGACTACTGCAAATAGTGTGGATTCCAACGTGATGGCTAGGACGTACGCGACGAAGACGTGGTGGCCGACGAAGCGGTGCGCGACTTGCTGGTTAAGCGCCTGGTCAAGTTGCAAGGCAAGGACTCGTTCTTGGGTCACTGGACCAAACTGGTTGCAAAGTACCCGACGCATTTGCCCCTCCTTCAGGTACACCTTCATCGTGAAGACGTCGTCGTTTCAGTGACTCACATCGGTTGCTCGTATACTAGACGCGAGTACACCACTTTGACAACGACAGCAGCAAGCGCCGGTCTGCGCTCAAGGACATCGTGGACGCAGCCGCCGCGATCGTGTCGGCCGTCGACACGCAGGCACTGGCGGCGCACTACGGCGTGAAGCTCCTTCCTGGGGACATTGCCCAAGCCAAGCTCCGCAAGGACAAGGACGCCGAAAAGGCGGCGCTGGTGGACGCCCTCTCCCGCCAAGCTCGCGCGCTGGGGGACCTCAAGGACGAAGCCGCGTTCGTGCAAGTGTTCCAGGCGCTGCAGAAGTGGGTCGACACGGAAGACAACCAGTACGTGTATGCGGCCGTGCACAACGATTTGCGTCAGGGCCACAAGGGGTTGGCCCTGAAGCGGCTGCAAAAGGTGTCGGAGCTACCATCGGACGACCTGGAAAAGATCATTCCATTGAAAGAGGTGCGCACTGCAATGATCTATATCTATGGACGTTGATGGATATAATAAGCACAACTGACATTGCATTTGTAGGTCCAAGACATGCGTGCGCAATTGTACACGGAATTGGGCTGGACCCACTGGGTCGAGTACGAAAAGAACTGGAAAATCCTCAACAACCCCGCCTCATACGCGTTGTTCTAAGGGGGTCGGTTGGTCCAGTGTAATCTTGCTGTGAAAGTCCTATCTTCTAGTAGTAATAATGTGTAGTAAATGCACCATTTAGTCAACAAATCTGTGTTAAAGTCATAGATGGGGTTGGCTATATATATTATATCAAAAGCCCGCTTGGCCACTTACTTGCATGTTCAAGTGACGCTGATCCTTAACTGTCATTGTCCAGTTGATAAGGCAATTTCTCGGGGGCAGTAGGTGCTGGGTCGTTCTCAAAGTACGCATGGGCGAGGGCTTCGGCGGCCGTGATGCGCTCGGAAGGATTGTACAGCATGAGCTGCCTTAGCAAGTCCAACGCGTCGTCGGAGGCGCCGCTGAAGAGGGTGGCCAGAGGCGGCGCTTTGTTGGGGGTGAACTCCAAGTAGTTTGGCAGCGACGACATGCCGGGCCACTGATCTTCCGTGGGGGTGCCCAACGCATGAAAGATCTTGCCGAGTTGGTCCAAGTCGTTCTGGCCCGTGAGGAAGGGCGTGCGCAGCATCAGCTCGGCAAAGATGCAGCCGACGCCCCACATGTCGACGGCGCCGCTATACTCGCGCGCGCCGAAGAGCAGTTCGGGGGGTCGGTACCAAATGGTGCACACCTCGGACGTCATGTTGCGGTTGGGACTGCCGTAGATGCGCGCAAGACCGAAATCTGCCAATTTGATCTGTCCGTCGCCGCCGATCAGCAAGTTCTCAGGCTTCAAATCGCGGTGCAAGATCCAGTTGGAGTGGATGTGGTCCACCCCTCGAAGCAGCATCTGCATGTACGCCTTGATGTCGCCACGGGAGAGCACGATGGACTTGTCCTTGATCACATCGTCCAAGTTTTTGGGAAGGATCTCAAACACAACGTTGATCGTGTCGTTGTACACGAACGCGTCCAAGAGGCGTGTCACGTTGGGGTGGTTTAGCTCCGTCTGCAGCTTCACTTCCCGCACGGCTGTAAAGTTCACCCCGTCCTTGAACTGCCCACGCTTGAACTCCTTGATGGCCACCGGTCGACCTGTCGCCTTCTGCACTGCAGAGTACACGTTACCGTACGTCCCTTCGCCCAACTTCTTGCCCTTCGTGTACCGATTCATGGTCGTAGATCACGAAAATGCGCTCGACACGACATGCACCCACATAAGGGTATTTGATTGGCTCATATATTTATATTTTATCCAATCAAATGATTAAAAATCGTTTTCTCTTGACAGAATACTTTTGACAATATTATTTATTAATCACAGTACTGGAGACCCATCTGGCAACATCTACTTCGAAGTATTGTGCTTTCGAGTGAAATTTCGTGTTGTGGTGTAGTTTCTCGTTGGAATTTAAATCGATTCGATTAGCCACCTCAGATGAGCTCAAAATTATTAGCCAATCAAAACCGTCTCAATGAAATTCAACCAATCAGATCGATTGTGGATCAGTTTGGTCGGCGCGATTCGATTGCACCCCCTCCCCAAATTTGTATCAATTCGACAATATTCCATTTTCTCTCAAAATGGGATTAACCAAAACGCCATTTTCAATATGGAGGTAAAAGGTCCATTTTATAATATGGCGTTTTGGACCTCTTGAACGAGTAAATCCTACGTGAAAGTATTTATTGGATTTGGGTTAAAACTATTCAAGCACGACTTGTTTCAATTTTGATCAATTTTGTTGAATTTGGCCCCAAAATGGCGTTTTGGGCCAGAATAGTACTGAAAATATTTCAGACCTTGACCTTTCAAGAATATGTTGTTTTGTCTTATAAATGGTCGTCTCTGGTATTAAAAGAAAATGCCACCGTGGTCGTCGTCTTCTTGAATGTGGCTAATATAAACATCGTACGTGGACGCCGTGGCCGAACGTCGAAAGTCCGGCTTCGGGTCAGCGGCCGTGATGGTCGACAGACTGGTCATGGACATCGATTGCTTGGCACTCTTCATGGAGCTACTAAATCCGCCAAGCGACGGAGGGGGGAACGAAGGAGGCACAACCGACCCTCCGACGACTGGCGTGGAGGCCTCCGGGACGACCGACGTGTCCAACCACCTACTGACCCCATGTCAGCATCATATTTGTAACGTCAGTAGTACTATTACCGATGATGGTCCATCGCTCTCAGGTCGTTCATCGACAGGTTGCGGTTGGATGTGGTCGTAACTTTTGTGAGAGCGTTCAGCACCTCTGTGACTTGATCCACGTCGTTCAAAAAGTGTTTGGCGGCGCTGGGCTTCTTGCCCACCGTGACCGTGAACGTCTTGGGCAGATTGCGCTCCTCCAAGTAGCTGAACATAAACTCGTCCGACAGGTCGTCGCCAATGCACAGCACATAGTCCACAGGGCTGCCCCCTCGGCTCTCGAGCGACGACAGGATGCGGTCCACCATCACACCCTTGTCCACGCCTTCCGGACGCACTTCCTATATCTCCTCCATGAACCCTCTTTTTGTTCACGTACAATCGACTAGTACCAGGTAATCGTTGCCAGGAAGCACCTCAACCTGATACGATTCCAACACTTGGAGAAGCTGTTCGTGCAGCTCTTTCGCCTGCAGTTGGCCAAACTCGGGGTCGGCATCTCGGTACTGCCACAGCAGGGCGCTGCCCTTGAGCTCAATATACGTCCCGTGCGTTCGCTACGTCCACACTCTCAAGCACAACCAACCAATTTTATCTATCTTACCTGGGTGTAGATGTCCATGACCGAGTGAGTAATGTCTTTCCACGAGTCGTCAAAGTTCTCCTTCGTGCACAGCCATCCGTCGTCGTTGTCCCCCCACCGGTACAGGTACCCGTGCTCGGCCGCGAGTCCGAGCCCCGGAACCCCCCCGAGCGTCCTCTCCAGGTCCTGGCGGTCCTTTCCACTGAGCACAAACACCGTGTTCCGGGGGTCGCTGCACAGCTTGGACAGCGCCTTGAGCAGTTCCGGCGACGCTTTGGGCGTGTCATGCTCGAGGTCGCCCGACAGTCCGCCGCCGTCGTCGCCCTTGATGTACTTGGAGAAGTTGTTTTGGGGCAGGTTCTCTTGCGCCAGTGTGTTGCCGTAGTCAAACAGCAGCACACGGCGGAATGTGTGGCGGTACGCTCGTACGACTTGATCCGTTTCGAGCATCTTGAACCCTGCGTGGAACTCGAGCATGCGGTAGCCCAATCCCAATCCGTACCTGCAACGACAGACAGATGCATGACCACATGACATCGTAGAAATACAACGGCGGCGGACGTACGTACCCCATGTACTGCATCCCAACTGTGGACGCCGCCTTGCTCGTGCGCTTCAAGTCGACCAGGATGCGCTCGGCCCATTTGGTGCGGGTGTTGACGGCGATGTACTCAAAGTCGTGCGCGTGGCGAGCGGCCTTCTCCTCGTCCGACATGTCGAGCGCCGTGACCAGCGCCTCCACCACCTCCTTCTTCTTCCACGGATTCACCCCCAAACTCCCCGTGAGCACGCGGCTGCTGCCGGAAAACTCCGACACGATCACCACCCCCGGGCTCTTGGTCACGTTGTGCGCGTACACAAACTCAAACGGGTACAAGCTCACGGCGTCGCGCACACTGGTGAGCAACTACCACATGACCACATCACACTTGCGATTGTGAGTGTGTGTATGTCTAGCCTTACCATCACATCTGCGACGTTCCACAGCGGCAGCCGGATCGACAAGTCCGTGTTGTTGAGCTCCTGGTACACCACCACGGGCTCGACGCCTTGCGGCTGCGGGTACGTGGCGTTGATGCGGTCCACGATGGTCTGGATTTCCTTGCGCAGCTTTAGCTTGGCCTCGGACGTGTCGGCGCCATCCACAATGCCAATCTACTCTCCATCAATGTATATTCACCACACGAATACTCTATAAAGCCAGAGGGGGGACGGGGGTGAGTACCTGCACCACTTGGACTGTATCACGATACGCCGGGTTGGTGCGGAAGAACTGCTCGAGGGACAGCATTTTGAGCGTGATGCCTTTGAGCCGCTCGACTTGATCGACACCCACGACGATCTTTTTGGCTCCGTACAGCGCCCGCAGCCGCGCAGTCTCGTGGAGCACTTGGTCCTTGACGGACAACCGGTCGACAAATGGGGGCTCGATGCCGATGTGGCTGATCGTGATGGCCACCATGCGGCCGTTGTACTCGACACCAATGTACCCCCCCGCTTGAGCGTTGTACTTGAGCCCGAGGATGCGGCGGCAGCTCGTCAAGAAGTGGCGTGCGTGTTCGTACAAGTGGAACCCTACACATCCATCGGTCATTACTATCTACTAGTAGTATTACTAGTAGTAGTACCAATGTGGTCGGCCGAGAGCATGCCTCGGAGCAAGTCGGCGCGCACCGATAGCGTGCGAAAGATCTCGGAGGACGGGAACGGCGTGTGGAGGAAGAGGCCGACGTTCACATATGGCAGGCGGCGGGACAAGAACGACGGCGCGACCAGCAGGTGCAGGCCATGCACCCAGACCAAGTCGCCTTCATTGTACACTTCGATGACCTTGTTGACGAAGATGCGGTTCACGTGCATGTACGAACTCCACGCGTTCTTCTGCTGCGACGGATTCCACCACCGCGTGGGGAGTTTGCCGTAGACGTCGACAATGTTGTGCATGATAGGCCACAGCGTCCCGTAGCAGAATGAGTGGAATGTCTGGCTCATGGCGGGGTCAATGAACACCGGCACGCAATGGTACGCGTGCATCTGCCGCGCCACCTTGTCCTGGTCTTCTTTGGGAATCACCGCGTTGCAGTGCACCATCCCGACCCACGTGAGCCGCATGGCACTGGCCGTGCCGTCGCGGTACAGCAGGCCGTTGCTCTGGTTCTCCTTGATCAGCCCCGACGGACACAGCAGGTTGTCGTCTTCCCAGTCGATCTGGTACTCGCCGTCACCGATCTTGGTCACGAGCACGGGCAGCCGGTGCACGACGATGATCACGCCGTCCGTGGGCTGGATGGTCAGGTTGTTGCTCTGCGGAGAAATCGGACTGGCGGTGACGTCGCCTTCCTTGTGGTGGTGATGGTTGTGCCGAGGGGAGTTCAAGCTGTAGTTGCCGCTCGTACGGCGGCGCTGACCGAGACCAATGCCGCCCTGGTTCAGGGGATTGGTGGCCTCTTCGTCGATGATGTATTGCTTCGTGGGTTTCAACGACTCGGCCTCTTCGTCGCCTTCGGGGATGGAAAACGACTCCTGGAGAAGCGAACCCCTCTTGGACCCTCGACTGCTGAGGTGGTGATGATGGATCGCCGCCCCTTCTGCGTCCGTCGAAGCGAGGGTGGCGCGGCGGTCCACGAAAGCCTGGCCGCTGCTCAGACGAGGCACCACCGTTGCTTGGCTCCGCCCCTCGCCATTCTCGCTGCTGCTACTTTGGTCGACGGAGCGTTGATCCAGCACATCGGTCACTTGGTGTGAGTCCCCTGCGATTGTGGCGCTGCGCTCAAACGATTCATACCGCACAAACTTGCCGTTCGAGCAGACCGCGTAGCGATACGTGAGGTTCGTGTTGGCATTGAGCACGACCGGATCGGCGTTGTACCACAATGGGTACATCTCGGGGGTGGTCACCAAGCGACAGCTCGACACGGTCGGAGGTCCCAAGCCGGTGGAGGAGCTGTGCTTGAGCTCTGGGGGCGCTTCGTCGCCCGGATCGCTGAATGACATCTTGAGGACAGGTGCGTTAGGCGACGGGGCGTTGAAGCTCAGGCTCGACGAGGGAAGTGACAGTGGACTGTGGAGGTGGCCTGAATCGACGTATGTGGACAGGGCATTTCCTAATCCCGCCGCATCCCCAACCACGTACAACGTCTCTCCGTGACCAAGCTGCGCATGCACTTGGAATTCCACGCGCGACTGTCCGCCACTCATGTGCATGCCGATCCCCGACGACGACCCCCAACCCACGGCATGGCGGAGGCGCTGGAACATCGTCAATTTGGATTATCCTCACAATCCGGATATCCAATTCTGGTGTGAGAAGGAATGTCCGGATACGACGAAGATCGGCCACATCACTCTTAACCGGCGAAGCGATAGGGCGAGCTGTGAAATGCCGCAACGCATATACGTTAGCGTTACCATGCCTCTACACTTCTACACGGTGGTGATGTTGTGCGCATTGAGCTTGGCCTTCAACTCGTCCCGTTCTGCATGGGCACTACAGTCCATGCATGGTTAATCATCGACCTTTCTCATGCGCCGTACCTTTCCAATTGCATAGTCAGGCTTTTCTGCATCATTCGAGCTTCCTGGGCATCTTGTTCAAGCCCAGTGATGTTTACATGCGAGTACTTTTGCAGCGACTTCACTTCATGCACCAACACCTTCTTGTGCTGAACCAGTGTTTGAATATGCTGCGCCATGGCCTCCACGCGACCCTTCAACTCGGCGTTCTCTCGTTGCGATTCTTCGTAGAGTTGCCTCGTGCCTTCCAATTGGCGGGACATAGCAAGGCATCGCTTCTCGCCCTCGGCCACGTCGATGTTGCGCCACATGATTTCTTGCTGGAATTGGGCACACAGCGCCACCACGCGCTACAATTCGACGTGTGAAGCTTGTGTACAATATATATATATGTCGTGTACGTACTTCGTTTTGGGTCCTGAATTTGTCCCTGTCTTGCTTGGCTTGATGAACTTCCATGTCCAATTCCATGTACTCCCGGAGTTGTGACGTCTACCAAGTCATGATCAATCGACTCCCTCCGACCACATTCCCAACCGTGGTATCCATGGCGTCTGACAGCTCTGTTGGTGCGCTCGTAGTCGGTAAAGACGTGGTGGTCGCCAACTTTTCGTTTTCCTCGACACTGGCGCGATAGAGTTGCCGCATGTTGTGCATGTCGATCGTGTGCATGGCTTGTTTCACCGTCAAGTCCTGGACTTGGCCTTCCAATTGCTCCTACAGTAGAACGTTTAATGGAGTCTAGGGACTGGAACTCATCCTACGAGGTATTCCGAAATGACGTCCACTGACGCCAACGCTTCCGAGGTCAATGAGGGTGTTGTAAACTCCTTCTTGAGCTCCTGCAAGGCGTTCTTCATCGCAAGGCTTTTGGATTGCGGGAGCACATGTAACTTGTCATCGGTACTCTCATCATCGCCGTCTTCATTGACAAATTCTGCATTTTCAAAGGACAAGTCGATCGCGATGTCGTCTTGCGCGTATTCTGCTTCGACATGGTGCATCATTCCTGCAAGTTGCTGTATGTAATTTGAGGGTGTTCTCGATCGGATAAACCTGTGAAAATCAATCCTCCGGTTACACTTCCACAGTTCCTGCAGCCGACCAGCATGAACCGACGAAGGACAGTGGGCATCATCCTGCTCGTGAGCATTGGGGCATGTGCGGGCCAAAGGCTAGCCGGCACAGCTCTGAATGCATGCGCCTCTACAGGAGATTGCCTTCCTTGCGCCAAATCTGAAATGGTAGGGCCGTCCCCACGCGTTGAGTTGTTAATTGTGGATGCAGAGCGAAGCGTTTTGCAAAGCGAGCGGGCAGAAGCAGGAGCTCCTGTGCCTAGTAAACGGAGTGAACACTACGACCTTCAAGTCATGCACTCTTGTGTCCACCACGTACCAGGGATTCCACAACGTCGTGATGTTTGAGGTAGATATCTCATGCACTGCATCGTTGTGGTGCTGACCATAACGTACGCAGGTACTGATGTTGCTTGTGCTACTCCTGGCATTTCAAGCACTGCGAAAAGAAAAGATGAAGCACGTGAGCTCTTTTGACATTCGAAAAGATCCCAAGCAACCGAGCCAGCCATTTCAAATTTGATCCTCCCCACTTTGTTAAGTTATCCAGTTGGTTTATTAACACTGCGAGACGCAGCCACTGGTAGAGTCGTTGGTGCGATGCATCCTTTTGCATGATGCTGATGTCGAAGGCAATGGGCAAAGTAGATGCAATCTACTTTGAAATCTCTATAGCGTTATACGAAATGCAATTCCATAGACGCTGTTTAGACCTTGGCATGAAGTAATAGCATACGCATTCAGTGGAAACGCACATTATCCTGGTGGTCGTCATGAGCGTGAGCACGGTCAACATGCCAAGTAGAAGCCCAAAGTTAGAGTTACAGTCAGGAGTAAAATGTTTGATTTCCTTTCTTATGAAATTGATTTACGTGTATCCCGCCAATTGGTCCAGTTTCGAGGGCTAAATTGATTGGTAAGCTGTAAAAACGCGTGGTCTGAAACCACTCAGTTTATTGTCGAAATATTCCAGGCTGCGAAATTGTTCGTGCTCGAGAAACATGGTACGGCAGTCATCGATCATTCATTTTATGGCGATGAAAGCAAGAAGTATGACGAGCTACAAGACCTTCGTCGAAGTTTGCACGTGTGATTTATGTGACTCCAGGTCACCGGGAAATCCAAAACCCCCAGCAAATCACTGTATAACGGCAATATCACTTGAAAACGGAATCACATATTAAGAGATCTCGTAGGTGAAGAAGTATACTGGTTCCCTATTCCGACACCACAGTGACTTTGACTACATAATCCATTCTAAGGAGGTATCAATTAAGAAAGGTTTTACTGATGGGTTCTAGAAGGATGCACGATGGAAATGGCAGTATTTTGACTGAGTTGATTATCCGGATACCGTGACGCTTAGATATTGTGCGGTTTCAAGCACTTTGAGATTTGGGAGGCAGGCGTGAAGTGACGATGGCGGAGCGCTTCGAACTTGTAAGTCGACCCCCTGCCACTGCGATAGATGCATGACTGAAGATGTCTGCATTAGAAAACCGCGAACGAAGTGCTAGAGCATTTCAAAGTGAATGAAACCGACGGGTACAACGACGCTCAGGTCGAAGAAGCCCGTCAAATTTACGGCTGGAATGAACTCGACAAGGAAGAGCCAACTCCGCTGTGGAAACTTGTGTTGGAGCAATTCGAAGATGCTCTGGTTCGCATTCTTCTGGGTGCGGCGACGGTCTCGTTTGTTCTCGCTTGGTTGGACGAAGACAGTCATGGCGAAGGAATCGGCGCGTACGTCGAACCCTTGGTGATCCTTGTGATCTTGATTCTCAACGCCATTGTTGGTGTGTGGCAAGAAGCCAACGCCGAATCTGCGTTGGAAGCGTTGAAGAACTTGCAGCCTGAAAATGCGCGCGTCCTTCGCAACGGTGTCATGACAACATTGGCTGCGCGCGACTTGGTGCCAGGCGACGTTGTGGAAATTCGAGTGGGGGACAAGGTCCCTGCCGACATGCGTTTGATTTCGCTCAAGACGACCGCCATGCGCGCCGAGCAATCCCAGATGACGGGGGAAAGCGTGAGCGTGAACAAGGAGATCGACGAACTTCCCGCGGGCACCGAAGACATCATCCAAGCCAAGTCAAACATGTTATTCGCGGCCACGGTGATTGTGAACGGGTTGGGTCGTGGCGTGGTGGTGAAGACTGGCATGAAGACGGAAATCGGTCAAATTCAACAGAGTGTCCAGGACGCATCGGAAGAGGAGGAGTCGACGCCACTAAAGAAGAAGCTGGACGCGTTTGGCGAGCAACTGTCGAAAGTGATTGGCGTCATCTGCTTGGTCGTGTGGCTGATCAACTACAAGAACTTTTTCGACCCGATCCACGGATCCGTGTTCAAGGGATGCATCTACTACTTCAAGATCGCCGTCGCGCTGGCCGTGGCCGCCATCCCCGAAGGGCTCCCCGCGGTCATCACGACCTGCTTGGCACTCGGCACCAAGAAGATGGCGGCGAAAAACGCCATCGTGCGCAAGCTGCCATCCGTGGAAACCCTGGGCTGCACCACGGTCATTTGCTCAGACAAGACGGGCACGCTCACGACCAACGAAATGTCGTGCGTCACGTTTTCGCACGCCGGGGCGTCGGAAACTGACTTGATCTCGTACGACGTGGAAGGCCACACGTACGCGCCGATCGGAACCATTTCTACGCTGTCCCCTGCCAACGACAAGGCCGTCAACAGCGTCGCAGCAGTCTGCGCGTTGTGCAACGAGTCCACGATCGAGTACGATAACGGCAAGTACGTCCGCGTGGGCGAGCCGACGGAAGCCGCGTTGCGCGTGCTCACAGAGAAGATTGGCGTGCCCGACAAGTCGACGCATGCGTCGGTCGCGGCGCGGCGCCAGTCGGACCCGGCGTCGGTGGTGCAACATGCCAACACGTACTGGCTGGACACGTACAAGAAGCTGGCGACATTGGAGTTTTCCCGCGACCGCAAGTCCATGTCTGTGCTGTGCGCGCAAGCAACCGACATTAGCCGCCGGGCCACGCGATCGACGCCCGCCACGCAAAACGTGCTGTTCGTCAAGGGCGCCCCCGAGGGGCTCTTGACGCGGTGCTCGCATGTGCAACTACACGACGGCCGCGTGGTCCCGTTTACGGACAAGGGGCGCCAAGCCGTGTTGGCCAAGGTCACGACCATGGCCCAAAAGAGTTTGCGGTGCCTGGCGTTGGCCAAGAAGGAGGACTTGGGCGACTTGAGCACGTACGACGGCGACCGCCGCCACCCGTCGCACAAGAAGCTCGAATCGACAGACAACTTTGCCCAGATCGAGTCCAACTTGACGTTTGTGGGGCTCGTGGGCATGGAAGACCCGCCCCGTCCCGAAGTGCGTCCGATGATCCAAGTGTGCGCGAGCGCGGGCATCCGGGTGATCATGATCACGGGGGACAACAAGCTCACTGCCGAGTCGGTGTGCCGCAAGATCGGCATCTTCACGGAGACCGAGGACGTGTCTCAAAAGTCGTTTACCGGCGCCGAGTTTTTTGGGCTGCCGACGGCCAAACAAGTCGAGTTACTCGCGAGCAAGGACGGCAACGGCATGGCGTTCTCGCGCACGGAGCCCAAACACAAGCAATTGCTGGTCAAGATGCTAAAGCAAGCGGGGGAAGTGGTGGCGATGACGGGGGACGGCGTGAACGACGCCCCGGCGCTCAAGCAGGCCGACATTGGGATTGCCATGGGGATCTCGGGCACGGAGGTCGCCAAGGAGGCGGCGGACATGGTGCTGGCGGACGACAACTTCGCCACGATCGTGTCGGCGGTGGAAGAAGGGCGGTCGATCTACAACAACATGCAGTCGTTCATCCGGTACCTGATTTCATCCAACATTGGCGAAGTCGCAGCCATCTTCTTCACGGCGGCCCTCGGCTTCCCCGAAGGACTCATCCCCGTCCAGCTGCTGTGGGTCAACTTGGTCACGGACGGGCCTCCCGCCACGGCGTTGGGCTTTAACCCCGCGGATAAGGACATCATGACCAAGCCGCCGCGCCGGGCCAACGACGACCTGATCAACAAATGGACGTTCTTCCGCTACATGGTGGTCGGCGTGTACGTCGGGTTTGCGTGTGTGGGCGTGTTTGGGCACTGGTACATGTTCTACGACGGATCGAACGACGGCCACTCGTTGATCACGTTCGACCAGCTGACCCACTTTGGCAAATGTGCAACGTGGACCGACTTTCACGTAAACAACTTCAACGGCCTCGACTTTTCGCAGGACCCGTGCGCGTACTTTACGACGGGCAAAGTGAAGGCGTCGACGCTGTCGCTGTCGGTGCTCGTGGCGATCGAAATGTTCAACGCGCTCAACGCATTGTCGGAAGACGGCAGCTTGTTCACGATGCCGCCGTGGTCCAACCCGTACTTGATCGTGGCCATGGTAGTGTCGTTCGGGTTGCACTTTTTGATCCTGTACGTGGACTGGCTCGCCGAGATCTTCAGCGTGTGCCCGTTGGATTTCAACGAGTGGCTGCTCGTGCTCGCGTATTCGCTGCCCGTGATCCTCCTCGACGAAATCCTCAAGATGTTTGGTCGGCACATGGCGGCAAGGGAATTGGCGGCGCGCTTGAAGACGAAGAAGCACCTCAAGGAAGACTAAATATTCCCACCGTGGGCATCAATCAAGCCCCCTAGATAACGCCTAGCTAGTCAGTCGTCTATGTGTAGCGAGCGACTGAGCGATCATCGATGCATGAAAATCATCCCCCTTCCTTGACATGAGTGTTGGTAAAGTGCCCATGTTAAGGTTACTACTCAGCGAAGCTTGGATGAAAATCACCTCTCCTTGCACGACAAGAGGAGCTATGAGCTGCTTCATATGTAAATAACGTATTCTGCCACGGGCGACAGAATATTTCATAGCAAATCATCCGCCTTGCGCGAATAATATACTTAATTTAAGTATGTCATGTCAACCCACCTTGGATTCTCAGAGCGTGTGTTTATCCGGACACTTTTTAATTCCGGACTCGTGGAACTCGCACACCCGCCGTGAAGTAGAACCATGTCGGCGAACAAGCCCCCTGCGAACTCTGGTAACTCGAAGCCCATCCCGATATCGATGTCGAATCCCATCTTGGCAGCCGCACCGCCGAATCCAGGACCAAGCTCGACAGCCATGTCGATTGGCAACCCCAACACGTCGATTGCGATGGCACCAGCACCTTCCGCAGCCATGGTGGCTGCCGCTGCTGCTGCATTGACCAGTCAGCAGCAACAACAACTCAAACGTATGGGTCTTGGCATGGGCATGCAGATGCCATCGGGGGCGAATTTGAATGCATTGCAGCAACTGAACAACATGAACGTGGCCGCGATGCAGTTACAAATGAACCAACAGCAACACCGGATGAACGTCGCGTCCGCCCAAGCACACAACCGTGCATTCAAACCCTCGAATGTCAACGTGAACTCCGCCGTGGCGGTCGCCGTGGCTTCCGCATCCACCGTTCCGGTCCCAGTAAACACGGCTGGGGCTGGAGCGCTCAACTTGTCGGGGACGTGGGAATTGGATCGCGACGCGTCCGATTCCACGAACGACTACTTGGAAGCCATGGTGCGTCCCTCAACCGACTTGTGATGGTCTTCTCATGCGTCTGTCGTAGGGATTGCCGCTGATTGCTCGACAAGCGGCCGACAAGCTGGACCTGACAGTGATCATTCTGCAAACAGCGGGCGAGTTCACGATCACGCGGCGCACGCGCATCTTCCTTGAGACCAAGCAGTTGAAGTTTGGCCAAGAAGTCATCATCAAAACCAACACGGTACGTACGCACACTCGCCTCTTGTTGTGAACGACAGTGCATGCAGATCAAAGTGATGGGCGAGCCCACGTCGATCAAGACGGTCACGCATCTGTCGGGGTTCCGGGGCATCCTGCACGACAGCCGCACCGTGGACGAGCTGGGCCGCATGCGCGTGGAGCTGACGCTGACGCTGCCGGACAAGGACAAGCCCAACGTTGTGATCACGCGGTACTTTAAAAAGACGAGCGACTCGACGTCGTTGGACAACCTACCGCCGTACGAGCCGTTCCCCGATGCCCCGTCTGACAAGCGAAAACGATAAGCCACCGACGTGTTATGCTACAGCTGCTCTGTTGTTGCTACTGCTACTGTGAAGAAGAGAGAAGAACCCATGTCTTATATTTGCTAACCACGTTAAAAGACATACAACCAACCACCCACAACGACGACGAAGTACATATATATATACATGCGTGTTGTGTGCTGGTTGGTGTTTATTCAACCGACTGGGGCTTGGCACCAAACATGTCGGCGTGGACATCGAAAGCTTCCAATCGGACGCGAGCATACTCGAGAAAGTCAAACTCGATCGTCGAGTTGCTGGCTTGAACAACGGCCCACAGCCCCCAGAACAAGTGCGACGCCAATGCGTACAAGTTGCCCGCGTCATGCAATGCGGCCACGAACTCGTCCAGGTGGTGGTCCTGCGTCAAGGAATGCAAAAGCGCCGGGCTCGCGGCGGCTAGGTACGCCTTGTAGAATTGCACCTACACGCCCCAATGAGTGACTGTGTATATGTACAAAACACTGGATGTAGCCAATCAGATAGAACCATCAACATCGAATTAGTGTGTGGTTTCAAATTAGTGTATATGTGTGACACCGTACGTACTTGCTTGGGTTGGGACGGGTACGCGTTCAAGTTCATGTCCAAGCCACAGTGCTCGCAAAAGTGGTTTGCAAAGTCATAGCCGCGGTAGTTGTACCCTCCATATTCGTAGTCGATGACTTGAACCTTGGACCACGACGGGTTGTACAGCACATTGCCGCTACACGTAGCAACCACCACAGACACGTCAGTTTCCCCATAGTGGCGAGCGACGACTACACATGTCCTTCTCAATCAGTTGCTACCTCAACATGTCGTTGTGACTAAACACCGATTCCTGTAGAAACGCCGTGGCCAGCTTGGCGATGGGGGAGCCGCGGAACGTTTCAAGCAACTGCTTGCCGTGGCCGTTCTGCGCCGACGGCAAAATCGTCTGCGCCCACTGCACACGCTGTTGAATCTACACCAAGATTGAGACTCAACCAGGTTGTGTTTGCATGATTGGACCTGCTTCAAGCGGAGACTGGCGAGCGCTTTCTGCTTGAGGGGGTCGTCGAACCGGACGAGCGACGCCAGCTCCTCAAACACGTGGATTTTCTACGACGAAACCCATGGTAAGTACAGGACCGACGAGGGTCGAGTCCGCCTCGTCTACCTTCCACAAACAAGGAGTAGTCGGAAACTTCATGTCCATCGCGTGCATCTTGCCCACTTCTGTCGCGATGAGAGGGAGAAGCTTTGGGTCGCCCATTTGATGCGGCTCCAACGGCACGCCGTCCACCCAGCCTTCGATGCGTCCGTTCCTGAATCGGCCGTGGTACATGGGCGCAAACCCCCGTCTCGACAGTTCCGCAAACGTTTCTACCACCCAATACACGCATGAGATGGGCAGTCGCGACACACATGGCGTACCGTTGTCGATGTCGCGATCGATAAACACTTCCGTGTGCTCGCCGTAGATCCGAAGGAGCACGGACTTGTCTTGCCACGTGAGGCGATAGAGGCGATTGGTGATGCCTCCGCAGATGATTTTGATCACAATGTCGTCGGCGTTGGCGTCGCGGAAGCCAGGGTATATGGTCTGGGCCACGTGCTTGCAGTCGTCAAATTCAAAGTCTTCGCCACGAGCGCCCACCGAGTAGTCCAGGATGGTATTCGCGTTGTTGAGGTATACGACTATAGGAAAAAGAGCGGTAGGCATGAGATACAATGCATTCGAGTCACATGGCACCTTTGGAGGCTGTCATGTTGGAGGAGCAGGAACGACAGAGGGTTGAGATGGAAGCGTCGGGCTTGTCTTTGGGTCGGAACGCGTGATATGTCGCGAGAATACAGACGCAGGTGGAGATGGCGATCACTAGACCGACGTGCACGGGGCGAAGCTTTTCGAGAAGTGGTTCGAGGCTACTGTGCATATCGTGCCAACTGGAGAGTGGAGATCCACGCCGGTGGGTGGGTGGCATATGGAAACCAAATTGCCACTTAGTGCTCTTTTTTCGTCCAATCCACGTGGTCAACGGCTTGAAATGGGTGGGGTTAAGGGAATTTGACAGGTTCCGATTGGCTCGCCACTCGTTTATCCGGACAAAATGTTGAAGTTTCGCTGACAAGCGAAACTGCTCAAACGCGTTGCTTGTGTTTTCTCGCTCTTGATACAAAGTCAGCAACTTCAACCAGACCAAGCAACGTCCTGAATTCGGGAACTCGTTCGATGTGTATGTATGTATGGCAACGAAAGGGGTGACCATCGGATACATGTAAATCTTCGGCCAGTCCAAGTAAACCAGGGGGCAACCTCACTTCTACGCTCGACAAGTGTGTACATCGATCGCTTCAATCGCGCCTGAACTTTACTGCATGCAATTTCCATTCTCTCAGGAAAGAAAAAATATGTCGCACAACACTTATTACAGTTGTTAATTCGTCCAGGGCAAGCGTAGATACTAAGCTTAGCACGTTGTTCATTCGTCGAGGGCAAGATGCATTTATGGCAAACTGCCAAGTGTGGCGACGACTATTATCATGCCGCAACCAAACACGAGGCCAGCGCAAACGCCATAGTATTTCCGAAGCCACAAGTACTCGTCCAGTTGGCGTTCAAATCGATACGAGAGCTGGCACTGGTCCAATACTGTGCCGTCACCTCCGACAAACCCAACAAACGGCATGCGCCCCCCACTGAGCGCTCGCCACAATGTGATTGCCACGGCTTCCATCAATATCCCTCGCATGAAATTCAACGTGCCAAACAGAATCAACCACACCCACCACATGACCACGCTCTCCAAAATCAGTCGCTCGAGGCCACACCCGTGCACTTTGCCTTCGGTGTCCTTGAAATCTTGCGTCAATGTCGTCACGCACGGTGCTTTTATCGACGCCAACGTCAAGTTGCTTCGTGGACACGTCCAATTCGACACGGCAGACATTCCTCGGAGGACTTCGGGCTTCAAGCCGCACGCTGCAATCGTCGATGCATTTGAGCCATTCGTGGTGGTCAGGGGAAGCAGGCACTGTCGAAACTGCTTGACAACTGCGTGAAGGTCGCTGTAGTCGTCCAATAACGCCGATGCATTGGCTAGGGTCATTCTTTAGAAATATATGATCAAGCGAACCACTATTTATTGTTGTGTAACCTACCGTGGGCCGCGATGTTCATCTTGTCCATTTGTAGCTCATACGACGTGCACGTGCGGTCGTGAATGGATTGGAGCTGACCAAACCCCTAGAACACACAAGTCACCAATGCAGTGCGTGTTGGCGATGTAGTAATACCTCTATGGCTTGAAGGTCGCCATTGGATTGGAACTGTTTGGCAACAAGCGACACCAAAAGCCCCCCGAGCCCCCCCGACGACTTGCCACCGTTGGCGTGGTTCGTACATACCATCGTGTGCGTGCGGTTTATGGGGATGAGAAAACCAAACGTTGCACCGAAGCAAACGGACCTGGACAAGTGGAGACACGATCAAATAAAGTCGGTCACATGTGAGTACATTATGAGCATCGTCCAAAGCAAGGGCATGAGATTTATCGTCGACAGGCTGTAGATGATGCTGCAAACGTTGTGGCGACAGCGAAACACGTCCACCCAATCGGCCTAATCGAGGAATGAAACTTTCATTCATATTTGAATTCATGTGAATTTACTGTACCTTGGTTCGGATCGTTGTGATGCCTTGGTTATCAAGCTATATCGTAGTACATAAACTCTTAGACCTTTGAATCGAAGGTGTGTCAACTTACTTGTGGAACGTTCACGTAACTTTTGCGCCAGACAGCAATACCCAGGAAAATTGCTAGCACGACCCGACCAATCAAGTCTACAGGAAGCGCGAAAGCCATTCCTTCGAGCTGGATGTCCAAGCCGTGGCTTTTGGGGAGAAAATCGTTGGCCGTTGACGACGAATTCGTCAAGTTTGCCATTTCTCTACGTGCACAGTGCAATAGTTAGCATAGCTGGGTGTGATTGTCAACGAATCCTACAAATTGGGGAAGACAGGGCCGATGAGGCGTTGCTGTTGCTGCAACAATGCTGTGCGGATGGTCCAATTTGAATACGCATAGAGGTCGCCCTTGGACTGGTTGAGAACAGCACCGGCGAGCGCGTCCAATGTCGCGCTGGTGTCGGTGGTGTAGGCCATGACTGCTTCTTGCCACTGCTGGATGTTGACTTGCGTGTCGTTTACGGACTCTTGTAACTCGTGGAGCTTCCCGCTTAGCGACAGTTCGACTTGGATCAATTGAACTAAATTGGCGTCAGCTTCGCCCAGCATAGACATGGGCGACACCTGCTTCGCGCCACTCATTTCCAGGGCTGGCTCCAAAGCAGTCCACATTGTCCTGATACCACGTATCGATTCTTGTGTGGACTTGAGCGCTTGGTTCATTTGAATCGGTTGGCCGGTAGCAGCCGATGGAAACGTCAAACTGTCTTGGAGTGAAGTGGCAATCTGCTGAACCCAACTTAACCGGAGGTTGACTTCAGTGGACCCTGAGGCCACCACCCGTTGGATGGCCAAATTGGTCGCGTTCAAGCTTTGGACGATTCGAGCCTTGTGGTTCTCGATGTTTGTTTCGACTTGGTCCTCGGCGGCTGGGGAGGAATTGCGAGTGGAGTTGGACTGTTGCAGCTCCAGAAACAGCCATGATTCTATGGCCGGCTGCCGAATGGACCACGCATTGTTCAGCGTTTCCAGCTCCGCCAGTTCTGCATCGGTGGTGCATTGCAAGTTGCCTTTCGAGGCTTGGAACGTTGCTTGGACTCGTCGAAGTTCGTCTTTACCTAGGTGCATCGTCATGCAGTGGAATAACAGAAAAGACACAGTCATCTCAGACGTACATTCGGAGGTATACAACGTCAGTGTGTTCATAGCCGCCTCGCTAGTTTTAAGGGCATATTTGAACTTGTCTTGCTCAGCCTTCCATTGTTGCGCTACCTGCATCAGACTGTCTCGTATGGCGTCGTCCATGCACATGCTGTAGACGACTCCATATGTATTGAATGACATGATGGCAGCATCAATGGAGAATTGTTGGCTGTCCCGCCGTTGACGCAGGGCTCCGATGCCGTCAGTAATCCAGCTGCATACGAGAGACGACGACAGCATCGTAGCAATGAAGTTGATCGAGATGAATGCCACCCGGCTTACGTTATCCCACGTGTCGTCCGACCATCGACTGGGTGCTTTGCCGCGACGATAGGCCTCCTCCTTTGCTTGGAACACCTCGCCTTCGTCACGAGCGGCAGCTTCCAACAGATTCTCCTGCAGCATTGCCAATTCCAAAGTGATGGCATCCGTGCACACTTGAGTGTGTATGCGACGAGGCTGCAAACAACAGTATGAATTACTACCATTTGATTGGTTCATTCTGAAACCGTCGTGCGACACAGAAGATTCCAGCTAGTTTGTCATTTGCAGTTAGCATAAATAATGCGTCTACAGTAAATACCGTACACTACTTAGTAGTAGACTAGTATATACTTCGAAGTACTATCGGAATCACGGCTACTATAGTACGTAGTACCTTTGAGTGCCCAAGATTTGCTGGCTTTACACTTATGATGATGATATTGTAGCTGTGATGGAATGTAATCACTCGTACTGCCCGACTTCGAAGAAGCAACCCAGTTGCCCAGTCGTATCATACCATTGAACCGCGAGAGTGAAGCCCCAACATCAAACTTTACTGCAAACTCCACGTTTTAAAAAAGCCCCAAAGCACCACAAGTGAGACACTGCCTCCCTTTTTTGCAAGTAAACTTGTGGATACTAAACGTGTTATCATTGCCGAACATATCGTTCCTCCATATCTCCAATCCGCTCGGACTGGAAGTCGCGGTCCCCTGAGATCACTTGCGCGGCCTTGCCTTCATACACATACCCGTTGGATTTGTCGATTGCATTCACGACTTTCTGCAAACTGTCCACGTCCTCGATCTGCAGCGGCAGGAAGCTCACGAGCGAAAAGTCTTCGATCACTTCGATGAGCACTTCGTGCATCTTGCGAAACCGCTCGCGCACTTTCAATTTCCGCGCGGCTACGGCGGGCGGCGGCTGCAGCGCGTCTTCGTCTTCAATGTCGTCGTAGGTATCGCCATAGTCTTGGGCTTCGAGGCGGTCCAGGAGGTACCGCAGGTCCAACACGTCTGTGTAGAACTCGAGATTGAAAGACAAGTGGCCATATTGCTGGATCAAATCCATTTTCGAAAGGATATTGATGTGGGGCAATTCGAGTCGCACCATGGACGACAAACTCAGGAGCACCACCGAGATGAACTTGGCGCTGTCGGTGCAATGATGCGCGTCCACCAAGTGCACCACCGACACCTGCAGCGACATGTGTGAGCATCGTATGCATGAGGAAGAGTCATCGACATCATACGCGGTATTCCAGGCGCTTCTCGAGCTTCTGGACAATGTTATGCACGCTTTCTTCATGCGTGTACAGTTCCACTTGGCCGGGAAAGTCAAACAAGACGTACGTGGAATCTGCAGGCAACTGTGAGACAATGGACCGAGTAGATGTAGATGAGCATGAGACCTGGCAATGCATCGAGGCGCTCGGCCAACCAGTCGAAGTTTTGATCGATGAAGTTCATGCAATACACCAGTCCTAGGACACCGCGTTCGTCGGCATGGGAAGGAGTCCAGACGTGGCAGACGTACCTCCGTTTGGACCTAGGTGCAGCTCGTCCATGACGTTTTCGAGGCACACGAGTTCCGAGATGTCAATGTTGGCCACGTATGGAAGTTGTTCGTTGGCTGGGTCCATGTTCACCACCGCTACTTTCCGCCCGGATGCTTCCAGAAACTGCTGCATGCCATTGCAATACGTTGTCTTCCCACTGCCTAACGACAAGTTGCATCAACCTCGTCTGATCCCATTGCATCGTTGTCGTACCTGGAGGCCCTAACACGACTTGGCCAAACGGCATGGTTTGCGCTCCCAGAACAATGGACAGAGCGGAGGTATGAATCCGGAAATCCGGATACGATGATTTCCCAGGAATTTCTTTTCCTTGATTCCTCACGCTCATTCAACAAAGTTAAAATGAGTTGTGTATTAGTGTAACATTAGCCGGAAATATATTAAAAGCCGTCGAACCACACATTCGAGTCGCTGTACTCGGCGAGGATGCACGGCGTGGCCTGCACTTCGAGCTGCTTGGCTTTGGTTGTGATCTCGACCACATGGGGCGCCGCCTGCACCCCCGCCGCGACCTTGATCCAATCCACCGACGCAAACCACGGGTGACTTCGGATGACCGACCCGCCTGTGGTGATGTCCACGACGCCCTGGCACCCCAGCCGATCGTCGGGTGAATGGTGCAGCAGTTGCGTCAACAAGTCGGTCACTTCCCGCGATCGCTCGTGGTCGGGCATGACCAGATCCTTCTTGTCATAGCGCGAGATTTTAGAGTACACAGCCAGCACCACGTCCTTGTCGTTTTCGAGGTCGTCACACGCAAACGGAGTGACTCCGAATAGCATTTCGTAGATGAGGATGCCGAGGCCCCAGATATCCACGCCGAAGCTGTGGCCTTGGGCCGACACCATCTCTGGGGCCGTGTACTCGGCCGTGCCGCACAGCGTGTACGTGCGAGTGTCGTCAATGCATTTGGCGTACCTACGATGGCAGGGTTTTTCCCCCATAAGTCCACAACACAAAAAACAATGCGACAACGTACCGAAAGTCGTGAAGCTGCAGGTACCCGAACGTATCGAGCACGAGATTTTCAGGGTTCATATTGCGATACACGTAGCCGGCGTCGTGCAGGGACTCGAGCCCCACGAGCAGCTGGGCGGCGTACTGGCGGACAGCCTCCTCGGGCAGCTTGGCGTCGTGGTCTGTCATGAGGGTGGCAAAGTCGCACACGAGGTTGGTTTCAAACGCCATGTACAGCCCGTTGGCGTCGGTCCATGTGCCCAGAAGCGGCGGCACGGACGCCACGCGGCAGTTGGTGCGCAAGTTCTTGTGCAAGTGGACTTCGCGCATGACTTCCTCCATTTTGTTGAACGACTTGGTCGATTTCTTGGAGATCGTGCGCACGGTCAGAGGCACGTGGCTGAATGTCTCGTACGTGACAAGTAGCCCCACTTCGGTGGACTGGGTCACATACTTGGGCACCACGGCGCCACGAAGCACGTCGTCCTTGAGCGTGGATCGGTCCTGCGTCCCCGCAGCCGCCGCGATGGCGATGGCCGTGGAGTCGCGCAGGTTGGACACGGCCGACTGGAACAGGTGCTTGGCCTCTCGCTGGGCGCGGTCGTTGTCGATGATCTGCTGCAGCGGGCCCAGGATCTCTTCAAACGTCTGCCGGCCAATCTGAAGCAACTTGGTGCGCCCGACGGAAATTACGTTGGCGGCTCGAGGCGCGTCGTTGAACAAGGCGCGCTCACCAAAGTACTGATGCTGGCGAAGGCGCAGCACCTCGCGGCTGCGGCGCTCGCCCTCGCCCGGAGCTGTGTCCCACATCGTGCAGATACACGCGCCTTCCTTGATCACGTAGAAAGTGTCGCCGATCGTGCCCTGGTTCAAAATGTAGTCACCATCTTCAAACGTAATCTCTGTCAGCTTGGTTGCCAGCCGCTCAAGCTGTGACGTCGTGAGGCTCTTGAGCACGTCCACTTTCTTGAGCGTCTGTACAATCACGTTTGTCGGGGACTTCATGAACACGAGGCGGAAGGCGCGGCAGTCGATGGCCCACAGCACGCCCTTGGTCAGCGCCACCACCGACGACGATCGCGGCGCGTTGTGCATGAGTGCCAGCTCCCCAAACGACGGGTGCGTGTCTCCGCGGTACATGTGTACAATATCTTCGCGCTGACCGGTCGTGGATTCGCTCTTCACTGTCACCTACACACGCCGAAGCCAAAACCAATTATCACCATAATATGGACACACACTATATCGACAACCAACCGCCCTTTGGCTGGGAGGATACGATGTGACGAGGATTGTTAGAACCGTACCTGATAATCGCCGCTTTGGACGCAATAAAAGTGGTCCCCGGGGTCGCCTTGGCGGATGACCACGTCGCCCTCGTTGACGTTGACGCGGATCATGACTTTGTACACGTCGGTGCGCTGCTGGGCGTTGAGCTGCTTGAACAGCCAGTTGGCGGCCGTGATTTCGAGGATTTTGTCCATCTCGAGCTTGGATTTGGCCACGACGTGGTCGCTCATGTTGTAGTTCAGGTCTTCGTCCGTGACCATCTTGGCCATGTCCTTCTTCATCTGGTCGCGGCGCTTTTGCTTGGACATGCCCCGACGCACGGGCCGCTGTTCTGTCACGCGCGTGTTGAGGATGTTGGTCGTGAGCAGATCGTTAGCCTGTTGGCTCGCGAGGCGCTGGGTGCTTTCCGCCGTCTCGGGCACCACGGCGTGCTCCAAGTAGATGCAGATGATCGTGATGTCGTCCGTGCGCAGTTCATAGTGGAGCCACAGCCGATACGACTCGGCCACGACCTTTTCGCACGCCTCCAGCGGGTTGTCGTATGTCTTCACGATGTCCACCACTGCCTGGTTGGTCAAGAACTCAAACACGCCATCGCTGGCAATGATTACGTAGCGGTCGTTGGACGTGAGCTGCAGACTCGCAATCTCTGGCGTGGCAAACACCCCCAGGCTCTCGGCAATCTCGTCCCCGATCGACCGCGTGAACGCCGTGCCGGGGAAATTTCCCGTCGGAGACCACACACGCGGGGGGTCTCCGTCCTCGTCCACCTCTTCGTTCACGGCCGTGGCCCAGTTCTACATCACGTTTGGCAGCAGCGTGTGAGGACTTTTCCCCAGATCCCGTTTATCGACATGGTGTCAATCAAGGGTATTTACCTCGTGGATGGGAGTAATCCCTTCCAGTTGATCCATCGTTAGGACTCGCGCCCCGTATCGCTTGACACGATCTCGCTCGTCCTATACAATGGGATGAGCATGGAATACGAAGGTGGAAGCTCCGTACAGTTCGATAGGGGGTCTGGTCCACAGACAAGGGCGACGCCACGATGCCCGCGGCGTCCGTCTTGGCAATCACAGCGCGCGAGTCGCCGACGTTGGCAATGTGAATGATGTTGCCGTCCATAAAGCAAGTGATTGCCGTCGTGCCGCTTAAACTGTCGTCAATGCGAGACGTGTGCAGCTGTACATACATGTCGTCGTAGCCACCGATCAGTCAATTTTACTCAGTCCACCGCTCGTGTGCTTCATACCTTGGCGTTCGTGTCCGTGAAACAGTTGGAGTAGATTTCGGTGAACGGAACCGAAGCATTGGCCTTCCCCATGAGCTTTTGCAGTCGATCGGGTACTTCCTTCCTCGCAAACACCGAGCAGAGGTCCCCCGTGGCTCCGTGGCCGTCAAAGATGCCGAAAAAGATCTTGGTCGGGTCGCCGGCGAAGTTGGGGATGATGGTGTAGCTGTCCTGGTTGGGCTTGTCCACCGCTACGCATACAGTTTCGTAGGTGAGGCATCGTTAACACGATAAGACATCATGTGTAGAGGCCATACCGTCGGGATAGTACCCTCTTTGGGTGACGAAGGCATACTCGATGGAGAGGGACGGGGTCAACTGCGACTTGACCGGCTTATCGGAACATACGATCCGCGACCGAATTTCATCGGCCGTGAGGGGAGAGTTGTCTAGTTGCTGCGCGCGGTCGTCACCTGCGTGGTTCTTGTCTGCTACCTTGGACTGAATGCCGAGGGACGAGCCGCATCCCATGCTTCGACGATGTCCGTTGCGACGGCGGAGAACAGATTGTGTGGCGGTTTTGCCTCGAGTTTATTTTTAGACTGAATCCTGTACTGGACCTTAAAATAAACGAAACAACCTGGGGTGCATTTGTCAAGTAAAATGAGTGCATTAACTTGCTACATGTCACCTATGCCTACTATTAATAGTACGTACGTACTACCACGTCATATTACGCTTTCTCGAATGAACTGCCCAGTCCAAATTTGGTCGAAAAGGACAATACTATCGGTTTCAAACCCGCACAGCTTACTATGCAGGCGGCCCAATGAACTTGAGTATTGTATTGTCAGATTCGTTTGATGCATTCTCTATGAAGCTGGAGAGTACATACAGTCCGCCCAAAAACTTATTATAGACGAACCCAACTTTTTTGTAACTTTATGAGAAAATTTTCAAATATGAAGTACTGTACTCGGAGTACGTCTTACCATTTCACTAAGAAGTCCTAAAAAGGATTTTAATCAAGGACAAATCCTTCCTGAGAAAAAACAATTTTTCAAAAATCAAAACTATAGACGCACTGACAAGGGTGCACGACTGAGAGCATCCCCACCGGCTGATGTAGAAATGTAAAAATCTTCTCAAAGTACATCACTAAATTTAGTTACATCAGCAAAATTTACATTTTTCAGACCCACACCAGTTGCCAATAAATTTTACATCATGATGTAAACATTAACATAGATTTCTCAACAGATCTGTTGGGTCGTTTACAGTTCTATGCGATTGAGTCCCAATGGACTTCTTCAACGAAGCTTGCCATCCTGACGTCCTGAAGCACGCCGGCATCATTAATATGAATCTTACAGACAATAGAATGTATGCTAACCCTGCTGCACTAAATTCTCGACTGGCGAGAGCTGCAAAACCTCAATCGGCAGCGTGCGCCAACGCGAGTTTGCTCCACCAGGACTACAATTTCCGCCAACCGGTGTGGATTGGCTGTGAAGAGATGTACTACTGTTACAACACGCACCCAATAAACGGGTCTTTTCAGCTCTATATTTACATCAGCCGTAATACAAAATTGTTTTAGGGTGCGTCTGTAGTATTCCATTTTCTCGCAAAATGGTATTAAACCAAAATGCCATTTTCAAAAATGGAGATAAAAGGTCCATTTTGTAATATGGCGTTTTGGACCTCGTCAACGAGTAAATCCCACTTGGAATTATTGGATTTGGGTTAAAACTCTTCGAACAAGACATGTTTCAATATTGATCAGATTTGTTGAATTCGGCCCCAAAATGGGGTTTTGGGGCTGAATATTGCAATATTTCCGGTTACCAGACGCACCCTAAAACTCTGACATGTTTCAATTTTGATCAGATTTGTTGAATTCGCCCCCAAAATGGTATTTTGGGCTTGAATATTGTAATAATTCAGGTTGCCAGACGGGCCCTTATTACAGTTCTGGAAAACCTTGCCAAGTGAAATTGCGTCTCGTAAAACACTTCAAAAATAATATTCCATTTTCTGGCAAGATGGGATAAACCAAAAATGCCATTTTCAAAATGAAGGTAAAAGGTCCATTTTATAATATGGCGTTTTGGACCTCTTCAACGAGTAAATCCTACGTGGAAGTACTGTATTGGATTTGGGTTAAAACTCTCCAGAGTAGTAAAAAGTTTGTAAATTGTATGCTTGGATATAATAAAATTAATCAGATTGATCTGATTGCAAAATTATAATTCGTACTCGGAATCACAACTTGCGCATTCGCATACAATTCCCCATATATTTCAAAATACCACTGTGCGCAAGTTCCTACTCGGTTCTCTGTATTACAATATTCTGGCCCAAAACGCCATTTTGAGGTCGAATTCAATACATCTGATCAAAATTGAAACATGTCTTGCTTGTTCCGAAATAGTTGCGGCCTTCTTTTTGACTTGATTAAATTATGGGGCTCCAATCCAAAACAACCTATTATTTGTATGTCACTCCAGAAACGAATAAAAGTGGCCAAAAATATAATGTAATTTTATTCAATTGCCAAAAGATCTTGTTCTTCAGAATTCAGAAGTGCTTCCATGGAAGCCTCTTCCCCAAGTCGAAAGTTCAAATGGATTAAGGCACTCTCGTAGTTATACGCATCACACTCAACGTTGAAGGTCGTGAAGTCCGCTATCAACGCTGAGATCTTGCGCTTTCTTGTGCACCAATCGCCATGCGAATTGAGCGACATTTAGAAAAATGCCGCCAATCGGAAGTCGTACCCTGCAACTATTTCGGACCAGAGTAGTATGAGCATACTATTGGTTAAAGTAGAAAATATGAAAAAAATACTATTGGTTGACGTCGGAATTTATGAATGCTCCATAGAAAAAGATAGTGTCGATACCACTGTGCGCGAGTTTCAGGTTGTCAGACTATTAGAGGGCCCGTCTAGCTTAATTGTAAAGTCCAACCAATGGTATTAATACTTCAGCAATGTTTGTCCCAAGTGTTTGGCGGCGGAACCTTTTATAGATCTCAGCAAAGAAGTAGTGGAGATTTGAATTTTATATTCCGGATGAAAATCATCAACTCACTGTCAAAAGAAGTTTGAGACGGGTTTGGAAGTCCTCCATTGCCAATACTAAGCTTACTATTAATAGTACCTGGTTCAGGGAACGACATACTAGTTGGTACATAACCCATCATGCAATCACCAGAGCTCAAGAAATTGTTACAGTCTAAAGTTCTCAGTGACATCGCCTCGCGCAAGAAGGGTACATTGCCGAGGTGTTCACGCTGGGAAAGAACGCCGAGTGAGACCAGTTAGTTGGCCACGACCTGCAGCAGTTACTGCTTGAAGTAGATCAATGCCCTCATGAATCAACTCGGCATGTGTTGAAATATAAACACTCTAATCGTCAATGTTATTTTCTCTGCTAACTATGTCATGTATTGCCGTTACAGTACAGCATCTTTCACCTCTCTTCATGGGGTGTGTGTCCATGTACAGTACAGTGTTTCAATCGCTGGGTTGTGGCACTGCCAGGTCAGGTGGATTGGACGGCATATCGGCGCTTGGTCCAAGTTCCAATGACCGCCTCGGATCAACCAGCACGTTGTTGAAGAACACGTCAAACAACCACTGAGCGCCTCGAAAGTACGGGAACTGCAGCCACAACATCCCGACCAGTTTGACATGGTACACGAACGGCACCCACGCCCACACGCTGTGCAGGGACCCGAACGAGTACTCGGCCACCGCCACGACCGTAAAGTAGCACACCCACCACTCATGGGTCCGGCGCTGGTTTCTGGCCAGCGTGCCCAACGCCACGTACGCAGGAAACGCGAACGCGACGGCGCCACAACCCACATTCGTGAGGAAGCCGGGGGTGACAAGGAACACCAGCCCACAGAGAGCAGGTCCTTGAGCCATCAGGTCCCCCATGACGTTGGCGGTGCGGTTGGACACGAGTCCGACGGCCGTCAACGTGCGGAGGACGACGTTGGTCGACGCAACAGGCGGGGCGTGCTCGATGGTTGCCACCGACAGACTCGCAGCAGCATCGGACTGGCTCGCGTAGTACGGATACACGTAATTGACCGCAAAGCGATAGAGCACTTGGGCGCCGTTCATGGCATGCAGCCAGTAGAGGAAAAAGTTGACGCGAAGAGGTGACGGATGGAAGAAGCCGAGGACGAAGCGCGGCAGCAAGGTCGTGACCAGGCAGTGCGCGGTCACGTAAAATGCCCAGAGGATCCAGTAGTGCAGAGATCGTTCCAAGTACACAGTCGCGGGCTGGTCAGTGTATCTGTGGGCCTTGACGGCTCGGATGGATTTGTACACGGGGTAGAATGTGCTCAGCCAGGCGAAGACGAGACCGTGGGAGAGCAGGCCCAACACTGGGGCCGGCGAAAACGTCGCCACGACGTGGCAAACTATGGCGTAGATGACGTGGGGAAGGAGGAACGCGGCAATTTTGGACTTGACTGCCACTTGCCGCCGGAAGTTGCTGTGCGCTTGACGGCATCTCGACTTGAAACGTTTCCACGCCAATACCGCGCGTGCAAAGTACCCTTTCCGCCACGCCACGACCAGACACAGGAAGGACGCAAGGGTGACTGCCTGAGTACCAGGTGCCAATGACCGAAACGACTGGTAGGCCGAGAGCACGAGCGATCTCGTATGGGGCAGCAAAGATTCGACCACCATCAACAGCCCCGCCAGCACAGGAACGGACAGCAAGCGAAGGAGGAAGAGCCAAGCGATCACAGCGCTCCACGTTGCGAGCACACACTCTATGAAACTTGCTCGAATCGCAGTCCAATCGGTTGATTGGTTGAGAAAATCAGGCCACGTCAGGTTCGAGAACCCAGAGTACGGAGAAATGATCCCATCCGCCAAGTCATTCCACAGCCAGTGCGGCTCGCTATTTCCATCGTGAGGCGTCGTGAGTGGACTGGTGTTACGCAGCGCACAGGTCGAGGCATCGGTCATCGCATCGATCCACCGTTCGACGGCACATTCCGCGGCTGCATCGGCCTGTTCATGCAAATCGTGGGTTGTCGCGCGTGCTGCTACGCTGCTCCACGCGAGAGATTGTACAAGCAGCCAGCAAACGACAGCTGTGGAGCATGGGGGTCGCGTGGAGAGCCACAGTCGAGCGCCATGTCTCATCTTCAATCAACAGTTTTGGAACTGGATCCGGATAATTCGAAACAGTAAATCCGGATAAGTTGAAACGCTGAGCAACGCGGAATTTGCCTCACGAATCCGGATAACAGTGCCTAATCAAAACCTAAGCCAATAAGAACTCACAAAAGGAGGAAAGAACAACAATATATTCGCCAATACATATTCGACATTTGGATTAACAGTAAACAAGCGATGTACTGGTACCAATCAGAGTACACTGTACTGACTTTGATTGGCTTATCCCAGGTGAGGGATAATTGGTCTTGGATGTTGAAGTCTGGTCAGTTTTTTTCAATCTCAAACAAAAAATTACAAGTATTTAAATAGAATGTCAACTAGAAACCTTTGACGTGTCCCGCCATACATGCCTATGAGAGCGTCACAGCAGTTGTGCATAACGTTACCGTATAATCTATATCCTTTTAGGTGGACAAGTCCTTTTAGGTACCTTTATATATTTATATTTTTGAGGCTTGCTGCCCCAACAACAAGTTCAACAGGTTTACCTTTCGCGCGGTTAATTGAGTTTGGATTATCATTTTTAAGACATTCCTCCGCGAGGGCCAACACTAGAACCACATGTTATGGAACCGCTTCGCCAATTGTAACGCGCCTGCTCGACCAGGGGCGGTGTGTAATCTTCGGTTTTTACTTCGCGCAACGCTTCATACCTC